ATGGTAAATACGATAATTTATTAATTGAATGAATTTTTCAGACTATGTGAAACATTTTTTTTTTACATTTATGTCATTTTTCACAATCATGTTTACTACTTCAATAAAAATTATGCACTTACCTCATTTCTTCGTATTTTGACTTAACATTTTGAGATGAAGCCTTGGATGCAATCACTTTCCGACATCGTTTCGTTAGACTAGAGGGTCCTGAGGTAAGTATTGACAGATTGTTTCAAGCATACTGTAGTTCGTGTTTCAAGTCGTCGGTGGTACGGATGTGGAAAATCTGACGTTTAACATGACTTTTAAGAACAATCCAGACATTTTCAATTAGGTTTAAGTCAGGGGATTGTGGGGGGCCAAAATAATGGTGGAATGCCATTCCTATGTTTCCAGTCTTCTGTCTCTCATGAGAGATGGACAGGGCAATTGTCATCCATAAAATGTCATGATGAATTTGCAAAATATTTCGCTATCGCAGGCCACAGGTGTTCATCTAACACACTAATGTCCTTCTGAGAGTACATATCACCGTCTACAAATGCCAGTATTCCAGTTCCATGGTAAGTTATTGCCCCCCCCCCCCAACCAATACTTCAAACAGCGTGAGGGTCCTTGTCCAAGACACCCTAAGCAATAGCCTCTTCATTTCTCCGATATTTTCACCCTACAATACTGAAGTCGTTTCTTCCTGTTCACTTTACGCACCCCTAATTTTTTGTTGCCACAATCCTATTCCAGTACTTCTGACGGTGCATCTCGCTCTGAATATATATATTACGGGCTTCTTTATTATTAATAATGCTATAGTAATTCTCTTAGATACTGATTTTGGCACTAACCTGTTATATTCAACGGTGATTTCCGTCAGACCTTTTCTTCTGTGTTTCTTTACGATTCTAGAGAGAGCCTTGTGGTCGCAAACTTTCATGGATCGGAGTCGTCCACTTCGATGTTTATTTTAAACGTCGCCTCGCTTACGGAATCGCTTTTAGAATCGACAAATGGTTGAGGAATTCAAATTTGATAATTCAGTCACTTTAACTGCTTTTTATCCATTTTCTGTTTATTTATATTACGGTCTTCTTTTTATTAATAGAAATTTCTCGTCCCCTTCGTCCCATGTTTGTTGATTACATCGACAATGGAAAAATAGCAGAAGTAATGACTACTTCCGGTTTACAAAGAAAGTTTTTTAAAAGACTTTTCTATACTTTCATACAAGATGGTGAAGTCAAACAAACTGTCCAAAAATTATACAAGTACTGTATGTGTTTTCAATCAGTTTTTGCACATATGTATATTATCAGAGACTATGATCTACTAGTAATTAAACTGAGCCTTGTGACCATGCGTCCTTCGTCCCCTTAAATTAAAAGTAAAAATGCTAATTTGCAAGGTATATTAATGCCTTATTTTGCGTTGTAAAAGCAATAAGTGTTTTGCCGTAAATTTTTATTCTCATTTATAATACAAACATGTATACATATTTTAAAACTACTTTAAATTAAACAACGTTAGGTTTCGTCTATTGTTGCATGCACGGCAAGAAAGTTACGGACGTTACTATTTGGCACCCATTTTCAGTCCTCTTCGCTAGCCAAGGGTTTTTGGTTTATGGGGAGCAGTGCGGACCAAAAACCCTTGGCTAGCGAAGATGATTTTCAGTTTATCTCTTCTGACCTGCTCCGTTTGAATTATCTTTACTGCCATGCGTGCAAGTGATGGTGGTATATTACTACATTTATAAGGAAAGTTGACAACAGAAAAGCTTAAGTACTTACGTTGTATTAGTCGACAGTATAGTCTATATCCAGTTACTGTGACGATCCCCTGTCGACCAGTTACAACTTTAATTGATAAGCCAAACGGAATATTTCGTAGTCAAAATGCCATAATGAAATATGTGAAGAAAACGAATAGCATTCGAGCTCAAAAGTCTATTAAACATTACACAATTGCAGCAGAGCAAACACGGACCTCCAAAACATCAGAGGTGGGATCAGGTGCCACGGAGGAGTGAGCATCCCCTTCCAACCGGTCACACCCACCGTGTTCTCCTTAATTGTCATGTTCTGGGAAAAAAAGAAGAAAAAAATCCGTGGACAACTCAGTGCATTAATAATGGCCAACAACTGAGAATCAACTGAGAGTTTTATACTCCGTATACAGGTGACAATAGTAAATTGCTGCATAAGTAAGGGAAGTTGACGATTGAAAAGTTATAGTCACCATGTTTATCAGAAAGCTTTGTTGTTAAATAACCATTAACGTCTTTTTCTAATAAAATATCCATATATAAAACAGATGTGTTAGACTCGATCTGTGGTATCTTTTATTTCAGGCTCACCGGGATGTGTGTTTCATCGTGTCGACATATGAATGAAAATAACTATTGTTCATTGACAATATGTTGTCGAAATATTTTATGTCGAGTTGAAGGCCACAGTAAGTGTTCTTTTCCTTTCACGTAAAACAGTTTGAACAAATTCTGCTTCATATGAATACAAAAATAGGTCTGCTAATAAAGGGTTACAAGAGGTACCCATACAAATTCCAATAGATTGTTTGAAGACTTGGTATTCAAGAACTACACACATTGTCAATCAGAAACTAAAGCATCTTAATATCAACTTTAGAGTACTTGTGTGTACAATAATTTTTTTTGACAAAACAATTTTGCAAATGACCAATGACAAGCTAGGTAAGTTTAGGAGTTGCCTTTTAAATAAATAAAACTGTCAATGATGTCAGAAAGTCAGAAAGTATTGACTTTAATTTATTGTGGGGAATACTTATATATAAAGTCTGAAAGTTGTAAGGTTTTATGTTGTTGATTTTGGTACAAGTTTGTTATTTGAAATATCCCAAAATGAAACATATGGAGATAAAGAACAGTATTCAAGATCCAGAAAACAATACAAAATAGGAGCAGAGCACACACGGACCTTTAAAACATCAGAGGTGGGATCAGGTGCCATGGTTGAATAAACAAACATAAACAATGTGCGGAAAGGATGTCAACCAAATTCGACCCAACCACAAGATCATTATGTTACTCAAAGATAAATGTTAACTTAAACGAAGATAAATGTTTTTTTTTTTTTTTTTTTTTTTTTTTTTTAATACATATTATACATAAAATATTGTCCGTTGCCTTTCTCGGTTAAAAAATGTACGTTCTCAGAAAATGCTTATCAGTATCAATTCAGTTAGAAGATGTAAACATCATTTGAAGATGTTTGTGCATTAAACTAAAACAAGTGGAAAGGAGTAAAATTGAAAGTTTGTCATTATCTAAATTTCATTGTTAAGGCAATTATCTATGATGTCAAAGATCCTGGTTTTTTAATTTATAGCGAAAAATTGTTGCATAAAGTGTAGAAAAATTATACATTTTGATGTTACCGTTTTTTGTTCTTGTTTTTTTTTTTTTTTTTTTTTTTTGTCTTTTTTAAAGTTTTGTTATTTAAAAATCTTCAAAAATTAGTTATTTTTTAAATCCACAATTGATTAACATCACTCCTTAAATACACTATAATACAATTAATCTGAAGTTTCTCTTTCACAGCAGCTAATATTTAGTCTGGTTAGGAGTAAGAATGGGGGTTTGGGTGAACATTTACTGCGATAAATGTATCTTTGTAAGGAGAATTCATGAAGAGGGGACTGTTAGGTACATTTAAATTCAATTTTAAGAAATAGACTTAAATTGAACAGATATGGAATTCAGACCAATTTCTTGTAACATTACATAAAGCTTCATCGGGCAATTCAAATAACGAAAAACTATTACAAGAACTGTCAGCTGGAACAATAATTCAAAATTATTGGAAATACGTAATGTATACTGCATAAATTGTAAATAAAAAAATCTTTTTCTATCCACTAGTAATATCCCACACTTCAGAAATAAAGATGCGAGTGAAAGTGGAATTTTTTCTGCATATGTAAAATTAATTTTAAGTTTTATTGTTCACCTTTTTGATAGATGATATGGAAGACTTGAAGTGAAAGACGACCCAAAGTCGTAAAGTGACGACACACTCTTGTTCTGTTGAAAACCATGCTGACATGCTCAACATATCAAAGACACTGCAATTGTCACTCAGTTAAGGAAGTCTTTTTAAAATACATAGGTGAGATATGCGATATCAATGTTTACCTGCATTTTTAAATGATTTGCTGTGCATGTTTACAATAACAAAACGGTTTTATGTTTTCTTCGTTACCTGTTTTTGGAATAGTTCTAATGGATACCTTGATACTGTGGTTATGACAGCTGATTTGTTTTCCCCAACCCTCCTGTTGTCTTTTTACTGGGTTTATCTAATTTATGTAAACTGGGAGAACTAGAAATTTCAAAACTTCCTCAAAATTGCCAGTATCAGAGTAGCCTAATCGCACGGATCGTCAAGAATTTTCTACTACCTTGTGGAGTTCTAACTTCTCCAAACATTACATAAGGTACTTAAATATCTTTGTCGCTATCTCAAAGTGTTTGGAAAGCTAGATGAATAATATATCTTTACAGTCGATTATCTACAAACTTGAAATGTTCAATAAAATTATCCCAAGTGCACCGTTTTTTATCAGACAATTTTGGTACAACTTCAAGGTAAAAGAAAACTAAAAAAAAAACTAATCATCTAAAGTATCACTAAAACATCCCAGAGGTGTGTTATTATGATTATAATTTTGTCATATTCTGTAGAACGCTCCACAAAAAATAAATACCACTGTCCTGTCAATGGACTCTCCTGCCCCCCGGGATCCAGTACGCTGACCATCAGCTGATGACATTTCCTATCCCGAACGAGCGGGCTTTATATACAATGTTTCATAAAACGTAATGATAAATTAAATAGAAATAAACCCCACTCCTTATGAAGTTTTTTGTGAATGATTCCGTCTATGCATCGCGTAATCACTTGCCCTCGACGAACCGTGTAACTGTTGTCATTCAAATTTGTAGCTAGATATATATACAGAGGAAGTATATGCGTATTAGATGCGCATCTTTACTTCGTCTATAAAGGTTGATTACCTGTGGCTCGTGATAGTGCGACAGTTTATCACTGGATCAGGGTGGCTCTGATATCTAAAGATTATATTTACCTTCGACAGGGGGTGAAAATCGTAAGGTAACCGCGAACATACCAATCTGGATTGTAGGTGTTTATTGTACTCATAAAGGAATTAATTTCCTAAAATTTAAATGCATCTCCATCGTAAGGATTTGACCAAATTTCGATAACCTCTATTATATAATCGGCTTATGAGTGGAGCGATTAAGCACGGAAAAGGCACCAGTTTGGAGCATCGAGGGTGTTCAAGACTCTGCAGATCCAGAATGGTGACGAGTTTGGATGACATTAAATCTCTCCGCTTCTGGAGAGCGGTGGGAGCTGAGTTTCTGGGAACATTGCTGCTCACAATGATCGGATGCGGTTCTGTGGTGACTTGGGATGAAGATGGGAAATTAGTGCAGATTGCTCTCTGCTTTGGACTCAGTGTTGCAACTGTCGTCTGGATCATTGGTCACGTGAGTGGAGGCCATATCAACCCAGCAGTAACTATTGCTTTCTTCGTTACTAGGCGCATCAGCCTGGCTCGTGGTATCTTTTATATCATCAGCCAGTGTGCTGGTGCAGTTGTAGGTGCAGCAATTCTATATGGCTTGACGCCTGCAAGTCACCGCGAAAGTGGCTCCCTTGGATTGACCAAAGTGAATCCTTCGCTAACAGGTGCTCAGGCTTTTGGAGTAGAGTTTTTCGTCACGCTTGTCTTGGTATTGACTGTCTTTGCGTCCTGTGACAAGAAAAGAAGAGATTTGAATGGATCCTTTCCTTTGTCCATCGGTCTGTCTGTTACTATGTGCCATTTATTTGCAGTAAGTACTCGAAAGTGTTTGCATGATATACAAAGGGTCTACCACACAATTTTCTTGTCAATCACCCCTTTAGATGTGATAGAAGATATTCTATTATTAAATTGTTTCAGAAATATGCTAATTTGAGCATCACAGGAATGACTTGCAAATGCAACTGCATAAACTTATCTTCCAACTGCGTATTTTTATTCATGCATGAAATTTAAAGTTACGCAACCAATTTTTCAATTTTTTAAACCGTCAATCATTCTCTGACAAATATAACACACCCTAGAATACCTGACGTACAGCAAAGGGATAGGGGAAAATCAAATGTCAGATTTCCTTTTATAATACCCTGGTTTCCCCTTATTTCTATCAAAACCAAAAGTGAATCTCACTTTAAACGTTCTTTCCAAACTTTTAAGTATTTTTTATCAATCTAATTGCATCACGTGTGGATAATGTCAGGTTCTGGTGTAATGCTCTCCTCTCAAATGCATAAATACACATCCAAGAACAGTGGCGTAGCATCGTTCTTGAAAGTGGGGGGGGGGGCAGCCAGAGAAAAATTTTTTCTACTTACCTGAAAAAGTTGACAAGCAAAAAAAAAAAAAAAAAAAGGAAAAGCTGACCAAAGTCGAAAATCCTTTGTAGTGTCAACTACCTTTAGTAACAATTCTAATACTACATTTTTGGTACATCACTAAAAGTGGGGGGCCAACCAGCCTTTCAATTAACATTTCCTATAAGTGAGGTTGGGAAAAAAAGGTCCCCCCCCCCCCCCCCCCCCCCCTGTTGCTACGCCCCTGAAGCAAGTGCAAGCATTTACTGTCATTATACATTTCTAAAACGGATGTATTGGGAAAAACTGTTTTGAATTTTACAATTGATTAACACGTCTCCCATGAAGAATATCTGTCTTCACTGAATGAAGTACTTATGTACAATCAAATATCTCTTCAATCATTCCTGTTAAATTTTTGTCTCTCTTCTCTAAGGTCTAATTTGTGTCACGTTCACCGAAGTGTCATGAAATGGGGTTATCTGTGACAGGTCACATTTAACGGTTTGATCTCACTATTTGTTTAGTTGTTTATAAGTAAGTAGTGAAATTTCGAAAACTCTAAGTTCGGATCCGTGATAAGAAATCGCCATCAAACGATCTGAGGTTTTGTCATAAGAATTTGTCACTTCATGATCTCGGATTTTATGTAAAGCCAATATTTACATCGCAATAAAGAGGTAAAAATATCATAAAATAGAAATAAACAGTATTCCCGACAACTCACAGGTGTGGCCGTATATGTGCATTGTCCCCGGGTCCTTAGACAGGAGATCTTCAATTGCTTCTCTTGTATATGCGAAACTGTAGCGTTATGGTTTTATGTCTTTAGTCTTTGACCATAAAAGCAAAATATAAAACCATGTAATAACTACAGTTTTGCAGCACATACTTTGCTCCCAATTTCTCTCATTTCAGAAAGTGGAAGTTTCACAATCTTTGAGTTTTAAAGAAAAATTGACTTATTTTACAACTTAAAATTTTTTACACTTTTTATTCAATGATTTTTTTGAAATAGTTGTAATTTTATTAAGCGTTATCTATCACTTTTATCCATCATCGCCCACATTGGTTTTGCGAAAGACTGTAAATACGAGATATATTTTTATATGTTTTTAAAGTTAAGGTTTACTTTAGCATGCATATTACGTTGACTATAAATTGTTTGGCCAAAAGTTTTAAATTTTGAGTAATGACTCGTGCGTTAAAAACGTCAAAAACGCTAATCTGAATATTCTCATTGTCCCCCGCTTTAATTATTCGTCTGTCCGTCTCGTCACAAAAACTTTAACCTTGCCCATAACTTTTGATTTAGTGGAGCTATGACTTTCATATTTCACAGGTGTATTCCTTGTGACAAATTTACCACCAAATTTGACCTTTTGAAATGTAAAAAATTCCAAACTTTTACTTTGGCCATAACTTTTGAATAGTAGGTACTAGGACATTCATATTTCACATATGTATTGTTTGTGGCAAGACCTTTCATTGGATAACAACAACCTTGACCTTTTGACCTTTTGGAGATTTAACTTATGAAAAAACTTTAACCTTGACCATAACTTTTACGGTGTAAGGCTTTCGTACTTCACATATGTAATCCTTTGAGAAGACCTTTCATTGGATACCAATAACTTTTACCCTTTGACCTTGACCTTGGAGATTTACTACTTTTAAAAAGTTTTAATCACAACTTTTAAACAGTAACTTTTATATTTCACATATGTATTCCTTGTGGCAAGACATTTCATTGGATACAAACAACCTTGACATTTTGACCTTGACCTTGGAGATTTCCGTATATGAAAAACTTTGACCTTGACCATAACATTTGAACAGTTCCGATCACAAATGTAATTCTTTTGAAAGACCATATTGTAGATAAATAAACATGTCTTTTATATTTCACATATGTATAATCAAATAAAACAATTATGAAAAAATCTTGACCATAACTTTTTAGTTCATACTTCACAAACAAACATGGATATCAACAACATTTCTTGACCTTGGAGTTAAATTTAAAAAAAACTTTTTTTTTGCCATAACTTTTTAAGCATAGGGTTTTCATCTTTAAAAAAAAGATCATCAATAAAAATGTTCATATTACACACAATACATAAAAAATTTCCAATTCTTTTTTTTGTCTTCTTTGTCATCTGTTTTAATTTTATTCTTTAAATTTCCATTTTATGTTGAAAATCAGTTTGATTTTAAAACATAAGTACATTTTATGTAAGTATCCATGCATCACAATTTTTAATAAAAGGTAAAATTAGCAAGAGGCCAAAGGGTCATAATTCTCACCTGAATCACATTAATATTATTCCGATAAATGAACATATGTAGATAAATAAACATGTAGATAATCAAATAAAACAATTATAATCGAGATTAGTTAAACATCTACAAACTTGATAAATTTAAAAATTTCAATAAAAATGAAGCGCTAATTGTCATCAATTAAATTCCTTTGTTAAAAATCAGTTTGATTCTATACATAAGTACACTGAAGTTGTTAATAAAAGGTTGCTGGAGTTCCTCGTTGACAACATTTATGTAGTCTTCAGAGAAAATAGCTGCAGAACTTTAGCTCTCCGAAAAAATATTTTGACAGACCGGAGAGCTACAGTGCCACCAGATGAAAAAACTGTATATTTATTGCGCACAAAAAAGTTGCGCTTGGTCATGGATTAATTCTTCCAAATTTTTACCTCAATTGCATAAAATTTGGCGAGAAATTCCTGGTTCTCTATCAAGTACTTTTGTAGTTGACATCTACACATGGCGCGATAATCCGAATTATCTTGCAAACCAAAATGGCAGTATAAATAGACGAAATTTTCGATGATCTCGTGTTATGCCATTTAACAACAATTATATGGAATTTGTTTTGTTTAATATTTTGTGATGATAGATTTAAAAACATTGAGAAATAAATCGTTAAATGGCTGTTCTGTATATTCACCTTTTTCATAAATTTTTAATTGGTAAAATCAAATAGGGCTCATTAATTTAGCAGGGGATGCTTTTTATTCCTAGGCACTTGATCCCATATCTGGGATTTCCAGAGGTCCATGTTTTATGCCTTTTTCACAGATTTATATTGTTTAACTTTATAGATTCTATGAAATCGATCACTGTTCTATATTCACCTTTTTCATAAACTTTAATTGGTAAAGTCATATTCATTATTTAGCCTTAGCTTGCTTCTTCCTGGGGTGCTTTCTTCATGTAACTAGCATCCTGAGAGTATTGCGTAAGTATCTGAAAGGCGTTATTCAGTCAAAATTCATTGAAGCGAACGAGACGAAATGCAAAATTTGGTCTAAGATTCATCAAGGTAGACTATATAAAAAATCGGTTCAATATCTTTAAACTTGTTAATTGGCAAATCATGGACCTGACGTTCCTACAAATTTGTAAAACTGATCCCTTGCAGTGTCTCCTACCAAGCCCTAGAATAAGGGGAGGGGCTGTAAAAAAAGTAAAACCAATTTGCTAATTCCAAATATCGTTGCCTTTTCTGGTCCCAAAATTGAATTAAATTTGTAAAGAGAACATACCGTTTTAGATACATTCAAAATTAATTTTGAAATATTTCCTTCATTCAAATGCATCTTTAACTATTAATGTACGTGTGTAACTAAAGTTGACTCAGTTACATGTATCTAACAAGTATGAAATATATGGAGATAACGAATAGTATTCAAGTTCAAAAGTCCAATAAACAATACGTAACTGGAGCACAGCAATCACGGACCTCTAAAAAATCAAAGGTGGGATTAGGTGTCATGGAGGAGTGAGCATCCCATGTCGACAGGTCGAATGCTCCTTGTCATTATCGGGAAATAAGGGGAAATCCGTTTACAATTCCGTGTGTATATGATAATAGTATAACAATTAGTATGAAAAATGTCAGTCAGCATTGCAGAGGTATTTGCTGACAAGGACATTGCATCGACCACAAAACTTCCCAAATGATGACTTTGAACAAGACTGCTGATATTCTTCTTTCAACAACTTGTTTGTCAATAGTTTACCTCGTTTTAGGGTTTGTTCATACGTAGAGCATGCTCTTGCATATCGAATCAACCGAGAAATATGCAGGTGATGAAGGTATATTGAAGCATACGTAGGGAAAGTTGATGATTGAAAGTCAGTCATTAAGGTTATCATCAAGCTTGGTTTTTAGATTGTTACATTAACGTCTTACATCAACGGACATAAAATACCTTATTATGAAACAGATGTGTCAGACTCTGTGGTATCTTTTATTTCATGCTTAACGAGGATATATCTTATCTACATAAGAATGGGAATAACCGTTTTTAACTGACAATACGTCGTCGATATATCTAAATGTCGAGTTGAAAGCCACAGCAAGTGTTTTCTTCTTTTCACATGTATGACTTTGCATTCTAGACATTGTAATTTGCTTCTGTTGATTTTGATGGAATGCTGAGGACATCCCGTTCTTGATTGAAGGGCTTCTGTCTTTAATAGGTGCATAACGCATATAAAAATCCTGTCTTAGACAGGTTAATGTGCATAATGCCCTTTGATTAAGTTAAAAGCCGTCTGATCTTTTTTTATGAGGATGTAATAAATTTCATTAAAAAATAAACTAATTTTACTTTAAATTCAAATGATTCAAACCACTAGAAAACACCTTGATCTGAATTTTGTTCTATTTGTGACATCTTTGACAACAAACCAATTAACAATTTTTTTGGAAATCATGCTTAGGGTCTGGAATAAAACTGAATTTTTTTTTTAACTGAGTAGCAAAAATAACTATGTATTAAGAAAAGAAAAGAAAAGAAAATTGGTCAAAACTTGACCCCCCCCCCAATACGTGCTTATCGGATGCACTTCAAATGCTAAAACGTTTTCAATTCTTCCTCTGTTGGTTTCATCAGTTTACACTTTATTATACTATAGATCCAGTACACGGGCTCCAGTATGAACACTGCCAGGAGTTTTGGTCCTGCTGTCGTCATGGGTTACTGGGAATACCACTGGGTGAGTTTATTAAATCAGATATAATATAATGTATAAAACTTAAGTTCTCGCTATCCTTGTCATTGTTCGGATTTAGTTAGGATTTTTTAATTTAAAACACAGTGTGCATACAGTGCATATTAAGCTGAAAAAAAAAATGCTGTTCATTTGATCAATTTGTGAGAACACAAATCGATCAAATGAAATACATGTATTTGTAAGACTTGTAAGAAAAATTTTCTTGCTGTTTAAGAATGGTGATTAATTAAAACTTGAATTTTTTTGTAATATTAGACGGTAAAAATGTACGTTTTGTTAATTGGCATTAAAACTTATACTATATGGTACGTGTCTTGCTTTAACAAATTTCTTGGAAAATTAATGACACATAGATAGCTCATATCTGTGTTTTCCCACCATATTTTCTGATGCATTTATCCCCAAGGAAATTCGTTAACCCAGTAATCATTCTACGTAACCAAACTGCAGATTTTCATATGGACACTTTTGAGCAAAATTAATGAAATATTTAAATATTAAATAACAAATAAGATATGCTCACGAAATACCAATGACAGCTCATGGTCTATTTTAAAGTTTCTCAAATGCGAGTCAAACTCTAAGGTCAAGAATTGAAAAATGTTAGTACCCAGAGAAAAATCTTGTTACAAGAAATATAAATGCCTTTGCACCAACCGTTCAATTATACTCGAGGTCAAAATTTTCAAAAGTACATTCGAACTCTAAGGTCATGAGTCCAAAAATACGCAAGTTGTAATGCTCTTGTGAATCATTACTTTTCTTCAAGCCATTCAGAAATTATTGTCAGGATTAAAGTTTTCTTTTTGACCTAAAAGTAGGAGAGAAAATACCGGAAAATGCTGACATTTAAATATTAATCTTTATTTGTTGTTAGAAATAATAATGCATGTAAAATAAAGCCTTTGTACCTATGTTCAAAAGATATAGCCAACATTAAGGGTTTTAATTTTAAGTAAATAAAACTCAAGTTCAAAGTAAAAATTGTTGGTACCCTAGAAAAAGTTCTTGTCTCAAAGAGAGATATATACACGTTAAATAGTAAAGTATGGGCCTAAATCATTCAAAAGGTATGGCGAAGGTTTAACTTTGTCAAAAGTAGCCCCAAGATCAAAGAGAGGTCATACATAGTGTAGTGAAATAGAATAATCATGGTGTATTGAAATGCCTCTGAAATCGTCCAATCAAAGCATTTTATATTTAACCAATCAAAGTTTACAGCCAATAAGGGTTCCCCAGTTATTAACAAATCATTAGTAATTAGGCATAGGAGACAAGGTATAAATACAGGCACCCATATGATATATGGTTACTTGGTTATTGCTTAAATTGCTAGAGTAAAATCTTTTGGGCTGGGTTTTTGGGCTGTGTTGGGAAACAACAGAATTGTTTGTTATACCACTCAGCTCAGGAATCTAGTTCCTTAGTGTCTCAATGACTAGTGTCTTGTTGACTATCGATTGTGTCTTGGTAACTTATAATAAAGGTGTCTTGGTGACTTTAGTTTGTGTCTTGGTGACTTTTTAGGATAGATGTAGACTGTGTCGGGAAACAACAGCATTGCTCGTTAAACCACTCAGTCTGCAGCTACAGTGATATAACGTGATAGATTGATTATTGGTTTGATTTTAAGTGATTTTTTTGTTATAGTTCGTTTTCTCTAGTTTACTTATCATTATCCAGATGGGACCCAGGAAAAGATATATACTTATATATTTAATGTCAGTCAGTTGTTCGCCATTGCTGTTGAAGTTTGTTTTGATTCTATATTTACAAACGAAATTCTCAGGAAGGAAACCTAAGCGTACTTTGTACGTCGATAACTTGTTAAAAAAGGTCTGGTCACATGGAATACCTCAATTCAATTCATTTCATAATGTAAGACATACTGAGCCAGAAAAGATGAAACTTGTATGGAAGCATCTTCAGGTAGTGTAGATTCAAGTTTGTTCAAATCATGACCCCCTGGGGGTAGGGCGGGCCCCAAGGGACAATTACAGTAAATACATAGGGAAATTCTTTAAAACTCTTCTTCTCAAGCACAACAAAGCCATGATTGGTTATCATATTTATATGAAAGCATCCTTAGGTAGTGTAGATTCAAATTATTCAAATCATGACCCCCGGGAAGGGGGCGGGGCCACAACGGGGATCAAAGTTTTACTTAAAAATATCTTTAAAAATCTTCTTCTCAAGCCAAGCAAAGACATTATTAGTTATATTTATGTGGAAGCATCCTCAGTTGGTGTAGATTCAAGTTTGTTCAAATCATGACCCCCTGGGATTGGGAGTGGCCACAATGAGAGATCAAAGTTATGCAATATAGGAAATATTGTTAAAAATCTTTTTCTCAAGAACAGCTCAGCCGTGACTAGTCATATGTATATGGAAGCATCTTCAGTTGGTGTAGATTCAAGTTTGTTCAAATCATAACCCCAGGGTTCGGGTGGGGCCACAGTGGGGGTTTACATAGAAATTATAGAAAAATATCGTTAAACATCTTCTTTTCAAGAACAGCAAAGCCCATGCAAATGGAGATTAGTCATACTTATATGGAAGCATTCTCAATTTGTGTAGATTCAAACCATGACCCCCTCCCCCCGATGGGGGTGGGGCCACAATTGGAGATCAAAGTTGTGCATAGAATTTTTTTCTCAAAAACAGCAAAGCCATGATCTGTCATATTTATATGAAAACATCCTCAGTTGGTGTAGTTTCAAGTTTGTTCAAATTATGACCACTGGGATGGGGGTGGGGCCAGAGTAGGTGATCAAAATTAAACATGGAAACACATATTAGGAAAAAATATTTGATTTTGATATGGAGGCCTTCTCAGGTAGTATAAATCAAATTGGTTCAAATAAGGGTCCGGGGGTAGGGCTTGTTCACAATGGAGGTCAAATTTTTGCAAATGAATAAATAGAAAAAAATCTTCTGCTCAATAACAGCAAAGCAATTTGTTACATTGATATGTAAGGATCATCAGGTAGCTTAAAATTCATCCCCCCCACACACACACATTAAACTATTCAATATACTGAACTATTTTTTTTCTTTTTTCCCTAGCCAATGTGCTCAGGTGAGCGATGTGGCCCATGGGCCTGTTGACTTACAAATACATGTATTCCACATAACATCGGTCCATTTGTCAAGTTGAAGTGTCGGTCTGATCCCCACTTTTCTGTTTTTGTTTTTAATATCTCCAATACCTGCACGTAGTAAAGGTCAACATGGGAAATGTAATTAATTTATTACAGGTATGCGCCGATAAAGGTAAATTTCCTCTTATCACTGCATGGACAGATGCCATCTAGGTCTGGAGGATTGATAGTATTGTTTGTAATTAACATTACACTTCCTGCTCTCTAATGATTAATTAATCAACTTTATGATCTACATGCAGACCAGAATTTATTGTCGAGAACATTGGATAAAATATATCACTTCAAAAGGCATTAGCTTTATTTGTAGGAGCGAACAGTACAGTTTGTTTGTAATGCCCAGTGATCAAGGATTTTGCCCTGTCCATTTGTCTGTTGCCTGCAAAAACGTAAACCTTGTCCAGGTTAAAGCTACGGCGCTCACACTTCTTCTTTGTATCTTTTATGATAAAGTCTTTCTTTGGACATTATCACATTTGACCCCTTAAACTTGATCTTAGAATTTGGCCCGCAATGGCAAAAATTTACCAAACTTTAACATTAGCCATAACTTATGAACTGTTGTTGTTAGGTGTTCATACTTCACGTGTGTATTAATAATTTTTTGAAAGACCATTCCCTGGGTTTTTTCCAAGACCATTCCCTGGGTGTATTTTTTTTTTTTACTTTTTGAACTTGACCTTAGAGATTGGCCCATTTAAAAAAAAACTATAACCTTGGCCATAATTTTAACAGGTAAAACTATAAGGCTTTCATATTTCACAGATTTATTCCATGTGAAAAGACCTCTCTTGGGATTTTTGACCGTGGAGTTTGACCTACTTTTGAATAAATTTAATTTTTACCGTAATTTTCAAATAACTATGTTGGCTCTATGGCTTTTAAATTTCACTTATGAACTTCTGAACTTCGTTTGGCAAAACCTGCCCCAAGGTAAAAATTTTGAACTTGAGAGTTTGAGCAAGTTTAAAAAAATTGCCATAAATTTTGAAAGGTTGGTGATTGAGCTTTCGCAGTTAACAGGTATAGTAATCCTTTCTTTGAATGACGATTTTTTGATCTCTTGACTTAGTTTGACGTTTGTCTTGCATGTGAGATACTTTGATCTTCGTCTTATAGCTGCCATACGGGGACATCAGTGTTCCGCAAACACATCTTTTGTTTTTGGTTTGTTTTTAATTTGCTTTGAGGCGGTTTTGAATACAGTAAAATTCATTTTGATAAAATAATTTCACTACTAATGTATACCAGGGATGTACTTCTTCGCTGGAATTTTCTTAAATATTGAACTTTTCATTTCCGTCCTTTCCAGAAATGTGTTTAAAAAATGAATAAATAAGGGAAATGCAAAATAAAAAATACTGGAAATACCATGCAAAATTCCGAAAATAAATACATAAATTTCGTTTCTTTAAAACTATATTTGGCCTATAAACAACATCATCATATAGAAGAAAATTTAATATGACGGGGAAAAACACCTCTTGTTGAAGATCCGTGTTTAATGGCATGTTAATTTTGGTATTGGATTACGGACCTTAAATTTAAAGTTCTTAGAAATGTCCATTTTTTGTTTGATATGCCTGTGTGGTTTTGAATCAAATATTTGGGAACAATTTTATACTTCTTGGATAGTAATTATAAAGAACATTATCCTCAACATTCAATTCAACACACCGAGTCAGACTATCAAATAAATGGAAATGCACATAATCAATCATGAAATCTTTGTAGTTAAATAGAGATAATTAATCACTCGATAAAATAATTAGTCTTTATCATGTTTTTCTCTATAAATATAAATGTTTTATATAATATACAATTAATCCACCTTCTCAAAAAAGCTGTCTTTTTGAACCTTCATTCATCAGTATTTGTATACTACATATGTATGTATTAGAAGTACCTTAAAAACATATTTCATCTGCCCCTACATCATGTACTTATATCTTTGTTTAGGTATACTGGTTGGGCCCTCTATTGGGCGGACTTGTCGCCGGGCTTCTCTATGACAACGTATTCGCTACCAACGCATCCCTCCTAAAGGCGCGCGGGTTTCTGCTATCAAGTCAGTACGACACGGAGAAGTTTCCCGCCAGTAAACCTAAGATCCGGGTGATTGAGGAGGAGGATGAGGAGGGGGAGGATGACAGGGACCCCCTCAGCAGCTCATTCGACTCCCACAGGGAGGAGGAGAAGAGGCCCGAATCTCCATAGCAACTGGTGTCCAAAGCTTTAACAACATACTCGCATGCTTTATAAATGAATCTTTTATAAAAAGAGAGTCAGACTGAGGCGATTTCTTCACAGCTGCTGTTTCTAGAAGGACATTTTCTTTTAAATTTTGTAAACTTTTTCGTGTGTGTAGAACTGTAGATGTATATCATTGTATGGATGTGTATGTTTCAAATGCTTCATGTGTAATTGTAATAGGTGTATCTTACGTCTGAAATACAATTCTGAATTGCTTGCAAAGGTGTCTAGATAGAAATAAATTCGGGATATGGGTGGGTGACTTGATGTCTCAGTTAGGGAAGTAACTGTTTCTACTGCTGAGGAACAAATTTCTCCAATGTAAGATGTATTATATGTGTATCTTCATTAAAATAAAAAAAAATAATAATAAAACATTTTTTATTTTAATATAATATAATATTAGTATTCATGGTGACTAAACAAAATAATAGTACGAGGGGTGATCAAAAAGTTCGTGAACTAATTAAATACCGTAAATCTGGAAATTTTTACGTCGATTTTATTTTGCGAATTAGGGTCAAAATGCTGTTGATAAATTTTTCCGTACCAAAATTTTGCGAATGACCACTGCTTTGTTTTATATTTTCTTATTGGTGAATTATTTTTAAGAAAAATATTTTTGCGAATGCATTGCACTCGAAAATTTGCTAAAAATTTATCTACAGCAAAAATTTCCAGATTTACGGTAACTTCCATAAAAGAAACAATATTTGGTTTCAGTGTTGATTATATTTTAAATTAGTCCTCTTTGATTTTAATGTACATCTGCAACCGTTCTGCTCATGCGCGAATCATGTGATATACGCGATCACGTGACCCTCTGCGTAGCATTCTGTCACAAAAACTGAAAGATTTTCTGAGTTTTATATTTCTTTTCATGTTAGTTAATTTTTATAAGAAGAACAGTTCATTTATCAGAAATGGTTAAATCTCGGCAACAGAATGGGTGGATAAGAATATCCTTTCCAAAAATAAGCATGGCGAAAAAAAACCCAAATTTTCTCTCTCGGGAGAGACGTTTATTCAAGGTGGATAGAGAATGGGTGCCTCCATTTTATCATATCTTATATGTTTAAAATCTAAAGTAAATGATATCTTAGGTATTTAATAATTATATAATTGTTGAAATATTCAACTATTTTTCAAAGTGTAAATTGGAGATCTTTGATAGCAAATTGCTTAATTAAAAACACATCTCTTTTCAAACTTGCTTTCACTGGGCAACATAACAAGTATCATTTTTAACCATTTGCCTTCCTTCACTAAAACTATCAATCCAATCATTGATTCAATATATAGGAAGTCATTTATCTTAATAAACTGTATACAAATTATTTTACGCTACTGAAAAGGCGTTTCTAAGATATACCATAAATTTTACAGTCGTTTGTTGAACGAGTAGGACTGAGACAACCATTTTTCGCCACAAATGACCTACATAGTGACGTCATTTTCACATTGTGACGTCATAATGATAGACAAAATCCTTACTTCAGCATATGCTATTTATAGAACTTGTGCATGGTTATGTGTGTACCATCTGAATTGTGGTTTTATAGATATAGAGATAGTTCGCGAACTTTTTGATCACCCCTCGTATTCATGATGACTAAACAAAATTATTACTGGACTAGCACTATTTCATCACCAATACTACTGGCAATTGATAAAAAAAATACAAAACAGATATTCTTTTATATTACAATTTTTATTAAATAAATGTGAATAAGCTGAAGTAAACAAACAGGCCAGTCTACCTCGTATGTGTAGAGAACTAAGGTAACACTGATTATCAAAAATCCTTACGCTAATGAACTATGTTCTTTGACTTATGAAGTTTTCAAAGTCATTGCTTCTAATGTTTATATTATATAGATAAAACTTCGTTTTATTTTTGTTGCTTTATTTAGCGTTTGTATTATCTCAAAAGCGGTTGAGAGTATAAGAACTATATTTTAGCGCGTAACTTTAAAATGGCGACTATGGGGTCAACATCCTGCCTTGAACAGGATCACATAAGCCGGCAATTGCTCTTTGAGCAATAAGCCCGGCTAAAATATCCTTTTATTTTACAATTTTTATTAAATAAATGTGAATAAGAAGTCACAGGCAAGTCTGCAGTGAAGCTTAATGAAAAATTAATTCAAACTTGAGCTACTGGTTTGTACTTTCAAAAATGGAAGAGAAAAGCTACACTAATGCACCTGAGAAACCTATTTTGTGGGAAGGATCAGACTGACTTGACCATTATTAGAAGGTAATGTTATTTTACCTGCTACTTTTACAAAAACCTTGAAAATCGGAAAATTCCAAAAATTATACTAATAGCATAAATATATCTTAGCTGTTTGCTTTATTAAATAATTCACAAAGCACCAATTATCCTGTCAACAGGGGGTGGTTACTCCTCCAAGAAGCACCTTAAATATTCAGAAAGTACACAACAGAGCAGTACAATGTACATGTATTTTCCATCTAAAAGTAACAAGCTGTCAACATTCATAAACTTATAGGTTCAAATGTAATGAGAATACTTGGTATTGAGATACATGTACATGTATTTATGACATTGGATTAATTCAGTATGGAATTTTTCCTTAAATCCATTTTATGGCGATGACTCTAATACCAAGTAGTGATGCTTTTTTTTGAGATTGAAAAAAAATACCCTTGTTACTAGAAATTATTTTTATAAAAAGAAAAAATTATTTCTTGACATTTTACCCTAACATCTCTACCAAACATATGTATATTCAGTTTTCTTTTTCATGAAAGAGGTTGAAAATTTTTAACTTGTTACAGTGTATGTATCAATCATTAATTTGTTAAAATCCCTTGCCTGAAACATTGGTCATCTATATAAGCAAATGTAATGGAAGGAGAAAATATATGGCTGGACCAGGATCAAACCTGAGCCCTTGCATCACTAGTCAGGTGCTCTACAGAGTCAGACTGAGCTAACCGGGCTGATATATCCATGGCCCAAACCATTACACAAATATATCATAAAGCATACATATCCATTTATAGAACTTCCATGAAGTCTTCTGATTCCAGTAGTTGTCTCCTCCTGAATAGATGGCGCTGTATTCTCCATCTTCTGTATCCAACAAATGCTGACAGTCCATAAACCAGGACACAGATGTATCCTATAATCTGAAATACATGTTCGTATGATTTAAATAAGTATTCCATGCAATCATAATTTACAGTTTATTATTCCAATGTGTTATTTTTGGTATATAAAAGAGATAACTGTCTCTCTTGATTTTGCCTCATTTCTATTTTTTCACAATATCAAGAAAAACATGAAAATAAGATGGGGGAACAACATCCCCATGTAAATCATTTTTTTTTTTCAGTTTCATCACACTCTCCAGTCTCTTTCAGCTCTACTGGTTTGTACTTATAACAAATGAAGACAAAAGTAGCAATTGGGACTTAAAACTTTACAACAGCAATAAATAGAATAATGATGCTAATGATTGAGCTCTTTTTGAGGCAAGATACTGCAATAAGACTACAGCTGTAGGAGTAGCTATTAATAAACTTTTAGAGTATTTACAGACAGACAGACGGATGGACGCCAGGCATTACTATTGAAAACATGTGTTTTTTTCTCCTAGGTACTATTTTTTTTTCTGATTTATTTTCTCTACACAAGCCCCTGTGGTTTCATGAGAGTTTTTGGCTCTCAGGCTCTGCAACTTAGATGAGCTCACTTTTTGTCCAATTTAAGTCTCACTTCTCCACAATAAATAAACTTTTGATGGAGTGATCAAATGGAAATGGAAATGAAGCTCATTTAAGTTTTATGGCACCTGAGCCAGATTTTGTCAACTAGCAAATTACATTGTACTATTCTTGAGTATTTTTCTTTAGCTTAACAATTTCTGTACATTACTGGTTTAGACTGAGAAATTGATAGAAATCAAAAGTGTCAAAGCCACACATTTAAACAAATTGCATTTAAGATCATTTTTAAACTGATAAAGACATATGCATTTTAATATCATACATTATACTTACTATTGAGATAATGAACTTTGTGGACAAATCTTCTGGCAAGTTTTCTTCCATCAATTTTAAATGTTCAACATAATTGGCAACAATAGATGTGGAGATAAGATATGAGAGTGAAAACATGGAATATAGTAAGAAATCCTTTAGAAAGAAAGAAAAGAGAGGAATAAAACTTTAGAAGAGGAATTATAATAGTTAGTGTAGTGATGAAAATTGTCTTAATATACATTAAAAAAATTTAAACCAAAAATTTAAAATGAACATGTATTTATGTATTTAGCAATAATTAAATCTAAGAAAATTAATTTTATTCTCACCAAGAGCCACCAGTTGACTGGAAGCATTTGGTCTGACCCTGTGACTTTGATCCCCCATAAAGCAAGGCTACTGAGAGAGGACCACATTATCACAAAAAGCAGGACTCGCACATGCCAGTTCTGAGGTAGGGACAGAAAATCACCCCCGTCAATACCTGAGCAGGTCACTATTGCCAGAAAACAGCAGAGAGAAAGCAGCTGTAAAAATAACATACAATATTATTCATCTATGTAATACATGTAAGGGGGGGGAGAGAGAGATGCCTACCAGAATAGTCTACTGTATTCTTCACCTCTCCCATTGCAAAACAAACCATGTGGTTTGATTCCTGTAAAAAAATTAAGCAAGGAAGGAAAACTACTAGTGGGAGTTGGACTGAAATTCAGGACTTTGCACTATAACTGAGTCTTGTCCACAAAGTAGAATCTTTAAAATTAAACTTCTATTTTTATTATGCCCCCATAAACAAAGTTTTGGGGTATATAGTTTTTGTTGTGTCTTTCCATCTGTCTGTCTGACTGTCTCTCTGTCTGTCTCTCTGTTTGTTTGCAAAACTTTAACCTTGCCCAATGGCCATAACTTTTGATTTTGTGGATCTATGACTTTCGTATTTCACATGTGTATTCCTTGTGACAAGACCTCTCTTTGGGTACCACCAAATTTGACCCTTTGACCTTGACCTTGGAGTTTGACCCACTTTTACACAAAAATTCCAAACTTTTACTTTGGCCATATCTTTTGAACAGTAGATACCAGGACATTTATACTTCAAATATGTATTGTTTGCGGCAACACCTTTCATTGGATACCAACAATCTTGACCTTTTGACCTTAACCTTGGAGATTTCCATACTTCTGAAAAAACTTTAACCTTGGCCATAACTTTTGAATGGTAAGGGATAGGGCTTTCATGCTTCACATATGTAATCCTTGTGAAAAGACCCTTTATTGGATACCATAAACTTTTACCCTTTAACCTTGACCTTGGAGTTTGACCTCCTTTTAAAAAGCAAAGCTAGATCATAACTTTTAAAGGATTTGGGCTAGTGCTTTCATACTTTACATATTTAATTCTTGTGACAAGACCTTTCATTTGATAGCAAGACCTTTGATCCTCTGACCTTGACCTTGGAGTTTGATCTACTTTTAAAAATTTTTAACCTTGTCCATAATTTCTGAACGGTTAGGACTAGGGCTTCCATACTTTAAATACTTATTCTTTGTGGCAAGACCTTTCATTGAATACCAATTACCTTGACCTTGGAGATTTTCGTACTTATGAAAAAACTTTAACCTTGACCATAACTTTTGAATGCTAAGGGATAGTGATCTCATACAATATCTTGTGAAAAGACCCTTCATTGGATACCAAGAACTCTGACCCTTTGACCTTGGAGTTTGACCTCTTTTTAAAAATCAAACCTTGACCATAACTTTTAAAGGGTTAGGGCTAGTGCTTTCATACTTTACATATTTAATCCCTTCAAAAAGACCTTTCATTTGATAGCAAGACTTTTGACCTTGGAGTTTGACTTACTTTTAAAATTTTTTAACCTTGACCATAGCTTTTGAAGGGTTAGGGCTAGAGGATCCATACTTCACATGTGTATTTTTTGTGGCAAGACCTTTCATTGGATACCAATTACCTTGATCTTTTGACCTTGACCTTGGAGATTTTCAATCTTATGAAAAAAAACTTTAACCCTGGCCTACTTTCATATTTCAGAATTGTATTTCCAGTGAGTTTGCATTTAAGAAAAATTTAATCTTCACTATGTTGCCATACGGGGGGCATCAGTGTTTCACAAACACATCTTCATGATCTTGTTTATAAACCTAAAATTCAGCAAAAGTTGACATTTTCTGACAAAATGCATTTTACTCTCTGTACATATTATAAACTTAAGATATTTGTGTCTTGGCAAATTTAGCTGATAGACTGGTCAAAATTAATTATTAAAATTAGTTGATAGACGTGCAAGATTTGGGTTTTATTTGACATTTTCAGTGACAAAATAGACAATAAAGATTACATTCTTCATTCCTTTAGATGAGATATTAGATGGGATATTAATTGATACTTTTGAATAAATTGTTCAATATAAAAGACATTTAATATACCACTTGAAATAGCCTGAGGAATCCACTACAAGAGAAAAGGAAATCCGTATTACAGTAGATAAACACCATGTCCCCTTCATCCAACATCTGCATTTGCTGGACCCTGGTTTGTGGACTTTCGTCGTCTGGTCCACAGTAGTTTGGGTTTGTGATAAATACCTGATGAGTGAGGATGCCTTTTTAAAAATACAATTTATCAAAATATCTTCTTTTCCTTAAATATTTGTGACCAGAATTCTACAAAAACACAAGAATATATCCAGATATTTTACATGCTCCATCCTCCATTACTTCCGTTCATTAAGCTTTTTATGGAGTTGGCAACCTTGTTGATTTTTATATAGAGAATGTAGGGTCTCTCGTTTGTTTTAGGTAATTTTTCGATTTCTTCACAAATATGGCAATCAGTGAAAGACAACTCTTGTCACAGATTAGCCATAAATTCATGCCGACTAAACTGAGTCAGAAACATAGCGAACAAAAGGTTAACAGCTACAAACTGTCAATAAGTTAAGGAATAAAAAATGGAAACATTTTAGAAAACCAGCATCTTTGATACATGATTTTCGGAGCTGTCAAAAGCAGACGGATTTTAGGGCCCCTTGCCTCCTCATGCAATCCAGGATACTCATCTATCGTTTGCGAAAGTTGTTATTAGTTATCATTATAGAAATAAGAATGATCATTCACTTGTTTACCTTAAGAAAAGAAACAAATAGGCTTTATTTCTTACAATTTATATAAAATAATGATATAAGCGGTAAAAAAATTGTATTCACGTGACTCGCAAGATGGCTGCGCCCTGTTAATCTTGGCGGTTAGGAGTCAAAATAAAATGATCACAAAATATGAACGACAAGGAATATGCACCACTTAGTCCCCAGTGTGTTAGGAATCTAAACGATAAGTTGTATGAAAAAAGAAAGACAGGGGCTTTGGAAGTCGAGAGGTAAGCTCCTGCACAAGTTCAAGGTCGGCATTGTACTGATTGTCACTTCTTTCTGCAGACAGTTACCTATCTGTTATATGTTTTGTCAGTGCTTTATATTCAGTGGTGATTAAACAATTAACAATTTTATTTATGTTTTAAAAAATGGCGACTTGTTTAATGAATAGGCATCTGATAAAGTGTTTGAACAACATGCATAAAGTGATGAACAGGTGAAAGTAATAAGTATGTAGTGGTCATGAGATTAAAGCATATAGAATGTAATGTCCTTCGACATCTTTTTAAACCTTGAAAAAAAAAAGATTCAAAAATATGTGTGTTTATCTTTCTTTAGTACATGTATATAACAAAAGGCTAAGAGTTTATAGTTTTTGTACTTCATGTCATCAATTCACACAAAAATTTGGACATGTTTTAGTAAGAAATATCTGTATGTCAGATTATTTTCTAAATACTTTATAGATTGGTCAGAGAATATGTGATAGCTAATGACCATGTGAAGATCAGGAGGATTCTGAAAATTTTGGGAGATGATTTTGCATTGTCTAACCACCCCAATGCCAGGAAAGGGGGAGCTATTGGGCTGGCAGCTGCAGCCATTGGCCTGGGAAAGGTTGAGACTCTTCACAATTGTTTCTGTTCTTTGGCTTAAAATCCGTTCAACTGTAAATTAGTAATAAACAAGGCACAGAGTGGCATTTTCTCTGGTTTCTCCTAATAAAGTAAAACAGGATTATAGCGAACACACTTACAACGAATTGATCTACACTTACAGCAAAATGATTTTCATTCCCCATGCTTTTAAAATATATTATAAACTTAACGTATATAACCAATTAAGTTCATAATGAAACAACATTGTCTGTCCCTGGCACTTCCTTATAACAGTGTTTTACTGTATCATTAGAAAGAAAAACTCAGAAATATATACAAAAAATGCAAGAAAAACAGTCTTCACGAAAAAGAAAAATCATCATAGAACATTCGGACAGGCAGTTGAAACAATTTCACAGGACCAAATAAATTTTCACCGGTCCAACTTTTATCATATAATGATCATAACAAGGTATCTTTATATCAAAGACATATGAATCAATAAACAAATATCACTTTAAAATATTTACAACTGAAATTATTCTTTTTCTTCCTTGTACACTGTACTGTTCTATCAAATATTTTACAAAAATCATGGCGGAAGAAGGTTTTAAAACAATCATGATCGACAAAACATTTGATAATGTATATTGGTATTGCATTTACCGGTATATGATGAAATAGAAAATATAAAATGTAAAACCCAACCAAAACAAACCTCGGACAAACAGACCAATTTTTCTAGTTAGTGCATCAGACCAATAAGATTTTCACCTGTTTTGTCTGATGGACCGGTGCTTTTGGGATAGACTGAAAATTTATGTAAATTTGATCCCCTCTACAATTTCTTGTAATGATAGAGTATTATGGGCATACAGAGAGTTAAACATAGTAGTATATGACTGTGTACGAGTTTATATTAGCGCAGCATCTTTTAATCTGTAGGAATCTCAGAATTATGTCAGGGACCTGGTTCAGCCCGTCTTGGCCTCCTTCCAAGATTCAGACAGTAGAGTCCGGTACTACGCCTGTGAAGCCCTTTATAATATTGTCAAGGTGTGCCGAGGGAACGTGCTGCCCTACTTCAATGAGATCTTTGATGGAATCAGTAAGGTACTGGATGTCTCATGTTTCCATAAGATATATAATTACTTGAAATTACAAGTTTTCCTCTAGACTCTGTATTTAGTGCTACATGTCATATATACAATTTTTTTTTATTTACATTGATACACCATTACTTTATACTTTAATACTTTAAATGAAGCTTTTATATTTACACTTTCTAAAACATTTGACAATTTTTCTTGCATTTTGATTTTATTTTCAAATTGATTTTTGGAATAGTTGCAAATTTTTGAGAGTTTTTTTGAAACTGGTAACAAACATTAAAAATTTTGCAGTCTTTATAATTTGATTTATAAACCATCTCAATTATAATAAAACAGCTGATGTCGGACACTGACCAGAATGTGAAGAACGGGACAGAATTACTGGACAGATTAATCAAGGTAAATATAATCATGACTATTATGTATATGTACATATAGAAAGGGACAGAACTACAAGACAAACTGATAAAGGAATGTATATATACATGTGCATAGATAATCCAATAAAAAGTCTCAGTGGTCGGAATTAAATACTTAAAATAAAAAAGAAAAACACGAAAAACTTCAGTAAAGCTTTACTGAAGTTTTTCGTGTTTTTCTTTTTTATTTTAAGTATACATGTGCATATACATATATAAATAAAAATATCCCCATGTCTATGTTAGGTTAATTTACCAGGGAATGTTAAATTCTGACTTAGTTACCATGATATTTCTCTTTGATGGAGACTTGTTTATTTTATTCTTATAAACTAGAATTTTTGTATTGTAGGATATTGTTACAGAAAGTCCCTCCTTTGACCTAATGGCCTTCATGCCCCTGCTCAGAGATAGAATTTACGCAAAAAATCCAGAAGCTCGGCAGTTCATTGTCTCCTGGGTAAATGATTCTGTATTTTTTAGAAGCTTTCCATCAGTTTTCATGATATGAAATGCAAATATTTTTGGATACATGTTATTTGTTTATAATGGTAAATACCTTTTAGAAATAAATTTAATTTGACTTTTATGCATATTTATTAGTTGAATCAGATGTAAAATGCACTTGCCTACTTTGTACAGTTAGCAATATTGGATGCTGTACCAGATATAAACATGATAGTCTTGCTCCCAGAATTCCTGGATGGTTTGTTCAATATATTGGGGGATTCAAATCCTGAGATTCGTAAAATGTAAGTTATTGTTATTCAGTAAATGAAATCTTTTGAGTTACTTACAGAGGATTCAAAAAGGAAAAAATGATCATAGAATACACTATAAAAATTGAATGTCATTTTTTATAAGGAAATCTTGTCTAAAGCTTGTTATAGTTTTTCCTGTTAACCTTAAAAATAGCTATCACTACTTGAAGAGCTATTGACATGCTGTTAATTTTCCTGTTTGACATTTAAATTGTATGCTGTTTTAATACACAGAATATTTTTGTTTTTCTGTTTAGGTGTCATGATCTTTTAACCGAATTTTTGGCTGGAGTAAAAAATAGTAATGTTGGTGTTAAATATGAAGGCATGGCTAATATCCTCATCATTCACTGTAATAGTAATGGTAAGTACTTATTGTTACTACAGAATATAGTAAACTTAAGTACTTGTTGATACTACAAATAACAGTAATGGTAAGTACTTATTGATACTTGTACTACAAAATAAAAAGAATGTAGAGTGATTTTTAATGCTACAAGTATACGAAATGGTTAAGTGTCTGTTTATACTACAAAAATGAAAATGTAGTAATTTTAAGTGCCTATTAACGCTGCTAGTAACTGTAATATAAGTACTTTCTGATACATGTGGAAGTAACAGAAATGGGTATATACTATTATTCAATTTACTGTTTTATTTTTTAAGTGGGTAATACTATTATTCTGTTTTACTGCAAGTATCATACATTTTGTCATATCTTCGTCTATCTTCGTGTACATGTAAATCTAATATCTGCAGTATCTGGAATTTATGAAAGAATTGGTAATTCCTCTCTCTTTTAAGTCTATGGTAATTTATAAATAGCATGACTGGCTATTTGTCAGCAATGTATATTCAAACATTTCCTTCTTTCAGATGATCTCATTCAGTTTACGGCCATGACCTGGTTAAGAGAGTTCATAGGTCAAGCAGGTCGTACCATGATTCAGTACACACCAGGAATAATTAATGCTGTTCTACCAAACCTACAGAGTGCTTCTGATAAACAAAGAAAGTATCCTTTTATAGAATAAAAAGGAAGAGATAAGGAAACCTGAATACACTTAACAAAGAGGAAGCATTTCTTTCAAGTATGGAAAACCAGCCATACATGTTTACTTAGTTAAATATGGAATATGTTGAAGGGACAACAATCAGCAAACTAAAAAGTGGTAGAGTGTATCCTTCTCATATTCCTCTAAACTGAATCTTGATATCAATTACATTTTAAAATCCTTAACAAGATTCAGCGTTGCTGAGGCAGCTAAGTCCCTGAATGATGCATTGAAGGATCTTGTATCTGACACTGATGACATTCCTTCATCACAAGAGGTCAAAAGTGAAGGATCAGAAAAACTAAATGAGGAGTCAACAAACAATCTTTCAAGGTCATTCATCTTTTTTATATTTTTATGTTGTTTTTGTGAAGAATTTCTAGTAAGAAACCTTATTAAATGTTTAACATATATTGCAAGTTTGCAGATACACACAATGAATTTAGATACATTTTTGGTCAATCTTCTTAAAAGACACTCGTAATTAGAACATATAGAACAAAAGTCTATTAATTTTATTAACATCATCAGTTTTTGCACTTGTGTCATTTTAGTTACCATGATGTGATCATTCAGTTCTTTAAGAAAAAATCATTCAGTCAGTCAGTGCTTACATGAACACCAGATGAATGATCTGTCATCATCATATATATTTATATTTTAGTTCCTCCCAGCTTGATGTAAGGGAGGTAATCAGTGTCATCTGTCAGATTCTGGGGAGAGGGAACTTTGGGACTAAGATAGCGGCCCTGGAATGGCTGAGTCACATGCTGACTAAGGTTCCCAAGCGGACATTTCAGTACGTGGACACATTCTTCCCGGTACTGTTACAGACACTGTCCGATGAATCAGAAGAGGTATGTAGACAATGTCATATAGATCTATCTGTGTAAATAAAGTAGGTTTTTAATTATTTCAATAAGATGAATGAAAACTAGTAGGTATTTTTTTATTGCTGGGCATACATTTGAACTGATTGCATTTACGCAGTGCTTATATGAGAAAATATGAAGAATTCAAATTGTACTACAGGTAGATATTTAGTGAATGGTAGTTTTAAATATTATAAGGAGTTATTGGTCAGTTAAACTACCATTTCCTTATGAAGCCCAGGCCTTGTCTTTCCTGGGAAATGGCTTGAATACTTTAGAAGATACACATGTACACATACCCATGTTAGTTACACGATTATGAACAAGAATTTATTTGTCAATTTTTTTTTTTAATGGTGTATACTTTTCAGTGAGGAGAAGAAACTGTAGATATAAAAATTTTTAAGGTTGTGCTTTTGGACCTTGAAGCCTTGGCGGAGATTTCGTCCAATCCTGCGGGTCTTCAGAAGAAGCCGCCTACCTCTACAAGTCCCGGTAAAACTAAGCCCCAGGATCACCCCGAGAACTGCGGAGGACTCAACGAGTACTTCTCCAAGTTCATGGCTTGTCTGGTAGAGCTGTTCAAGAAAGATAGACAGCTTCTAGAACCAGACGAGCGGGGGTATTTTATCATCAGGTAAAATTTTCATTGTCAGCTTAGAATTCTCTGTCATCAGATATAACTCAAAATCATATGGTTCATTACAAGGTTAAACTTTAATATGCTATTAAATTTATGAGATGACATTGCATGGTGTCAGTATTTCTACTTCTCAATGAATTAATTACAAAAAAATTTAAAGTTGGTACCATGTAAACCCATATGTTATAGAGTTAACAATTTAAAGCTTTTTGTATGATTTCTATTTTTGTATTTGTTTATTTTAATTTTCTTCCTGTTTTTAGACAGTTGTGCCAGCTCCTGACAGCGGAAGATATTTTTAAATCCTTTTCCCATATTATAGTGGATGAGCCCGATGTATTGTTTGCCTGTAAAATTGTTCAGACTCTGAACACCATTCTATTAACGTCCACCGAACTCTTTGAACTGAGGACACAACTCAAAAATCTAGATACTCAGGTTTGCATATTTCAAATTTTCTGCATCTTGGAAATAAATTGATATGGGTTTTTTTCTGAAACAAATAATTAAAGCACTCAGTTGTTAGGATAGCTATGATTAATTTCTTGCAATGCCTTTTAATGTGAGAGGGTATAAGCATAAATAAATTAAATATCTTAATTAACATTGAAGAAATAATTTGCTGTGGTACAAAAAAAAATGTATTAAATATTTGTCCTTCTACATAATTTTACAAATATTGGACAACTGCAGAAAATACTGTTTAACTATATAGATTTCGTCATTGGGATAATTTCAATATATTATTTTTATACAGGGTAGCTGTGCTTTGTTTTGTTGTCTGTATAAATCCTGGTGTCATAGTCCCATAGCAACCATTTCCCTGTGTTACCTGACCCAGAACTATCACCATGCCAGCGACCTTCTACAGGCCTTGTATCCTTCTGTGACATCTACAGAAATGAACAATACCATAAATATAGAAGCAGGTTAAATAGTTTACAAGAGGATTTTCTTTGGATAGGTTTAAAACAATAAAGAGATGAAGTCATTTGTATTAGGAACAATATCAGTACAACTGTTTGCTGCTCCGACAGTAAATGGAGTTGTTTTATAGTCCTTGTAAAGAGTTAATGATAGAATTAGTATGTTGTTCATTCTACTGATGTCTGATGAGTTTGCTTGATGTCTGTATGTCTGTTCCTAAATGAATGAATTGTTATCCTTAATGTGGAATCAGTGGTGATCTAGAAATCACTGTAGACTTCCTAAAGGAAATAGACAAACTTGTACAACTGATCGAATCTCCTATATTTTCTTGTGAGTAGCATTATCACCATACATATACACATTTTGCATTTTATTGACATATCTACTGTTAATGTAATTTTAAGTTTGTATATATATCGAGGGATAACTGATTTACATGTATTCCTGCAATTGTTAGATTTGCGGCTTCAGTTGCTGGATGTTCAACATAATCAGGACTTGATCCGGAGTCTCTACAGTTTACTGATGCTGCTTCCACAGTCTGAGGCCTTCAAACTCCTACGTAACAGACTGGACTGTATACCACAGTATCAACTCATGGCTATCAAGGATAAGTATGTACCCAATACTTAATATTTCTGAAGATCAAAAGAAATTTAAATGATATCTGTTGTCAAGCATTTGACTTTTTAAAGGTAGTCATTTAGAGAATAACCCTATTCATTCCTTTATTTTGTATCTATAATTTAATATTCTATAAAATCATGCATCGAGTTATGTGTCTTTTTGGTCATGGCTACTTGATAATGTTAATTCTTTCTTAAATATTTAACTTTGAAGAAGACAACCAATATTTGATCATCTTAATCCACCAATCAGTGTCAGATCTGTTAATTGTTCTCTTTTTCTTTAGACCCCAGTCCTCAAAAGACCCTAGACCGCTCGTGTCAAAAATCAACTTCAAAGACCTGCATCAGCATTTCCTACACGTCCAGGCAAGACACAGAGCGGCACGCAGTCAGAAAGTCAAGGCCCCGGTCAGGGCCTGAGGTGGCGGGCATTAAACGCACAAAATCTACACATCTCCTGACACAGCGCTACATTTATAACACCAGAGACTGCTGTCAACAGTCAGAGAGATTGTAGATATAGAAAAAGGGAATTATCTGTCTTTGCAAACAATCTGTCTTTCAAAGCAAAAATTGATTTAATGCTTTTACATGTACAGTTTTTTATGTAGCTAGTACAGGTACTAGTTTCTATGTGTATGGAAAAAGAATTATTACTGTAAAAGGATTGGTATAAATACTTATTACAATGTTATCCATTTCCAGGTAGATTAAATTTATAATTCCACAATAAATTGGATATTTAGATATTATCAGGTGATTCTAAACTGCAGATTCACAACTTCTGTTCAGTCTGTTGGTAGAAATTTGTGACTGCATACCTGTAGAGTAAATTAATCCCACACAGGAAAATGTGTACCCGAATGTATGTGAATTCTATAAACCATCTAAATTTTCTTTTTACAGTATTATTTTTTAAAGGTATATGCATACAAATGGTGGGAACACCACTGTAATGTTATCCATAGAAATTTTTTTTTGCTTGTGATTTTTAGATTTAGTGTGCTGTAGAGCAGATAAGTCCCTGTATAACCAATACATGTAAGAGTACAAGTGTACCAATGGAGGGGAAAAGATGTATCAGAGTGTAAGAGATTTGGTATGAATGTGTTTGTGTTGAGAGATTTTCCAGTGCAATATCTCTGTTATGAGTTTTCAGCTCAGTTTTAAGAGCAAGATAAGGGGGACAAGGCCAGTGTTAGAAATCATGATTAAAGGCCAGCAATAATTTAAGGTGAATTTAACTGTGTGTTTTTGTTACCATGCACAACTAGTGAATTACAGATGCAATGGTTTGCTAGTAAAACATATCTGTTTTATCTTTAGTTCATTATATTGTAATTAATTTTATTGGCAATTCATTGTTTTTGTTTTGTGCATTATTCTTTTTTTTTTTTGAATGCTTTAAACTTCAAGGGTACAAATAGAATGTTTCTAGTTAGGTTTTTGGTTTAATAAGCTTTTGGTGAGAAATACAGTAAAACTTGTGTAATCTGGTACATGAATTCTTAAATCTTGCTCATTACAATGAAAACCTACAATTATTGGCTTTTGATGAGGTCTACATGACTATTCTGGTCAGGTATTGGTATCAATTCCATATAGTCACAAGTAGGCCGAATTAAAAAGCTAGTAACTGTTTTACTAAATAATCTGGATTTTTACAGCATTTTTGACAATTTAATTCTCGTCTCCAACAAGAACATGTACAAACACACATAATTTTAAGTGCAGTGTAACAACACATGGTATTTTACAGTTGTAACAACTGTCTAAAAGTGGAAAACAATATCTTGAAACAATATTAATACTCAACCATTTACTACTAGGAGTTTATAGTCTTGTCAGAACTTAATGTTGCGGTGAACTTGCTCTGAGATACAAGTCTTACAGCAATTATAGAGCATCAAAAGTCCTTGTAATTGAATAAAAAAAAAATGTCTAATTTCATGTAGGAATGTCTAATTCAGCAAACTTCTCTGGAACCAATTGTGCCCAGATTAGACCAGTTTTACTCTCCATATTACCGTATTCTTTGGTTCGACAATTTTTTTCTTTGTTTGGAGAGAATCCCTTACACAAACAAGACTTCTTAATGCCTGTTCATTAATTTGATATAATATGATTTTATGAAAGGAATGCTTTCTTTTTTTTAAATGAAATGTATTTGTAATTTTGATTATTTATATAAGCACTGTTTTATTTGTTATGCACTGTTTGATCAGAGGGACATCCATGTTTGGTGCAGACTTTTTTGTTTATAGCAATCATTCCACAGAGAGTATCTTGTATACAATCAGATATGATTCTCTTTTTTTTCATATACATGTATGTTGTGAACTTTCTCATTTTCATAATTGATTTTTAATAATATATTTATTGAATACATTGAGATTTTTTTGTCTATCATAAAGAAGTGGAAAAAAATTATGATGCACAAGTTGTTCACTCTGCCAGTAAATGATGATCTGTCCACTGGCAAGATTGGTGGACAACTTAAGGCCAGGCTCTGGGGTCATAAAACTTAGAGAAACTCGCTTTTGTTGAATTTACGATTTCAGTAGAAAAGTCGAAAGCAAGTCCAAGTTTTATGACACTGGAGCCAGACATCGTTGTTAGAGAATATCTCTACACTGTAAAGTAAGTATGACAACTGAAAGTCAGTGGTAGTCATTATTAGAGATTATATGTTAACTTCTATCGGTTTGTTTGCTGTTTTACGTCCCTGTTGAGAATTTTTCACTCATATGGAGATGCCACAACCTGCTGGTGGAGACTGCAAATGTTTACCTATACTGAGCACTCAGGACCTTTGACCATTCTGGGATCTTTTTCATGCAAACACTAACTGTGACACAGCTAGGATCACAGTTTACGCCTCCAACCCCCAAAGGAATGATCATTTCCTTACTTTGCTGCTCTAGATCAGATGCTCTAACTACAGCACTATGCAATAGGAATGGTTTTTACAACATACTGGTATATTTTGGCAAAATATACTAGGGTAATTAACAGATTTTAAAATACAATAAAACAGGAAATTATTTTCCAGTAAACAGAAAAATTACCTCAACAATTTTAGGTGTTTTAAAACAGTTTAATATACAAAGATTTTAAACATGTTTACATTCGTTCCACACTTATTGCTGAACTGACTGCAAATTATTGCTAACATTAGATAGAGCTGCATAACACAGTAGCAGTAGTGAAATGAAAACAGACAATCGGTAACAAAATACCAGAATCTAGTGTACGATTTGTTCAGACTTTGAAAACACAGAAACAAGTCCTTCCAAAAGCTTCACAGAAGTCTGCAGGACTGATACAGTTAAAGCTAAAGTATATGTGTATAAATAAATGAGTGTACGCTATAAAACTGTACATATCTTACAATGGATGGAATCTTTTAAAGCTTTCATAGTCAAATTTTTAAACCTTAATAAAATGTGAACCATTTTTGGGTGAGGAGAAAAACTGAACGAGACAAATCTATGTAAAAATAAAAAAATATGGATTTGTTCATTTGGTTGTGTTCTACTTATAAACTATCATAAATAATTTCAGTATTCTGAAATTCCAAAACAATAAAGGTATTGAAAAAAAGTTTAATGGTATTTGTTCATTTGGTTGTGTTCTACTTATAAACTATCATAAATAATTTCAGTATTCTGAAATTCCAAAACAATATGGTTAAGGTATTGATGGTCAGATTAGTTTAATGGTACAAATATTCATCTTAGAGTAATTAAAACTACAGTATTCTATCACCAGATGGATTTGAAAAGAGTGTATAAATGCTTAAAGCATATTTTCAACAAATATACTGAGGACAGCAAGAACACAATTGAGATGCTAAATTAACAGCTCTGGCTATAAATAAATGTCCATTCATAAATTTTACATTTTTAGTCATTCATGTAACATACAAAACTCCTTGGCACATAGCTATTATTTAAAAAAACATATTTACAACTATATTCATTAACTACATTCAATCATCCTTATGAAATAAATACTTCCATATCATGAATATATAAAAAGGTTTTGTGGCATGTACTTCAAAACAAATTATCTTTATTATGAATCCTCTATCTTATCTAAAAAAAAAAATATGATATTCAACTACAATAAACATTAAATAGTAACATGCATCTGTTGCATGTGTTTGTTATTTCACTTTTAATAATAAATGCATGTTTTTGTTAAATTGAAAGTAAAAAGAGAGAGGTAGATCACAGCTATAAATAGACAAGGGAAATACCATAACACATGGCACGTCTCAGGACTTACACTGAGAAACTAAAAATATCAAAAATTAGTACCGTATAATCAATCTACAATTAGTTTGTCCTCTCATCATAATCTCTGATTAGTAAAAGTAATATCATTCTAAACCTGATTTAATCTCATTGTCATTCAGAAATATCTTTTAATTTTTCCTTAAGTCTGTCCCAAGATTTTCATAGTTATATTTGGAAATTTATGAACAAAATCAAAATACCAATTAAAATAGTGACTGATGTGTATTACTGTAAACCAACTTTTATATATGCGATTAACAAGGGATAAATTTTGATTAATTTTGATCAAGCCTTTTTGCATCTGTTTTAATAGATTAATATATAAAGGACCGGTTCGCGGCGAGAAATATTCGCGATGACGAGGCTCTATGAAAATTTCTCGCACGCAAAATTTTGTATGTTTCATGCTTTAATTTTATTGCAGTGATTTAAAATGATAAAATCTACAGGAAGACAAATGTATTTACAAAATTTTGTTTTATACTCTTAATAATTTTAAAAATTGCACAGATAAATAAATCACATCTCAATGGTTAAGTTATTTCCATTTCACTTATTGAAAAACTGTTTGATGTTGAGAGACAATGTGGAAAGATTAAGCCCCTCCCCCTTTTCCTCTTCCTGGTCAGGGCTGGGCGGAGTTCCCTGTCCCTTATTAATACGGGCAATAGAAGTCCTACTGGAGCGAATGATCTCCATAATCATGGATTTACAGTCACAACACACACTCATCTGGGGTCCCTTCAGCAGGTTTTTGTTGGGCAGGGCGGGGGCAGATCCCGCCCCTATTGTGTGGGATCTCTGGAGGGATTTCCGTTTTGGGGCCACGTTCTCCACTTCAGGCGGAGTCTTCCGTTCTGAGCAAGGTGTGTGTGGAACAGACCCAGTGCTGTAATTCAAAAGACATAACTTAGTGCATACAGTGTTCATGAATGAGGTAATTCAGATTAATCGTTTACAGAGTCACATTTTCCCCCCTACCTTTCGTAGACCTTGAGGACGTCCAGTATATCCTGACTGAGTGGGATAGGACTGAGGGTGTGTACTGGAATATTCTGGAAGTGTTCTGTAGGAATGTTCATCTGAAACATACACATATATTATTATTATAAACATTAGTATGTACATTTCAAGCTACTGTAACCCTTATTTACCGGTATTTCCTTTCAAAGTCTGAAACTAACACATACCAATACACCTTTTAGAATTTTACAATTTAAAAAAAATCATTAATACATGTATATTTAAAAAAATTATCAATATACTAAATGAAAATCATTTTTAATTTTAGAAATATCATCAGTGTAGCCCAGTTCATAAAAATAATATCATGAAATCATGAAAATGACTTTTTTACTCTTGATCATGACTTTAGGAGAAATATCGGAGTTGCCTACCTTTCTGAGACAGTTGTTGCACACATTGCGCTTACAGATCTTGCATCTCGTTCCCCACTGACCAAACATGGAGAATTTCACCAATTTACAGGTAAAACACACCTGTCAAATAACAAATTTATTAAAATGTAATTTTTCCCTCTAAACATTATGTCTTCATATTTTTAGAGACAAGGGCATTATACATGCACCTTGACATTTTTGTCTTTTGTAGGAAAGGAGAGGGCTGGGGTGGTTATTGTTATTTTACCTTTCCTTTGGACACCAGGTTGTACATTTCATGGTTGGTAATTAACGTCTCCAGCTCAGCCTTCGTTAACACCTGTCTGATGTGTGTGACCTCCTCTAGGGTCAAGGACAAACACTCGATGGGATGTTTCCACTTCTATTTATAGATCAAAGACATAAAATCATTAAGCATTATTCCACAGGCATTTTATAATATTTTAATCTTTATTCCCTGGATGGAAGATGATTTGTGCTGTTAGAAGTTCTCATTACTTAAACCCTCCAGGAAACAAAACTGAAACTTGAGTTCAATTATTCCAAAACTATCTCCAAAAAATTTAAATTAAAAATTCACTTTCTGATATTTTTTTTATTATTCTGTTTATCATGTTTATCAGCAAATCATATTTTTATGACTCAATAAACAATAATGAAACTCAAGTTTCAAAAACCACCAATCCAATGTAAAATTAATCTAGCTCGGTTGTCAAAGTTAGAAAATTGTGGACATTCATAAACTCAATAAAATTAATAATTAAAACATTATGACATTGTGTGACATCATAGCTTTTCAAACTTTTTAAATTTATTTGTTCCGTCTAGTACAATGTGTCATTAAAATTTCAATCACTGTATGTTATTTGTTATCAAGTAAATGTTAATCAAGAATTTAAAATAAATTAATTAAAGAAAAAAAAACAAGTTCAACAACATTAAATGTTGACTTGATTTACAAAAAACACCCATTATAAGGTTAACATTGACCAAAGGTTGTGCACTCCAAAGCCATGCAATGAACATAAATGGAAAATTATGAAAATTAAAAAGGAGCTGTCAATTTTGATGTGTGGTAAATAATTATAACATGAAAATTTAAGTAGAGGAGAGAAAAAAATTGTTACTCAGTAGAAAAAAATAATTTTCAATTCATACAAAGTATAACTTATGAACATATACATAAAATGGAATGATCTAATAAAAAAGAACTAATGAAAATGAAAAATATATCAAAAAAATGAGGGATAGCATCTTACTTGTTAAACTATGATGCTAAGAACTAAAGTATATCTTATATTTGCTTAAAAATATCAAATGCACTAGTGCAGAGGCTGAAAAAAACTATCCATCTAAAAGTTAAACATCTTGTGTGTATGAGCCTAAATCTACAAAGATCGAAGATAAAGAGTTCGCCTCTACCCTGGTGTATACAAGGATAAAGGGCCAATGAAGAAATCCCATTTTTGGTTCCAAGTTGTCTTTAGATACCCCTTTTCCAATTTTAGTATTCTATTGTACTTATTTTACCAAAGCAAAATCTCAACTATTGTATTTTTTCATAAAGTCCTTAAATGTTTTTAAATAGTTTGACAACTGAACATGTTTACAAGAATGTATATATAAAACAACACCTAAACAACATCTATGTTATTATATAGATAAATTTAAATATAAATCACTTTCAAAAAACACATTACCAATAAGAATTGAAAGTATTTTACAATATGGTGCTGAAAATTTGACTGAAATTAAAAATAGAAAAAAACTTTCATTGACCCTTAACAAACCAGCCCTCTTTGTATTAAAATTCTGGAAAATAACTTATAATACTGTTATTAACCTCTTCATATGCACAACTTATGCTCCATGCTTGATCATTTAAAATTCAAAATTCTTTATGAATTAATTTCTTTCTAGTAAATTTATTTTCCAGACAATATTTTCTTTTGATCCAATCAACACTTTACATTTTTTTCTTTTTATTTATTCTTTACAAAATAAACAAAAAATATTTTACCTGAATAAACTGAAAAAAAATTATGACATGGACCCTTAAATCATCCCATTAAATCTTTTCTCTCAAAAATTTTTTTTTATAAAATGTTGATTGGATAAGCTCCTAGAAACACTAACATTATATTACATTTCTTTCAAAGATTTGTAACTTTAAATCTTGTAATCCAACTTCCAAAATCAAAAGACAATGTATATTAATGATCTCCTTAGACAAGACTAGGATTTTGGCCTACAGAGAGATAGAAGAGTAAGTCAGTGTTTCTAGGAGGGAGGATGTCAATAGCAAGCATTAGATACTCACAGGCGAGTCAGAGTCTGTAGAGGAAGGAGGAACACCGTTAGTAGACACAGCCCCAAACAAGGGGCCCTCACTTACATGAAGCAACTCAGACACGTTCAACTCCGACAATTTAGGCGAGCGCTCGGGACTCTCCCTGTCCCTCGCTTTGTCGGGGATTTCTGAATTTACTTCCTCCTCCTGGTGGATGGGCTTCAGTAACTCTTCGGCCTCCTTCCGATGTCGTCCGAGCATTATTCCCCGACCAACTGGTGTAGAGGGTGATGTGTTCACCTCTGGAATTATTGCACTGGTACCACTAAAGTCTGTGGAGTGACGATAGAAGGTCCTTTGACTCTGAGACCGATTTACAGCCTGTACTTTACTTCTTCGCTGCACCGGCTCAGCTGATGACATCACTGGTGAGGGAGTGGTCAGCTGAACTGATGGCCTCTCACCCTCCTCACTGTGATTTAACTGAACAGACCTCCTCACTTTCACTTCAGGCTTTGGAGATTCCATTTCACTATTATGTTCTTTATCACTATTGGATTTCCTGTCTGGTGTAACAGATTTTTCATCTTGTCCTTCTCCACTGACACGCATGGATCGTCTAAGTGGAACTCTGTCTTTTGATTGTCTAAGGAAATTATCACTTTCTGTATTTTGTGGAATTGCTTCCTCTTCAGACCTCCTTCTGTGTCTGTGTCTATGATGTGAATGGCCATCAGATTTCACAACCTCACTTTGAACACTTTCATCCCTACCTTCTCTTCTGTGTCGTCGAGGGGAATCTTCTTTGTGGTGAGATTCCTTGTGTCGTCTGCTTGGCGATGAAGAATCTTGGTGTCGTCTGCTAGATGGAGAAGATTCCCGATGATGTCTCCTTGATGACTCCTCTCCAGATCCTTCTGATGTCCGTCGTCTTGACGATTTATCACTGCTTCGACTTGGAGATTTATCACTGCGTCGACTTGGTGATTTATCACTGCGTCGACTTGGAGATTTATCACTGTGTCGACTTGGTGATTTGTCACTGTGCCTAGATGACCTACGAACTCTTTCACCTGAAGTCTCTCCATCCACTGAGGTCGAAGTTTCTGAAGATCTCCTTCTGACTTTCACTTCAGCTTCACTTGAGTGTCCTTTGGAGATAACTTTAACACTTTCTTTATCAGAATTTACATGAGATTTGGAGGAATCACTCTTTACTTCTTTGGTTTCAGAGTCTGACCTTGGCCTAGTTAACATTGAACTACTCCTTGTAATGGAAGTCCTTGGTGCTGGCCTCGGTTTTGGCTTCGGAGAACTGTCTTCTCTCTCTGGTGTCTTAAGTTTGTCATCTTCCCTGATTTCAGACTTTTTTAAGGAAGCATCATTAGTACTTTGAGATTTTGGAACATTCCTTGCTCTCACAAGTACTGATGGTTTCATGTCTGAAATACTCCTTGCCCTTACCATAGGACGAGGTTTTTCTTTAACTTCAGATGAACTCCTTGATTTTGAAATAGTCTGTGAACTGCTTGCTGATTCTGTTATGGTGGCTGATCTTTTCAGATTCTGATATTGAGAGCGAGTTACAGGCATGCGTAAACCTTGAGATCTATCAAAAACATAATCTTCAGAAACATCATTCTCCTCAGAAACAGAATTAAAACCACATGCAGGATCATGCAGGGACCTATACTCAACACTGTCTTCTTCATGAATGCCATGCAATGGAAGAGACATTCTTTTCTGTCGGACATCATTCACACATGCACGGGACTTAGACACAGGGGCAGACCGCCTCAGTTTGCCACGAGACTCATGCACTTTATGCTCTGCAGCATCTACTTGTAGCTGGGCTGTGCCATTGAGGGTAGAGGGGAATACCTGGGGGGACTCACAGACCATGATTGTGTGGCGGCGTTCAAGGTTACATTGGCGTTCAGTGGTCGCCACATCTCGAACAACTGAAAGAAACATAATGTTGTTATAAAATATGAAACAGTTGTTTTATGAATTCTTTTCATCAGTTTATAAAAAATTCTTAATTGAAAACTTAGAGTTGATGAACAATCCATCATTGTACCACTGAGCTATAGATTTACAATGTGCTTTTAATTGTTTCTGCAAAAACATATACTACGACTTGGAAAATATACAAATAATTTTTTCTCTGAATCAATGCAGTGAGGGTTTACCAGCCCTTCGCCATCTGATGCTGTCTTTTTCTGGGGAGGGGGAGCTGATACTTGAGTGGGAGGATCCCATACTGGAGTCATTATCATTCTCTGATTCCTAAACAACAAAAACCAAAAACAACAGACATAAAACAATGGAGAGAACACTTAGAGACATTCAGCTCACATTTCCTCTTTTATCAAAACAAGATTCTAAGGCTTCATCCCCAAACTTACATCAAAACTGTCGAGGAAGAGCGTGAAGTCCGGTTTGATGACCTTCCTGACCGGCTGGGGATATTCCTCATCATCCTCATTATTTAGCTTTGTCCGGGAAGTTTCCACTGAAACAAGAGTTATCTTCCTTTTGACAAAACTTAATGTTTAAAGTTAGATCTGCATTTTCTTTGATAATTATTTTTTAATGCTAGGACATAACGTTTTTAAACTATAATTTTATAGTGACATAATTCATGGTTCAAAATTCAATTGCATAAAAATACCAAGTAATTCTAGATAATAAGATGTCACAAAAATTTTTTGAGTGGTGACCTACAATATCTCCTTGATTTTTGTCCTTGGCCTACCTATTTTCCTGTCTTTGGCTGGCCTCAGTTTGGGTTTTGACCGGATTTCCTGTAAGATCTGTTCCCGGGGCTGCAACTCAACTTTGGGTGGGGAATTCAATACTCTCTTTTTAACCTACAAAAAAAAAAAGAATGTCAACATCAGAAATGAATAACTTACACACTTGTCTTTATTCTGTTTCATGTGCTGTTTTTTTTTTGGTTTCAATTATCATCCTATAATGAATCCAAGGTGTTGCTGTAGCGTGCTTGTTACATTATTTAACAGTATAGCTGTTTAAATAATGACATTTTGCAGAGCAATTCATTGTAAACATTTTTTTTTGCTTTGAGAATTTTTTTTCACACTTGAAAATTCCAGCATGTCGACTGTGTTAAACATTTCCTACATCCCTTTTTCTAATGACTTGCTAAAAAATGTGAGGAAAATCCCTTGTCGAACACATTATATAAACATTGCAATTTAACTGTTTTATTTATACATTAACACTGCAAGATATGTCAATCACATTTGAATAATGTAATAAATTCTATTTCAAGGCTAACTGCATCGCTGCCTTTGACACCGTGACATACTGCTCTATAAGGTGATAGATTTCTGCTTTAATGATGTTTGTCACCTGTCAATGTATTCAATCTGCATGGCAGCTCTCACGTTTAAATTATGTTAAAGAAGTTTCATGCTTGTAGAATTGTACACCATTGTGGCACTACCGCACTAGTATGAATATGGACGGATTCAAGCAACCTAAAAATTTGAAGTCAAGGATGGCACTTTGATAAATGATTTTCTGCCATCTTTTAACAATGTCCCACGTGGAAACCTTAAGTAATATGTCTAATACACAGAAAAAGCTTCCTCAAGATACGGATTTTAAAAACACACAACCAATGACGGTACAGGCATGCAAATGCATATACAATAAATCTGGAGACAGCCATGCCCTTTACCTGTTCTGGGGACATGCCACCATTTTCTAGCAGTGAAACAGGACAGGGTGAAGAGGTTAACATTTCCAGGATCACTACAGAGGATTCAGTGAGATCCCTCCCTAGACCCCTGACAATACACACAGTTCCTGATTTACCCTGGTTATAATAGCCAGGCTATTGTCTGATCGCCCTAGATAAGACCGATTCTAACTTCTGGAGAACAGATGTCTATATGTATATACTTTGCCTGTGAACTGGCAGATTGCAGGATTTTTACTCTTACGCATAATTCAAAATCAAGAATTGTTGATGTTAAAACAGCTTTAGTTACAGCTGCAAGGTACTCAAACAGAGGTGCTCATTAGTCTGTAATATAACATTAATGTTCCCCAACATTTTATTAAAATTTAATCTTAATTTCAATTTTAAACCCAGAGATATTAGATCGTACCAAGTCAAACAACATTTTTAAACAATAATTTCTATTAATTACCAGAAACATAAGATCCAGACATGACACTTTCAATAAATTTATCATATACAGTTAGAAATGACAAACATCCTTTATGAGTTCCACCTAACCTCAAACATTACACTGACCAGAACATTTATAGTGGACACAGAAAACAAGTGACCATTGGTAGTGGACAGTCAAACAGATGTTTTATCTAGTAATGATTGGTCATTACTGGTCAAACTACAATGTGTATTTCTGGTGCTGTCTGTCAGGATATTGTACTAATTTAAGATTAACACCATAACTAGTGCTAATCACTAGCTCCCCAACTCCCTTTTGGTGCCATATTCCCTATAAGCTTCATTAAATAAGACAAACTCTTTGCATATGAGACTTTAACAACGTTTACCTAGAAGTTTACCAATTTCATTCATATTTTAGCATTGCACGCGTGCGCATGTGAATGCACGTGCATAATGACCATATTATCTTGTCTTCACAATCTATAGATTTTAATATATTAAATATCAAAGTATTTAATCCAATAGTATTAAAAAATACGCTACTTCAAGTGTATTTTTTTAGTTTTACTCATTTCACGTGCACGCACGTGCTCACATGAGCATGACGACCATACTTTCTTGTAGAAGTCCAATACATCTATCTATGTTCTAAATCCTACCCCGTTTGGTTGAAAACCAAGGGAGTTATAGCTGTTCAAAGTTTCAGCCAATCAGATTGCAGTGCACGTACATGCACGTGTAGGCATGTGTATGGTGACCATGTCTTCTTGTAGAAGTCCATTATATCTATCCATGTTCCAAATCCCATACTGTTTGGTTGAAAACCAAGGGACTTATAGCTATTTAAAGCATAAGCCAATCAGATTGCAGCGCACGTGCATGCACGCGTTTTCATGATAATTGCTATATATCTTATTGTAGGATATCCTAATACATGCCTATATTTAAAATTTCAAAGGATTTCGTCAAAAAACAAAAAAGATATTGAGACTTTAGTTTCAGCCAATCAGAGCGAAGCGCACGTGCATGCGCGTGAGATCTTGCTTTTTTGACCATGTCATCTTGTCTATGCTTCTAATATATACTTCTAATATGAGTTTTAAAGCATATCATCAATAGTTTAAATAGTTACGTCTGTATCAATTATATTGGACATTTCTCGTGTTGCACGTGCGAGCTCTTGCAAGCACACGTGCATGCACATGCTTTCATGATATTTCTTTTATTACGGGCTGTATATCTCCCTTATGTATGACTATGTTAAAAATTTCAAAGGATTTTATCAAAAAACAAGAAAGATATTGAGACTTTATCAGCCAACACACACATGCGATCTTGCTATTTTGACCATGTCATCTTGTGCATACTACTCATATATCCTTACATTATGAGTTTCAAAACATTTCGTCTAAAAATAGAAAAGTTACGGTTATATCCATAATATATTGGTCATTTCAAGTTTTGCACGTGCGCGCTCTTCCAAGCACGTGCGCGCAAAATGACCTTGATTCCGCAAATCTACATAACATGCCTACTTACCCTAAAAAGGTTTCCCCTTAATCGGATGTTTATTACAAGATCATTCGCGGACAAAATTTTCCCGAGAAGAAAAATAATAATAATAATAAGAAACAGAGTAAAAACAATATGTTCCCCAACTTCGTTTGGGGAACATAATAATCACTAGAGTAGATAGTCAGGACAAATATCCCTGTTTAATACTGTTAATCACATAGCTCAATTTTTAGTTTGGACTTTCAAGGGCGTGATCGGCGCTACGTAATGGAGAATACAAGTACAGGTAACACAAACCATGAAGTCGAGGAAAAAACAGAGAACAAAATGCATTTTCATTCAAATTCCAGGTTTGTTTGGCAGGTTTTAAAATTAGTCTTACCGGATGTAATGATTTTCATGCAGTGCTAACTTTTCACACGTGGTTTTTATAAAACAGCGATATGATTTCGTATTTTAGATGAATATTTATTAATCTGTAAAAAAAAATCGTCATTTTATGTTTATTTTATTCTTTATAATAACATCATGCTAATTCGTTATATGAAAACGACATTTTACAGTGCCGCGTGGTACATAGCATTGTTATTTTTCCAAACACGTGCATTGAACAAAGTTCTGTAAGTATTTGTCCAACAATAGTTGTCATATTACACTGAGGCTGTTTCTGGATTTTTATATTTCGTTAAACTTTGACGCTGACTCGAAATAAAAACTAAATTTACTAAGTGTTTTCGTCTTGTAATCTGCAATTACAATTTCTCAGTGACACTGCGTTTCTAAATCATCGTAATACAGTCGATGATAATTATTTTAAAAGCATATAGGCAACATAAGATTAATTATAAATCAATTATCACCTTGCAGTATAAGTCACCTGAATAAACATCCCATTTCACGAGACCCGCGTGTTCTGCCTGGGGCAATTAAATGTCCAGGTAAACTCTAACTTGCTAATTTAATGTAACTTTGTATACACATAGCCACTTCGAGGTATCGAGGGTAAATTTCAATAGAATATGCATAACGGGACTGCATTTTGTTCGAGGGATCAAGGGTTTAACAAATATCAAGAGTAAATTTGCTTAGTTATATCACAGGGGCATCTTACCCACTCTGTTCTCTACTTCACATATAAAATTTTTATATGTGAAGAAATAATGGAAATGCTGTGGTTATATAGGGGACCAGTCACTCGCAGAGATAAAAAAATCAAAAGCCATCAAGAGTTACCTGTAGATTCTCATTGGTTACGAAATTAATAACATAGGAACTTAAAATTGTTGTTGATAATGATCAGACGACTTATGCCCCACCTCTGTGCCGTGAGAGAACTTTTAATTGGCTATTTACTACACCAGTTGACATTCGGCTGCATTTCTATCATATGTATAATTCAACAGTGAAAATGTGTAAATTTTTTTTTGCCACGCCTTACTGAAAGTCCAAACTAAGCGTGTAATTCTTCTATGATTGAGTCCACTATGACATTACTAATTTATTAATATATCATGCTAAACTTGGTATTTATTACTCCTATTGAGATGTAACTAACCTTTGATATAATTCTGACAATATTATTGTGTTTATAAAATGCAATATTGGAAAAAAAGTAAACCAAAAAAGTTCTGCCTCCTTTGCCTTAGATTTAAACTACATCTGTCCAATAGTCCCCCCCCCCCCTTCATTTCAAGGCTGCTGAATGAAAGGCTTTATCTCATTGAGTTTTTCAGATGCATCGTTATTTTGAAAATTTGGTTTGGAATCTACTTTAGATGCAAATCAGATGCACAGACAGACACATTGATCCCAGAACACACCTCCTCCCTACTTTATTACAGGTAGTATGAAAACAATTCATATGGTCTATAACACACACATATGATATGAATGTAAGCTTTATATGGATGTTAAGAGAGACACTTACAGGGTGTAGCGGGGGACGAGAACGAATGAAGTCAAGGATCACAGCATGGGCGTCTTTCTTCACTTTGGGTGGAATGTCACCATTAACCTGAAAATGGTCACGCCATGCTAAAGTACATACAATGTTTAGGTTACAATATTTTGCAAACACAAACCATGGTCAAAACAAAACAAAATGCATGGGTATTCAAATTTGGGTACTGTTGTTCAGCACATTTTAGTAAATCAAGGAACTTTATGCATACTTTGAACCCAGAAAAAAAACTAGTGTTGGCAACGAGTACCCGGTTAACCGTCGAACGATGCGAGTATCGGTTAGTAAAACTGCTATTCGGTTACTCGAATAAAAATATATTTTTCATATTTCATAAAATGAAATACGTATAAAATAATTTTTATGTCATCTGTAAATGTAAATTGACACATTTCTCTAATTTAATTACCGTTAGGCTTGATCTCGGGTTCACCTGCTCTAGTGGTTCACAAATAGGATCGATTTGTTTTGTTTTGTGTAATTGATGGTTTTAATTGCCATGGGGAACGCGTTTTACCTAGTTATAATTACCTCAGCTTAATTGTGTTAGGAACATATAAATTAACCATGTTAACAATATGCCGCCGCAATTATTGGAAATATTTAAAAGCCAAATTCAAATTATGTAAATCGGATTTTCGTATATAATACAAATATGCTAAATTATTTTAGATTGAAACATAATTCGACAACCAGTGACTTACAGAAGACTAAACAATTTTTTTTGAGTTTGTATTTGTAAATAAAGTTCGTATATATTACATGTGTTGTTTATTTCTACCAATAATTAAAAGGATGAGATTAATAATAAATACGGAAACTATAACATAAAATCATCCGAGTAAGGCCATAATAAAAATATTCCTAGATTCTCATCCCCGCCCGCCCCGATTTTTTACCCCCGCCTCAATTTTTTTTATTTCTGTTTTCCTTTGTCTATAGCATCTCATTCTACTTTCGTTTTAAATCCTGCGAAAGTCGACATGATTCTGATAGCTGAAAAGATGGTAATTGCTGTAATACATGCATACATGTATATATTTTAAACAAGGGTCATTGGTTGAAAAAGATTGATGATGATGTGAAGTAAGAGATAATTGAACCTTTCCTATGAATTCGGGTATTGTGATAAAATCCGATTGACCAGGTCAATAAAAAAAATCTGTAAAATTGAAAAAAGGAAAAATAAAAGCCACCCGCCCGCCTCGATTTTTGAAAAAATTCGGATGAGAATCTAGCAATTTATTTATTATGGCCTAACCGGGTACTCGATCGGAAGATTAAGCGAGTAACCGGTTCATAAAAATCGTCCGATTTGCCAACACTAAAAAAAACCTTATTTAAAATAACACTAGTCAAAAAAAAGACACCATGCTTTCATGCCATCAAAACATAATCCATTCTTTTTTTTCATAATTAATTTATCATCACTCAAAAGAAACCAATTGAACAGTTACCATGACTTTGTTGAGGGTGTAGCGATGAGATTTGATGTCGTCCAGAAGGATTTCAAAGGGAGTTAACTCATACTCTGTTGGCGTTGTGATGTGCTCCACTGCCTTTAACCTGACCCCTCGTCTTAGTTCCTTCATAATCTGCACCCATAATCGAGCCTGAAAAAAGGGAGACCATGCTACATTGGTGTTAACCAAACAAACAAAAAAATTAAGTTTAACTTTTTATAGCTAGTGTATCTTACCAAAAAGCATTGCTCTTCAACAGAAACCAAACAAACTTTTTCAAAACAGTTTGGGCAATCTCCCATCTCACCCATACTGTCCATAATACTGGTGTATTACAAATGCTGTACCAATTATGTGATAATCATTTCATTAATTCATACATTTCATGATATAATTTTCTGTGATTTTTTTTTGCCTGTTTAATAGCCCTGATATTTACTGTATATTTGTAGGTAATGGATTTCTCAGTTTGGTGGTCGGAGATCAATATCCTTATTAGCCTGACTTTCCAGCCCTAGCCCTGGTTTATCATTCTGTATAATTACAGCTTCATGAACCGAACACTCAGACCAAAACCCAAACCACTGACAAAGCAGAAATCCACCTGATCAATAGAAACTCTAAAATGTTTCACTCAGTTGGCATCTTCACAAACCTCACCAAAGATAGGCATTAAAAATTCTGTGGGCTTCCAAAGTTGCTATATCTTCATCATATGATGCTTTAGTAATGAGTGTCATTTATTATTAACCTGATCTCATGTTATTTAAGACCATTCTTATTTATCTGTCCAAAATCATATAAATAATAGAAATTCCAAAAGTCCATTTTGTCAGCACTGCAGGTATCTTTAGTTACATTAGGAATTTTTGGGACACAATTCATTACCAGAAAGAAATGCAATTTCTCAATTTATAATAATAGGAGATAACGCTGTGATACACATCTTTCTTATCACCGAGAACTATAGACAATGCTGAACCCCTCTCCCCCCCCCCCAACAACTAGCCTGAAGCAGATGCTGGACCTACCTCTCTCTAATCCCCCCTCCCCCCAGAACTAGACAATGCCATATCTTCATATCTCTCTGAACAATAGACAACACTTGACCTAACCGAGTCAGACCTCTGTAGCTCCTCAAACTTGCCCTATCCCCCTGAACTTAAAGACAACACTGGACCTACCAATGAAACCTTTGTAGCTCCTCCAGCCTTGCCTACCCCTCCCCTCCCCCCCATCCCCCTGAACTGTTGACAATGCTGGACCTACACTGTACCCAGTCAGACCTCTGTAGCTCATTAAGCAATGCTTGACGATCCCCTCTAAACTAAAGAGTCAGAACCTCTGTAGCTCCTCAAGCTCTGCTCTACCTCTATGACCTATAGTAAATGCTGGACCTACATCTTTCAATCCTGAACTATAGACAATGCTGTACTACCCCCCTGAACTACAGACAATGCTAGACCTACCCAGTCAGACCTCTGTAGCTCCTCGAGCCTCGCCTGATCCCCCCCCTGAACTACAGACTAATTGCTGGACCTACCCAGTCAGACCTCTGTAGCTCCTCGAGCCTGGCCTGGTCCTCGTCCTGTACCACCTTCTCCAGCTGTTTCTTGCCTGAGGAGATTCTGTTGAGGAAGGTGAGTAGTTCCTCTGCCTCGGCCACCAGGGCCTTACACACTGCCTTGTAGTGCTGGCCCACATTGAGGTCACTGGAAATGTGCTGGGAACACAACTGAAAGTCACACAAATAAAGAATTACAGTATCAAATTACAATTGCATTGTTTGACTTTATGTTTAACGGTAATACTGTAAAAATATATAAATTATAAAAGATTAGCGATGGAGCTAATTCAAAATTTTCAAGAATATCATGTCCCGCCCTGATTTCATCCACAGTTGGATATGGGAAGGGGGATTGGGGTCACCTAAGAAGCTGTTAAAATTGCTATGAACAAAATTTATGGATAAAACATTAAATAATTAGATACTCAATACAAATTCAAAATGATTTGGCATACTTGACACTATCTGCATAGTGGTTGGTTTATGTCTAATTGATTATCTCATAGAAATATTCAGGCAAAATATCTTTGTGGAGTTCCTGTCTTACTTTCAAACCCTGAGGAACTGTTTATTTTATTGCATACCAAGATTAAACATTCTCTCTGCTTCAAGGGATCAATCCTTCTCTCTTTAAAGTATGTTTACCATTTCCAAATAAGCAATTCGCTCAATTTCATCATAATACAGCTAACATACTGCAGTGTTGCTTGTTGCATGAAAGATATTTTTTTTTCTTGTTTGACGTTTAGAAAAGTAGATGCATTAATTTGTCAAACAACCTGCAATACATTCTTATATTCTAATACCGGTAATATAAATGCTTGTATTGATTCTATTTTTCCCAATACATTCAGTCTATAGTATAATGATAAAATCACACATTATGATCATAATTTCGCCCTATCCCAGATAAAATAAATTGATGTGTAACAAATCAAATATTGGTGGCTCTTATTATTCTATGGAATCCTGAGGTCACGTTATTGTTAAGGTGGACACAGGAACAGAATGTCCAATGGCATCCGGTCAGATAAGTACAAACAAACAAACTGCTTAGACAGCGGAGATTGGTGACAAATCCCCCCACAGCTGGATTAGTGAAGAACAACAGGATTAAACAAGATATGGTGGGGGGCCACCCTCCTCTGATAAACTCCTTCTGACAGGACAGGGTATCAATACCTCATACGGCAAACTTGTTTTACATGCGTTAGTCAAAAACCTGTTTATTCCTTGTCAGGGTTTTTCTTGATAATGGAGATTACAGGTGCATTTTATCAATTAAGTATTTTTGTGTCTGTCATATTCCTATCAAAAAGATTTAGGCCATAAATTTCAATTTGAAGTGCCAATCAAATAAGTGGTATACATGTACAATGAACATCAATGTTAAATGATAGCCAGATATCAAAATTACTCCAGCCCAACAGCCATTATCATTAAGTAACACTGGTGCTAAGTCCATTTTGCTTCCAAAAAAGTTACTGTTACATGGGTCATATTTGCTTAAAATTAAATAAATGTTCTAAAAGTCCTGGGTCCATGGCAGTTCTAACTTTTCAGGTCAAGGTCATTCATACATATTTGAGACTGAATCTGTATAATGTGGTGAAACCTGCCATATCAAATCAATACAACAGAACAGGCATCACTGAAATTCTTTTCTTTGAGTGCACAAAGATGACAACTAATGCAGGTGGACATTGTATCCAACTCATATATATACATCTGCTTACAGATGCAGTTTCACCAAAGAAATTCAAGGCTAATGGTTTTACCACACATATTTTTACATTTTCTTGGTTTCATTTTCACATTTGTTAACAAACTGTATAACAAATATCTTATGACTAACACGTTTTAATAATTGTATAATCATGATAATGTTGTAAAAATGTAAATCACATTCCATTTCAAATATTTCTATGACTAACTGCTACTCATTCATAAGTGTTTATATTTGAACAGTTGGAAATTTAATTTCAGACTTGTGTTTGTTGTTTTTTAATATGTTGTCCTAAAGAAAATCTTTGCGTGACTTTGTACCATTAAAAGCAATACACATATCTTGGTCTGGATATTAGAAACACTCAGTAACAATCAAAAGGGTGAAACTAACCTTGAAAAATTGTTTTCAGATTACAATTTTTTTAAAAAACCCTTTGATCACTAGTTGCAATTAAAATTTAAAAGGCACAGCATTTCTCATATGTCATGTGTAATTTGTAGTTTATACACGATCACATTTAGTCTGAATCTAGCAAAACTACCTTTAATATACCTCATATATTTTAATGTACACTTTTTTAACAAAATTTAATAATTCAATGGATATGTATTTTTAAATAACTTTGTACAATAAATATCAAGCATAATTTTACAATTAGCACTCAGGTCAGCATGTACTGCTTCTATGAATTATTTTATTTTTACATGTATTATATAAATATGTCGGAGTCACATAGGACAAAGATGCAATGTGATGCTTCAGTTGTGAACCATTTTTTATGTGTACTGTGAAGTCAATGTCATTTTAAGGTTGTCTTACAAATAAGGATATAACCTAAGAAGCTGAGGTGCAATCTCTGTAGACAAATCTTCCTTTTACAGCTTAGCCATGTCTGAGTTTTTGGTTATTATGCAATGGTAATGTCACCAAGACCCAAACACCTCATTTTGAAGAATTGAAAAATAAGGCTAATCAAGGGTCATATTTCTTTGCAATTTCCCCTCCACTCCATACAATTTGAAATGATTCAGCTTATTCTAAGTGGAGCTATCTACCTGAGTTAAACATGTTGATTGATGAGGGACAATTATTGTCTCTAAATGTTGATGTTCTTTTATATAAATGGCAGCTAGAAGACTGTCTTGTCAAAGTGTGGAATCTCCTAAAGGAAACATAAACTTCCCAACCATCTGTTGCGGACTGGTTTAATTCATCCCTATTTATCACAATGATGGAAAACGCCTTTTTAATTTCATCTCTCTATAGGTACATATACAGAGAACAAATTAAAACTTTTGTATAGAAATATTTGTGGAATTTGAGTGGGCCTTTACCCCTAATCATTTGTCTCATCTCTCCGTTCGTTTCCGTACCATCAACATCAATTACAATAACCTTTCACGTTTGTCTACATTGAAATTAACTTACTATTTTGTAGATGATTGATTAAACCTGATATATATCTAACTATTGACAAGGCTTAAAATCTGTGAAATATCATCATGGAAAAACTTAGGTACATAAATATTTCATGTCAGAATTTGAACCCCTCCTAATCACTGAAGGGGTAACCTGAATGTAATAATCAATCGATTCCTAGCTATACCTGACCAGATTTCATTAGTGTTGCCAAATTCTGATAAAATACGGTCTTCACCATGCCTGGAATTTTAATTCAGTTTATCTACTGTTAATGGAAAAACTCAACACCCTTGTGCTTCAAAATATACACTCTGTCATTAAAATGCTTGTTAAGGTTATATTGTTATTTTTTCCCTCTTTGGTTGACACTATATAGAAGTATATAAATTTAGAAGTCCAAGCATTTCTTATTTCTTACAGTCAAGTCCACATATTTACACTATAAATGTACCTGAATAAAACACCTGTCACTTTCAATTTTGTTTGTTCAATCATACATTCATCTCAAATCAATTTCTACACAACATTCACTTTTATATTGAGAAGAATGTTAAAAGAAATTCAGACCAAATATCTCTCAATACTATCATAAAGCTTATGTTCTTCAAAGTTTTGATTTAAAACACTTAAACTATAACAAGAGGCCCATGGGCCTTATAGGTCACCTGAGCATTATGCAACAACTTTCCAGCGATTTAATTTGATTAATGTTTTAAGCAAGATGCTATGGCATTCACAATCTTGAAAGAGGCACAATTTGATCATCATAACAATACACTTAGCAGTTGCTTAGTTTGTTTACTTAATACACATAGGCAGGGTGGGGGAACAAAAAATGCATTTCAAGTAATCAGTAATATTCAGCATGATCAGTAATGCCCCAATCACACATGAACCCCTGACCCTTAGGCCTAGATCCACTCATTGCACAATTTTTGAAAAGGCACCCTTGCTTTTCAAAAATATTTGATTAATACCAAGGAGCAGATCTCAAACAATTCATCCAGTTTCAGTATATAAGTACATTCCCCCTATGGTACCCCTGACCCTGGGGCCTTGAAATTCACAATTCTAGAAGATTAGGGTCCTTGCTCATCATAACTACATAGGTAGTTCATCTGCTTAATACCCAAGAGCAGAGAAGAAAATTTTCAAAGATTTAATGTATTTTCACTATATAATCAATAGAGCCCCGCCCTATCACTAGAACCCCTGACCCTAGGGCCATAAAATCAAAATTTTGGAAGAGGTATTCTTGCTCATCATAACTATGTACTTAGTTCATTTAATTCCTAGGAGCAGAAAAGAAATTTTTTCGAATAATTCATGTATTTCCATTTTATAATCAATAGAGCCCCACCCTAAAACTAGAACCCCTGACCCCGGGGCCATAAATTTCACAATTTTGGTAAAGGCACTCTTGCACATCATAACTATGCACTTAGTTTTCAAAGAATTCATGAATTTTCACTATATGATCTATAGAGCCCCGCCCTAACACTAGAACCCCTGACCCTGGGGCCATGAATTTCACATTTTGGTAGAGGCACTCTTGCTCATCATAACTATGCACTTAGTTAGTTTATTTTATACCCAGGAGCAGAGAAGAAGATTTTCAAAGAATTCATGAATTTTCACTATATAATCTATAGAGCCCCGCCCTAACACTAGAACCCCTGACCCCGGGGCCATAAATTTCACAATTTTGGTAGAGGCACTCTTGCACATCATAACTATGCAAGTTAGTTTATTTAATACCCAGGAGCAGAGAAGAAGATTTTCAAAGAAATAATGCATTTTCACTATATAATCTATAGAGCCCCGCCCTAACACTAGAACCGCTGACTCTGGGGCCATAAATTTCAGAAGCACTCTTGCTCATCATAACTATACACTTAGTTAGTTTATTTAATACCCAGGAGCAGAGAAGAAGATTTTCAAAGAAATAATGCATTTTCACTATATACTTATTTACTCCCCCCCCCCCTAGCACTAGAACCCCTGACCCCGGGGCCATAAATTTCACAATTTTGGTAGAAGCACTCTTGCTCATCATAACTATGCACTTAGTTAGTTTATTTAATACTCAGGAGCAGAGAAGAAGATTTTCAAAGAAATAATGCATTTTCACTATAAACTTATTTAGCCCCCCCCCCTAGCACTAGAACCCCTGACCCCGGGGTCATAAATTTCACAATTTTGGTAAAAGCACTCTTGCTCATCATAACTATGCATTTAATTAGTTTATTTAATACCCAGGAGCAGAGAAGAAGATTTTCAAAGAAATAATGCATTTTCACTATATAATCTATAGAGCCCCGCCCTAACACTAGAACATCTGACCCTGGGGCCATAAAATTCACAATTTTGGTAGAGGTACTCTTGCTCATCATAACTATGCACTTAGTTAGTTTATTTAATACCCAGGAGCAGAGAAGAAGATTTTCAAAGAAATAATGCATTTTCACTATATACTTATTTAGCCCCACCCTCGCACTAGAACCCCTGACCCTGGGGCCATAAATTTCACAATTTTGGTAGAAGACTCAATGCTGATTACAATCATGCAAACAGTTTATCTGCTTGATGTCCGGGAGTAAAGAAAAAGATTTTTAAAGATTGCATTAATTTTAGTAGTTTTTGCCCCACCCCCCACGCCCCAGGGGGGCAGGGACCATGAAATTCACAAATTTTGTTCCCCTTCACCCATAGATGCTTTGTGCCAAATTTGGTTAAAATTGGTTCAGTGGTTGCAGAGAAGAAGCTGAAAATGTTCAAATGTTAACGGACGACGCACGACGCACACCGCACGACGCACGACGACGGACGAAAACAGATAGCAATAGGTCACCTGAGTTTACTCAGGTGACCTAAAAATAGAGTGATTTTGCAATTGGGAATGGGGCCCATATTCGGCCCTACACGGGGCAGTGGAAAATCCCTGATACGGTATTCACAATTTTGAAAGAGGCACCATTGATCATCATAACAATACACTTAGCAGTTGCTTAGCTTGGTTTATTGATTTAAATATGCCCAATAATAAGTTCATAGGATCTTCAATTTTCTTCATGAACGTTTCATGAACATTTCATGAATAAAATTCATGAAAAATTCAAGGAAATTCATGAATTATTCATAATCACCTCTCAAGGGTACTGATACCCATGTACCCACGCAAGGTAGGGGAAAAAATGCATTCCAACTAATAAGTAATATTCAGCAATAATCAGTAATGCCCCTAACACTGTGAAATAAACCCCTGACCCTAGGTCCACACATTGCACAAATTTTAAAAAGGCACCGTTAAAATTGTCTATCAAAAAATAAATAAATGTTTTATAAATACAAAGGAGCAGATTTCAAACAATTAATTCATTTTCTGTATATAAGTCCCCCCCCCCCACCCCCACCCCTGACCCTGGGGCCTTGAAATTCAAAATTTTGCAAGATTAGGGCCCTTGCTCATCATAACTATTTAGGTAGTTCATCTGCTTCATACCCAGAGACAGAGAAGAAAATATTTCAAAAATATAATGTATATTCACTATATAATCAATAGAGCCCCCCCCCCCCCCCCCGAACCCCTGACCCTGGGACCATAAAATTCACAATTTTGGTAGAGGCACTCTTGCTCATCATAATTATGTACTTAGTTAGTTTATTTAATACCTAGGAGCAGAGAAGAAGATTTTAAAAAATTCATGTATTTTTACTATATAATCAATAGAGCCCCACCCTAACACCAGAACCCCTGACCCTGGGACCATAAAATTCACAATTTTGGTAGAGGCACTCTTGCTCATCTTAACTATGCACTTTGTTAGTTTATTTAATATCTAGGAGCAGAGAAGAAGATTTTCAAAGAATTCATGTATTTTTACTATATAATCTATTGAGCCCCCCCCCCCCCCCCCAACACCAGAAGCCTTGACCCAGGGACCATAAAATTATTCACAATTTTGGTAGAGGCACTCTTGCTCATCATAACTATGCACTTAGTTAGTTTATTTAATACCTAGGAGCATAGAAGAAGATTTTCAAAGAATTTGTGTATTTTCACTATATAATCAATAGAGCCCCCCCCCCCCTAACACCAGAACTCTTGGCCCTTGGGCCATAAAATTCACAATTTTGGTAGAGGCACTCATGCTCATCATAACTATGCACTTAGTTAATTTATTTATAAATATCTAGGAGCAGAGAAGAAGATTTTCAAAGAATTCATGAATTTTTACTATATAATCTATAGAGCCCCCCCCCCCCACCAGAACCCTTGACCCTGGGGCCATAAAATTCACAATTTTGATAGAGGCACTCATGCTCATCATAACTATGCACTTAGTTAATTTATCTAATATCTAGGAGCAGAGAAGAAGATTTTCTAAGAATTCATGTATTTTTACTATATAATCTATAAAGCCCCCCCCCCCCCCCCACCACCAGAACCCCTGACCCTGGGACCATAAAATTCACAATTTTGTTAGAGGCAATTTTGCTCATCATAACTATGCACTTAGTTAGTTTATTTGATACCCAGGGGCAGAGAAGAAGATTTTCAAAGAAATCATGTATTTTCACTATATAATCAATAGAGCCCCGCCCTAACACCAGAACCCCTGACCCTAGGGCCATAAAATTCACAATTTTGGTAGAAGCACTCTTGCTCATCATAACTAACTACTTAGTTGGTTTATTTAATACCCAGGAGCAGAGAAGAAGATTTTCAAAGAAATAATGCATTATCACTACCTACATATTTAGCCCTGCCCTAGCACTAGAACCCCTGACCCCAGGGCCATGAATTTCACAATTTTGGTAGAGGACTCAATGCTGATTACAATCATGCAAACAGTTTGACTGCTTGATGTCCAGGAGTAAAGAAGAAGATTTTTAAAGATTGCACTAATTTTAGTGGTTTTGGCCCCACCCCTCAGGCCCCAGGGGGGCAGGGATCATGAAATTCACAATTTTTGTTCCCCTTTACCCATTGATGCTTTGTGCCAAATTTGGTTGAAATTGGTTCAGTGGTTGCAGAGAAGAAGCTGAAAATGTTCAAAAGTTTACGATTTACGTACGACGTACGACGTACACGAACGACGACGAAAACAGATAGCAATAGGTCACCTGAGTTTACTCAGGTGACCTAAAAACCCAGACCAAAAAATCAATAGGTAAGCTTTCTTATCAACACTTGGGGAGGGGTGGGGGATCACCTTCTTATCTTAATTTGGACTCATCTCAGCTTCCTTTTCATGTATTTACAAACTTTGCACCCATCCATAAAAACCAAGGAATAAGAAGTTGTGATTTTATTAAAGGACTGTTTGAGATCTTGTTTGTTCAGGTGTGGGTTAGGTTTGACAACTGTCTCCTATAAAAACTTACAGGTCTTTTAGACTTGACATCAAAAAGGAAGTTTTTATTTGAACTGGTTTAACAGTTGTCTCTACTCATTCCAGGAGATTTGTCTTTTATATCTGTCCTAATTATCTGGATATTTTGTTAGGTTTTTATCATCTGACTGATCTGTATTGAATTGGAAAAAAAATACTGAAATCTCTTTCATTTACGAGGTACATTTAGATTTTCACCACTTGCTGAGGTTATGGATGAATCTGACTTGTATTTTAAACAAAAGGCTTCTGTCAAAATCAACACCAGTCTATATCAGGATTAGCTGATTAACTTAAACTGGATTAAAAATGTACTTGATTCACATTGTATGCCCAGTTCTAATACCCTGGGTGAAACTGATTTTGTTTTACACATGCATGTGTTTGACATTGTATGATTCTGGTTCAGTCAACTAACACTACATATGAGAATTACTGTGAGTCATCCTACCAAGGATAAGTGAGTTAATCCAGATTTACTCTGTAGTGTGGACCAACAATATAAAAATTGTCTTCCTGACCTGCCTGACTAAAAGAAGGCTCATCATGGGAGAATGACCTTCCATAATACACTCATAGACAACAGTACATCTATATGGCTAACAGGAAATTTTGTAATGAGATAAAAGTGTATTTTTTTTTTATTACAGGAAAATATTGGGAACCTTAAGTGCAAGCCATGGTTATGCAAAAATATACTCCTATGGAGCTACGTACCACAATAATGTCTGCGAACGTGTACCCCTCCTTGGCATCTTTCTCGATGCCCTCGTCGCAGGCGTTCTGTAATTCCTCATCATCCTCCTCGTCTGGATTTATCATCACCTCCAGGAGATGTTCCAGGCTGTGACTGAGGTGTCGCTCCTCAGATTCCTGGAGTCCGTAGTCCAGAGCATGGTAGATAACCACTCCAAGGGCCTGGATAGCCTGTAAAAGAGAGCAGAGCATGAACCCATAGCCTGTAAAACAAAGCAAAGCATGAACCAATATCACAGGACAGAGCATGGTAGATAACCACTCCCAGAGCCTGGACAGCCTGTAAAAGAGAGCACAGCATGAACCCATAGCCTGTAAAACAAAGCAGGGCATAAACCAATATCACAGGGCAGAGCATGGTAGATAACCACTCCCAGAGCCTGGATAGCCTGTAAAAGAGAGCAGAGCATGAACCCATAGCCTGTAAAACAAAGCAAAGCATAAACCATAGCCTGTAAAACAAAGCAGAGTTTAAACATATTAAGGCTTGTAAAATTTAGCATCACATAAACTAAACTTATGAAACAAAGCATAACAAGAACCTATCAAGTCCTGTAAACACACACAGCATAGATTGAACCAAAAGAGACCAGCCTGTAAAGCACAGAACAGCAGGAACCACTCAAGGCCTGTAAAACATAGCATAGAATAGAACATAGCATAGAATTAACCAATCAAGACCTGTAAAACACAGCATTATAAAGAATCAACCAATCGAGGCCTGTAAAACACAGCATAGATTGAACCAATCAAGGCCTGTAAAACACAGCATAGAATGAAATAATCAGTGAAATAATTAACCAAGCAAGGTCTGTAAAACATAGCATAGAATCAACCAATCAAAGCTTGTAAAACATAGTATAGAATTAACCAATCAAGGCCTGTAAAACACAGCATAGCATGAACCAATCAAAGCCTGTAAAACACAGCATAGAATTAACCAATCAAAACCTAGAAAACAAGCAGCTAGGAACTGATCAAGACTTTCTAAACACAGCAACCCTTAACAGCCATTTTGTTTCCAAAACAATGCTGAAATACTGACCAAAGTTGTTTTTATTTGCAATAAAATTATAAAAACTTTCCCTGAAACCTGTTAAGTTGCTAATTCATTACACACACTTTATAATATTTACCTTGCAATTACTATAAAGTTCTAATCATACAAGAAATATCAAGCGGCACATCTATGACCTTAGATCTCTCTCTAAACTAGATTGTAAGCTATACTAAATTATAGTTTAGTCCAGTCACTTATAACTGAACATTCTTATGTTTGTGTGTGTGGATAAGAAAAACCTGTCGTAATAGGAATGCCAATTCAAAAAAGAATTAATTTTGATCTTTTACCAATATTATTTACCCTCTTCACTTGTTTCAAAATATTCATCAAATATGCAAAGACAAAATTACATTTAATATTCTGGAAATTTACATTTCATTTTATAAAAACCATTCCATTAAAATGACGTACTACCTAAAGTTTTCCCTAGTTTGCCACCATAAGGTAAAACTCTGAAATGATCAAAAATACACAGTTTAAAGACTACAACAAGGAAAACAGGAATGTGTGAGAGGTCAAGATGTTTGTATTACGTAATTCTGTCACTTGGCGATGTTAACGGTTTTAAATGGCTCTATTGCTGTGCCCCCTGGTTCCCTTTTCTAAGGAATTGTCACCAAACTAACAGAGAACCAACACTTACCTTATTGAAATTATGTAATGTGTTTTTAAGACATATAGCTTACAGATTTTATCACTTAGCATGATTTGGAAATCAAAACTAAACAATTTGAATAAAAACAACAAATCAAGGATTAGTTAAATAAATATGTTTCCTTAAAGAATGGTTGCATACATAAACATGATCAAACCAGTTGTGGCCATAGTAAATCTTTGGATTTAATAAGGTAATATTAGTTTTTTTATGTATACACACTGGTACAGAGATGTAGTACATCTCTCACTTGACAGCTAATATGCATACAGAGATAAAAACTGATGTAAGCACCAAGTTATATATTATAAAAAGAATATTCCTGTAGTATATACATGTAGCTAGAATCAGGCTAAGTCATCAGAGTTCTGTAGAGTATATAGCAGGAACTGGGATTTCATTAGGAGATTTAGGTAAAATGACATGTATACAAAGGTTTATTTAGATGACAGTTTACACATAAGTGTATATTAAGAAAAGAAAGGCTAATTTTCTCTGCAGCGTTAAATCCACTTAGTATTCTAAAGGTGGCCGCTATCTCCAAGTGTAGGGACAATAGAGGCTTAAATTCTGAATGACCAACAATTGAAGAAAATGCAATCCTATTAGCTTTTTAAAAAATATTCTTTTATTCAAACCCTAGGATGTTTCAAAATTGTGAAATGTCTAAAAAGAAATTATCTAGCACAAATGAAAAGCAAATAAACCTCCTGACTTTTTGTGTTCCCACAAAACATGTTGGTTTTCTAAATTGAGACGTACTGCCCCAAGCATCTCGATCCTAATATAAAGTCAATTTCCACAGCTAGTAAATAAATATAAATCTTTATACTTCATGCGGGTGTGATATGATCTACATATTTCTTTTATGAGTATTTCTCAGCCACATAAGAAAATTTTCTTGGCTAAGTGTCCCATGGTTATGACAATTTGTATACTGGTACGATATATAACTGCAAAAGAAATTACACTTAATTGGTGTCAAGGTTTTGATCATTATGAATACTACATTTTCCCTCACTTACAAACTTTTAAATCAAAGTAAATTTTTTATGAACTCAAGATATCAAATTTAAAGCAATTGGATATTTAACAATTAATTAAAAACAATAGGACATTATTTGTCAACAAATCACAATATACGGGAATATTTACATAATTAATATCATTCCGCAGGCTGGTAGTTAACTCTTAAATTTCTAGTTTTATCATATGTTAATAGAAAACCTTTTTACCATTTCTTGAATTCACTGATTTATTGACAAAGTAAATATAGTAAACATTTCCACCACAAGTTGTTTTTCCCATAAACAGAAGTTACCTCCCTTTATTTGTACTTTTTATGATTTTGAACCCTCACAGCATAACCTTTTTATCTATTCTGTATTACAATCAACTTTTGAATACCAGTAGTTAATATTTATGACTTATGGGGTGTTAGATACACAGGCAATATAACAGAGACAATGACCACTTTTAATATTTAGGTACCAGTGTCAAGATGTAGTGCTGCACAGCTGGGGAAAATAAACCATTAATGATTGGTCACTGACAAGAGGCTATGTGGGGTGACCACAGAATCAGGGACAAAGTAGACCAGTTATAACCTGACCACATCAGTGAGAGAAGTCATTAATACAGTAGTTATAACCAGCAGTAGGTGACTAACACAGTACCATAATGTCACATGATAGAAATCCTACAGTAGTTGAGGACAATTACTTAACAGAATTTCAGCTTGTTTGACAGGTTTAAAGTACACTGGGTTGTAAAATACTCATGTCTTTAAGTGATAAGAGGGTGTATGTATACTGTAAGACAATAAACTAGCATTTCTTGACAGTTCAACAAGCTATGAGATAGAACAATGTATTGGAGGCAGCTCCTATGAAATTCTCAGTGACTTGGCTTGTAAATGTATTTAGGAGAATTAATGGTGGGGTTGCAGTAGTTTTCTGTTGCCATAGTTTTCCTAACTGTTGGTGTTAGCATGCTGTAGTCTTTTGTCTAGGGACAGTTAATCGGTACTGAGATGTCAGTTTTTAAAAGCTAATCCTTGCAGTCAAATCGCTGAACCATATTTTGACATTTGCGGCCTTTTAAGACCACTAAATAAAACCTGTCTCTGTCATGTCTGTGTTAATTATACTGTGTATGACCCCTGGGTCAGTTCCACAAGATTTGTTTACAAGCAAGACTCCCTGTCTTCAGCCACAATAGGCATTCACAGTCAGGCTTCATGTAGATCAAACACGTACAATGACTACAGATTCTTACAATAACTACAGATTCATATTTAGGTCTGAGTTACACAAGATTCTGTTTTCATTAAGGGGTACCGTAAGAGTTAATTTGTCCAGAAACATGATCCAGAGGGAAGAAAAGGGTGATGAGAAAGATCGTAATCTCATTTATAGCAGAAAATAAGGTCAGGTCATCCATTGTCAACTTGTGTTCTTGTTCAAATGGGGGTTTTAATTACACTCCTTAAAGTCACATTTGATGTATAGTACTGAAATTCCCACAGTAAAGCAAACATCACATTTGTATGACATTAAGAAATGCAACAATTTAATCAAAGAAAATTTATATTAGAATATATATTTAAATATATTTGTCATGATCCTCTGAAAAGAGAAATTTGAGATATGTAATATTGAAAATTTGATCTCTTGCTTACATGAACTCCATGCCTTCAAGTCAAAGAGATGGAACTTGTCAACATATGAAACTATATATATAATATACATACTGTTAAACAGTAAAATTCAAAGAGATTGACACTATATATCTTATATCCGTATAAGGAATTAGTTAAATTTGAAACTATACATATATAAATCCAACATTGTTATGGGTTTTACTACATGATAATCCAACCTTGTTAACCTGAACTCAAGGACCAAAAAAAAAAAACTTTAGATAGCCAAGGATATGAGATATTGTTGTCAAAAATTACTTAAAGTATTATAAGCAGTTGGGACTTCCAAATCACTCTGAAATTATTATCCATGATATTTGAGATATAAGGGTTCGAGCTATCAAAGTTCAACTGTAATTCAGAGAACCACAAATTTGGAGCCATAGTGAGGGGGACGAATTAGGATTAGTAGCCATGATCCTGTCACCATGTGTACTTTATCAGGCCTGAACAATGTCAACAAATCATCTAGGAATCATCACCATTGAGGAGGAATTTATCTCAGGAAGCTCTGATAACTCGGCAATGGTGAGCATGGACAGAATAAAATGTCAATATGCTTCACTGTCCCACAGAACATATTAAAACAGGCCCAACTTTTATTTTATAAATTTAATATTGCCATGGAATTATTTGGGTATGATTCAATGTCAACATCTAGATTTTGACAGTAAATAGGATAAGCAAGGTAGATCTTCTGGTATTTGGATAAGATGGGAGGAGAATTAGTAGTTTAAATTAACACTTTTTATCATATGATACATCAACTGGAAAATAATGTAACAGTTACTTGATCATATACATCATTATGGATCTGAGAAAGCAAGATATGTATATTTTTTTTTTACTCGTTTAAAATCATCACCATTTGTCCATTTGTATGCCAGTAATATATAACAAGGGTTGCTTAATATTTAAATAGGTGGTGCACTGTTTTAAATACATATGGCTACTAACTCATTATACTTCAGCAAGGGTACTAGCCCATTGTTTATAATGTACTTACATCACTCTCTGTAACAACTTTAATGTCTTTCCCCGTCACCGAGTTTCTTCTGCGGACTGAAAATTAAAAAAAGAAGATTCTGTAAGTCATTTGTAGGTTGATTTATTGGTCAGGAAGTTTATGAGCAATTAATAAAGCAAATGTTTTAATTTAAATACATTAATACTTATAACAAATATAAATTAACATGTGACTTTTAAAGCATTACACAACTCCACTTAAATTTTAAATACAATCAACATGTTCAAATATTTTTTAAAAGCATTTTTGTATTCAAAATGCACAACTTCAAGTCAAGTTGCATTAATTGGATAATTTGAAAAAGAAAGTTATTAATAATTTTAAAAGTTTTGGACATGTTGCATATTTCATCTGCAAAGTTCTAAGGAAATAGTAGACTTGGTCAGAATATTAACTTTAGGGTTTTTAGACCTAATAATTCACAGAGGCCATTAAAATGACAACCAGATAAAATAATCCATTTTTCACTCAAATTATATTCTTTAGTGTCCATTTTCATTACACAATAGCTTTAAATCATATGCTAATGAGAAAGCTTTAAAAGATATATATTCCAAAGTCCTTGATTATAAAATATAGAGTCTTTACCTTATGATGAATTTAATACCACATACATAAAAAAATTTAGAGTTTAATTAGGAAATGAATAAATTTTTAGTTTGACTTATTTTTTCTCGAGATGAAGTCATTTAGATCTATCAACAGTAAAGCAGATCATAATATCAAACAATTCCTGACTCCTGACAAAATTGATTTTTGGTCAACTTATAATGACCTCACTCATCTGGTTTAGGAACTGTTTGTCCAAGACCAAAACCAGGTCAAAAACTTGTTTTATTTCAAAATAATCAAGATTTGTCACACTATACTCTGTATCATATTTATTGAATAATTAATATAAACTAAATAGAATGTTAATACTTTATAGGTTAACAATTCTATCAACAGACAAATCAATGATGTACGTCACTATCTCCACTGCATGCATGCCCCCTCCCTCCTGCCCTGTCCCATTTTTCAATTCAAAAATAGGGTAATTATAAACTTTCTTTTACATGTTTTAGGAGCAATCTCAGAAAAGACCACCTTAAACATTCAGAGAACATCAAATCTCCTGATATTTTAGTAAATTTGTAATTTGTAAAGGCTGCAAAAGTTCCTTCTTGCCTGGTACATATATCTTAGGTACAGGTGGGTAATGTCAAATGTTTTTTCAATGCAGTACCTTCATTCGTACACTTTCATTTCCTGAATTCTTTTAAGAAGTACTGATATCAGATATGACAAGTCAAATACTTGATATATAGTATAAGCTATTATGCAAAGGAATTCTTGTATTTTCCATTTAAATTTCCTGTGGTCCAAAGAGAATCCAAAAAGTCAATTGTCAAGATAGATGTGTTGAAATCAATTGGACTTATTCCAAAGAATTCCAATAAAACACATGTGGAGATAAATTTTAGACCAAGTTTTCAATACACATTGACTCTGTGTTTAATCCCCCAGTAAAGTATTAACCCAAACAATTCAGAATGGAATGTAAGAATGTTTAAACTAGAGCCTGAATGAAGGAGGGGACCGTTCTCTTTAAGTATTACATCAATATCAGTGTGTACTGAAAATTGATATCATATCAATATACATGTATTGAAAACTGGTATCTAAAATATTGATTCCAGTACAAAATCAGACTAAGTTTGCAGGTTTATGCCAATAACCTGATAATTCTGCATGTTCTTTGTATAAATGAATTTATAATTACCAAATAACTATAATGAGTATTCTAAATTCATGGTCACATCTGTATTTTGTTTTACATGAAACAGAACATAGGTTAACATGAATTCCATTTCATAAGCTCATGTAAATGTGGTACATGTATATTGAATAATGAAGTTTGTACACTTCTGATTTGGTGCCCCCTTCCAATTATTTTTTAGTACTGTAAAACTCTTCAACTTTATTTCTAATCAATACAATGCTCCACACATTCCAAATGGTGACAGCTATATTTGACCAATATTAACCTTATACACTTGTCTTATACAGCTCTGATCTTGACCTTCACCTTAGTAACATGCGAAGCTTACTTTTACAGGTTACAGACAGGGTCCTCCTTAAAACCAAAAGGTGTGAACTGACAGACAGAGATCTAAGGCCAAAATTAGTGAATTTGACAAATGTCTGATAGTATCTGATTGCCAACCTCATAACGAGCAAAATCATCCTAAGAGCAGACTTATCTAGTGCATCCTTTATGACATTTGGAATTTTTAGACAAAACAAAAGTAGGAACCCCCTGTAGATCAGAATTCATATTGTACACACTGACAGACAGTAAAGACATATTATGTCTGGATATAAAGACTACATTTATATATTTCCACTGTGCAATCAGCTTTTATGAAGCAGGATTTGAAGTTAACTGTTCCTTCTTAAGTTAAAGGACATGGATTAACAGCTAGAACTTCAGCTGAAGATCACACTTGGCTAATAGGATTACTGGTACTTCTCTTGTAATGGGCCTTGGTCCACCATCAGACTGTGATACTTGTCCACGCTATGATGTATGAGGGAGTGAGTCACGTCCCTCCTCTATCTGTAGTCACCTGGTCACTTAGACAGACTAGAGTCAGGAATTTTCTGCCCCACTTGGCGCTAGGAGCAAGGACCTTTGGAAATCATTTTAGCGATGTTTTGTCAAAATATTCTTAGTGTACAATTACACAAACTTTGTCCTAAAGGGCTTATGGTTTCTTAGATCTTTTCTCATTCAGAGAATGTGTGGATGAACATATAAACATAAACAGACATGCTTTGAAATACATGTAGTACCAAATTCCTTACCTTGTCTTTATTGTGATGAATGGTGAATGACAAATTATAAAAACACACAACTCTAGATCTATTACTTTGATTTTCTCTAGGCCAATTTATCTTATGACCAGTAAATGTTCTGTCATCACTATTCAAACTATCCAAAAAATTTAATATAATTAAAATTTAAAAAAGAGTTTTCTACATTCCAAATTCATTTCTAACATATGTAATTGATGTAGTATATTTTTTTTTTCATTTGACTGAAATTTCTGGTCCCCTTTTCCCAATGACTCAGAGGTTCGAGGGGTGGGGGCTTAAGGAGATTTCCAAGTCACCCAAAGGTGGGAGGGTGGGGTTGAGGGGTTATAGGAAGAAGCTAGTTTTTATTCAAAGTAATGATAGGCAATCAATATTTAGTAATAAAATAATGTAGTCTAGTAGCATTTTCCAGTCTGACATTTATTTGATTGTGTGGCGTAATCTGACAGTCAGCTGTCATCGGCACCAACTGCAAGCAAAGAAACACAATCATCAGAGATTAGGTCTCCCTTTCTATCTATCCCACAACCCTTCTACACAGTACACAGTCCCCCAATACTGCCTCCCTTAATCTACCCAGCAACACCTCTCAACAATCTCCCAATACACTGATGTTTAATTCTACTAGATACTAAAGTTACAGGCTTTTAACTTATCTTCACCAAATAAAGCCACAAGTTTTATGTAAATGTGAATCAATCAATTTTAATCAATGTCTTCAGGACTTGGAGCACCTGTTAGAATTGATTAATTGTTGCCCTGTTCTGCAACATGTAGAGACTGTCAAATATCAATGTCTGACATAAATGAGAGAAGCTCAGAAGCTGCAACAAAAATTTTGTTTTTCTCTCTCCTTTTCAATGCAGAGCATGCTTTATCTGTTACAGTTCAAAACCCTGCTAATTATCCTAGTGATGAGATCTGCAGAGAGAGTGATTTACAGCTCTCGATCAGACAGTTAGCTTTGTTGTAACCAGCCACTCTGATTATGTACAGGGTTCATGAACACCAGTCAAATTTGTCAAATCATCAAACATTTTGATCTGACAGGACAGTTGCTGAAAAGGCACTTACTTTTAACACAAGCTAGACCTTTGAGTGTCCTTGCACATAATGAATGTGATCTTTTTTGCTAAAGTCAAAAAATAATTTTTCAAAACTTTGCCATTTTCAATAAAGTTCTTGCGTCCACCCCTACTTCAAATACAAAGTTCTAAAACATTCCCCATACAATTGATTAAATGTTAGGCGACTCCCTCTCATAAATTCACTAGCACAGGTATTTACTCAATCAATTTATCATGTTACAGAAATAGGCATGTCATATAACAGTACTGTTATTGATCACTTTTGTTCCAAAAAATGTTGAAGTACATCTTTAGTTTTGGAAGACCTGTATGAAAACTTAAATTTCTCAAGGTCAGGTGATTTAGAAGTAAGTATATATATTTCTTGTAATTTCTAATAAATGCATGAATGAAGCTGTCAAAAGACATTGAATGTTAGAAAATATTCCAGGAAACATTGGTTTTTTGCAAGAATTCTCTTTAGACATACATGAAAGGGATAATGTTAAAAAGGTTCTGCACTACAGCTGGGAAGTGGCATAAAATCTATTATTAGCTTGAAGGTCAACAAGATGTCTCACACATTTGACAGGTAGACCCTGTCACAACAGCAGGTGGGGGGACTGAATGGTGAAACTATCCCCCTTAAAAACCGCAACCATGAGTTCACTACTGGCAAGACTTTTCACACACGTGAATCAGAATGGGTGACACACGTGGATGGGCAAGACTCGAGACAACAAGAAAAAGAGAGGGTGCTATATTCAATATATGACTTAATGATGGAGCAAACACTCTTTTTAGTAAAGCTGGGGACTAAATAACTTTTTTTTTTTTTTCGTTTTAATGATTTTTATATGTTTACTGAAATGTATATGCAGTTAAAGGTGATTTATAGCATAATAACAGCAAGATATTGCCTCATGTTAATAGTACCAGCTGTTTTATGGGATGTGTGTAATTATAAATCTAGAAGGCTGATAATAACATGCTGATACATCCAAACCAGAGCGAATATTACCATAAATTAACAAAATACTACATGAACTTTTATCAGCTAACTGCATTTTAGCTAATCATTTTTGTATTATTCACATGATATAGATAAGGCCAGATAAAATTAATCTGGAATTACAATCCCCGTTTTACCCTCTCAAAGTCTCCCGCCCGGCTTTTTTTATTTTGATTTTTGGGTGTTAATAAAGGCATTTTCATGTATTTTTATTTAGTTAAGAATTTGGGTGAAGTTAAAAAAAAGTTATCTAACCCACCGTCTGTATTAAAAGTCGCGTGTCGCTATTTATAGCAAAAGAGCCATGTGAAGAATGGAGAAAAATCGGCAATAAAAGCAGTTTAAATATGTAAGGAAGAGATTAATTTCAGTATAGAGTAGGCAGAGAAAAAATAATAGCATAAACACATCTAGATACCATCACTGGCATGAGCAAGTTTTTAAAGATTTTCTTAAAACTAAGTATAATAAAAATAGACACGGAAAATGACACCTGGTCAAGTTTTAACGATCTCCAATTGTGTGTGATTTTGGTTTAAAAAAAAAAAAACATCGTAGACAGAATTTAGAGAATGTTTAGTGCTAAGAAAATGTTAAATCTTAAAACTGTTCAGGCCTTGGTTTTTTCAGTAGGATATTTTATTAGAACATTTTATAGATTTTGTAAATATGACCTATTTTATTGTCGAACATGTCATGTCTCAAGAACGATCCAATTTTTGAGGAAGGTGGAAATCTATGATATTTTACAGAAAACAGAGGGATTTGTAGGTAAAACTAAAGGGTATTTAGGGAAAGGCCGATGAGAAGTCATGCATACAAAATTTATTGGTATCAGAACCCCACCTCATTTTGTTTTGTGTGTGCCGTATATGTGTACTTGATAATTTGTTAATTAACAATAAATATCTAATAATTTAAGCAAGAATTTTCTTTGAATATTTAAAAGAATATGAAAAAAATGTTCATACTTACAATTTAGCAATTATAAAAAATAAAAAATAAAATCCGCCCACCCGCCCCAATTATTTAGCTAATTAGGATGAGAATCTAAAGATTAATTTTACCTGGCCTAAGCATGAAAGATAATGTTGTGATATTGTTATTCTGTGGAAGGAGCCAAATATCATTAATAATCCACTGCATTCCCTCCAGCCCACACATAGCATGTCGGAGAATCCAGGATCGCTGCTATGGCGTAGTGGGATGTACCCGTTAGATTATCAATGCCTGACTCGTTCCGTAACAAAAGATCTACCTGCATTAATTATTCCTGTCTGCCAAAACACACAAATGCTTAAAGCCTGCTAGAAATGATTCATTCCCAAATTCTAAAGATGACATATTTAACAATACGGAGCATAGAACTTTAAATTCTTCACCATATAGGTAAATTTTTCTTAAGCTTTTTATGCCTTTCAACATGTATTTCTGTTCAATAAGGTACTGAAAGGAATATATACAATAAACAAATGGTAGAGCAACAAACGGAAGTGTGACCTTCACGTCAAATACTGCTTCAATAAACCCAGGCAACACTTTTTCTACTCCCCCAAAAAATGCATCAGAATCATTTCAAAATTTCCCTACACTTAGACTATCAGTGCAGCCAATACGCCATTTTCTCTACTGAATTGTATGTTTTAAATGTCCAACCTGAATTACACATGCATTTACCAGTTACGATATTGATCTTAAAAATTGCAAGTCTGTGCACATTCCTGGTCATTTAACGATTGCATTGATAGTCAGGTACCCTATCTGTGAAATTGTGTATAGGTAGCTGCTGGGATTTCCCAATGCACCCATTTATATCGGAAATCCTTTAAGAGCTATTTCTTATCAAACTTCAAACACATTTTTTACCGATATACAAAGGCGAGATAAACAAACACCAGGCATTGTGCAGATGTACCCTCTTTGTTCTGACGGATTAGAAAATGATAAGTAGCTTTGTTTGGGGCTATGTCTCTCCCTCGACCAATAATAGCACATAACCCTAATTACGACAGTCATCGGAATCAACTTAAAATTTACAAATGTTATGTTCTGCATTGTTCATAATGTGACTTAGTAGTAAGATTTTCAAAATCCTCTACAATTAAATGTTAATGAAAACATTCTTGAAATTTTATGAATACAGACTAAAAATAGTAAATGTTGTTATCTACACAATGTATGAATAATTAGAATGGAGTTATATTGGTGCTGGCAACATAATATGGAAGGCTAGGAATAACTACTAACAAACAAGAAATCAGTACATATAAATACTGCTGCATAATTCATTACAATAAAAGAGGAATAGAAATACGCTGGAAATTACGCTAAAATTCAGTCATTCGTGACATCAAAGGAATATGATTGCATACCCGACTCAAACTATTCCTTATTGTAAGAATCACTTAGTTTAATCATTTTAAAATCTTGAGTGCAATTATTTGGATATTTTCCAATCAAATCAATTTATTATGAGGTCCTTGTCAAAGGATTGTCGTTTTAATGCTGAAAATGAACTCGACAATGACTTTCTGAATGTTTTTAAAGGATATGCCGACAACATTCAGGTATTGGCATGTGCACTGTTTGGGATAATAACCCCTAATTATGCCTGGATTAACTAAAATTACTCCAAACCCTATAGAAATATTCGACACCTTTCCAATAATTATGTTGATTGTAAGACTGTCAGGTTTTGACAATTAACAACAGTCATAAAAGAAGAAATGCCCCTATATATGACACATGACAACCCAAAACATAGCTTTTTATATGTCCACTTTTTCCAACTCTACTAGCACATGATGGCCAAAGAAAATTAAAACTGATTTTTATTTAACTGAAAAAAATATTCATTTTAAAAACATGTACCACCATGTAAACTACTGCTGATATTTCCAATACTCAAGAAAACCTGCATAGAGCGGGGACATAAGGGATCCCTTTCTTTACTTGGTTATCAGGTTATATACCCACCTTGAGGTCCCTTGGGTAAAACCACTTCTGTAGAGTCTATGATCACATCTCCATCCTTTTTAATTCTAACGGAACGTATTCCATGTGTATATAACTCACGAAAAGTGCGCCGTGCTGTATCTAGAGAAAAATAATTTGCACATTGATGACAAACTGCCCAAGCTTGCTCCTCATTTATAGGATTATTAAACACAGTTAAAATTTCCTCTAAAGTGAGTGGATCCTCTGATAAATCCCTAGAATCAGTTGGTAAAAGTTGGGCCATGATCCTAAACAAGTCATGGCTACGCTTTCCTTTGAAGTAACATGAGCGGTGAGCGAATGCCGAATGTGGACAGGTGAAACAAATTACCACGGGAGACAACTCTGCATATTGACTCGCCTGACTAGGCAGTGACAGAACGGATTAGGCGTACCAAGATTTGTCTTTCTTAACAACAGGTGGATTAGGGCTTTTGTAGGAAATTTTCGTGTGCGAAAAAAAGTAATAAATAAAAAAACAAATTTAAAAATAATAATGATAAAAGAAATAAAACAAACAATCTTATCATACCATGAAAATGTAGAATTGACTATTTTTCTTAATATTTGGAGTCCTTTCATATGTCTTTCTTTCATAAAAAGTTTTTTTTTTTTAGATATCTTCAATTTGGTTTACTACCCGGTAATTATAACACAAATTATAAATGTTTGTGGAAAGCAATGTATATATTAAATTTTCTACTCCAACAAAGAAACAATTTTACACCAAAGTTTCCCAAGTCGTTGGACAAAAAATCAAAACAACCCCTCCTTTTTTTCCTCAGTTTTAGCACCCTTTCTGTGTGAGTGAGGGTGTGTGTGTGTGTTTTTTAAAGTTATTGATTTAAAGCACAGATAACTGCGGTCAGGACTGTGTGGAGCCGGGGGGGGGGGGGGGGGGGGGTAGTGTTAAGGCGTAGGGCATTGCAGAATCACGGTTCTCAAGTACTCCTATATAGTGTAAGAGCCTTGGTTGACGCGAAGTAGCACGTCAAAAACTTAAGCACTTCGCTGTGGACCTCTATTGAGCATTTGGGTGCTCAACGGTCAAGTATTGTTCCTTTTTTTTCAACAAATTACTGAGGTATACAAATACAATGTATACAGTGCAATAAAAACTAGAAATGTCCAAACGAGACAAAATACCCCCGCTGGGTTTTTCAGAAGTGCTAAATCATGAATATTTTATGGAAAAATGTTAAAACATTTAAGGTAGGTCACTGGTTTGCTTTAGTCATCAATTTTGGTACACAATTTCGACGATTCGAGTGGTTGTTTTGTGTGCACATTTGATTATGACGTCAGTTACGTCACAAAGGCAACGTTACGTTGTTTCCCCTTTAATTCTCTGCAAATGACTTCAATTCTGTACGAATCAAGTAGATTAAATGTAATTACCTAGGACTAATTAAATAAAATACCAAATTATTAAAAGGAATAATTTATATTGTAAATGTAACTAAATTGCTAAAAGTCAATCAGAATAAATCAGCGAAAACTTATGGTTTGCAGTTCTAAAGAAAGTTATCATGATTAAAAATTGCTTAGTGCAAAACGAGCAAAGGCAGAAAAAAATTAAATGGAAATATGAAAAGAAGAGGAATGTATAACAAATCTATTAATGTATGCATATCCCATGTTTTATTCAGGTTTAGATAAATAATCGAGCGAAGTTTAAGCGAGGTGAGGCGGATGACGAGAAAGGAGTTGCAATAGCTAGCTTCTCTTATGTATCAGTCGAAAACGATATTTTTAAAAACAGCTTATAGAGACAAAAGAGTTACATTATTGATAACATATAGTGCATATTAGCTAGAAAAATAGGGGGGGGGATGGAAAAAGGGGGAGTATTTCCATACCCCAAGTGCCTGTGAACTTGAGGGATTGTGTGTGCGCACGTTATTTGAAACTCAGGGTACCATGCGTATTTCATCATGACTGCCAATCAAAGCCGGGGCGAAAATATGCGTATACATACTTTTCAGGATGGAATCAATCCTCATCCATCACTTTTAATTAATTACATGTATTTTTCTTTATTTTAAATTTTCATCATCATTATCATCATTGTTTGATTGTTATGTATTTAAATCTAGTGTACTCGCTTTGTTTTGCTGGCAAATAAATTATGAAATGCATTTAAAAATCAAATTATATACAAAAACCTGGACTGTAAGACCTATAAGACACTTTTAACAATTTACAAATATAATTTTTTTAGACAAAAGCTCAAAGTGTAACAGCTAAATGCAATTGTTTTACATTTTGCGTATTGAAGTTTGATTCAGAGAATTCGAAATTAACAAATGTTTGACATTTAGGGCCATATACTATATAGCTTGCCACTAATATAGAAAGTACATTGCAGGTACCCCCCCCCCCCCCCCCCCCCCCCCCCCCCCCCCCAAGCCCGGCCGCTTATTTCCACACTATCGGGATATTTTTCTTACCGTTTTCGAATAAAGTGATCAAATATTTGTGTTATGCCTGAAATCCTATTGACCATGAATTTCCTAAAAATACAGGTACAGTGTACTAATATTTTATCACTCGCGTTGTTGTCGCTACATGTTATTTCTCATACACGAGGAATGTTTATACCGTTCATTCTGACTTTGTGATCAGAATATGAATTTCAAAATACTAGTAAAAATGAGTTGTGGTCATCCTAATATGTCTCCGCAATAAATTAAATGATGAATAAAATTCAATTTTGTATCAATGTCACCTTTTAAATCTTGCATATTCCAAAAGGCCGAGATATATATACTGTACTGTAAACGTGATTACGTTCAACAAATGACGTTGTAGATATAAATAACGCCATAAACGCAACATTTTAGCAGTATAAAAGAAAACTTTGAAATTATTTAGCAAAAAATCTAGCGAGAAGACATATTGATTTTTTTATATTAATAGTTTTGATTTTACCTCATCTTGACATTTTGAAATTCCTGATTAATTCGTCTACGTCTTTAAAAAGTTATCCACCCTTTTTAAAAGAAACTATTTTCACAAAATTGGCTTAAAAACGTCATTTTCCCATACATTTCAATAGAAAAGCGAAAAAAAGTATTAACAACAATACCGCATTTACAGTAATATAGCATTAAAACTACATAGGCAAAATTGATAAAAATTGCACATAATACGCTGTAAATTCTAAGGAACATTATATCAAATTTTCAGGATATGTTTTCTCGTAAGAATTTTTATGCAGTAAATTCGCGACCTACCTTAATGTAATTGCTCCAGGAGGATTTAATCTTTGTGTAAAATGAGAACCTACCAAGTTTATCCATAGGAAAGATATGGTCCGGACACGAAGTATGAAAATTTTCTTCCAGTGACCTTGAACTTCCCCAAATGACCTTGGTTCAAGGTCAAGGTACACCCTTAGGTCAGGAGGAATCTTTGTGTGAAATGAGAACCTACCAAGTTTATCCATAAGAAAGATATGGACCGGGCACGAATTATGAATTTTTTCTTCCAGTGACCTTAAACTTCTTCAAATGACCTTGGGTCAAGGTCATGACACACCCTTAGGTCATGGGCAATCTTTGTGTGAAGTAGTAGATTCTAATGTTCCTCTGTAAGAAAGATATGGACCGGACAAGTTTGCACAGACAGACGGACAGATACTTTCAGCTTTCTTTTCCCGTACTTTACGGCTCCAATGGAGTTATGTAGAAAATAAAGTATTTTCATGGAATTCACATGAAAAGTAGTCCCGATACCTATATCAAATTTGACACTATTTTTAAAGAAGAGGCCAAGAACATACAAATTACCATTTTCTGGAAGATTGTATACATGTATTGGCAATCTGGATACATTTTCTTTGTCTGATATGGAAAAAACTTTCATATTCGTGACTGGTTTTCTTAATTTTTTATTTGAAACTACAGTTTAAAGTATGAATTTTCATTCATAGAAATTATGGTCCGAAATACATTATCTGAACAAGTTAAAGTTATAAAGCATCATTAAAGGAATTAATTTCTTAAATTTGATAAATTTGTAGGCACCTTTCATTTACTAGGCCTTGACCTTAAATTAATTTTAGTGAAATTATAATTTTTCATTGAACGAAAGTAGACTTAACCAGAGTTGAAGGATCCCTTTTACTTTTTTGATAAATTAAAATCGGGATCGAGATATTTCTAAGAGGGTAACACGAATCACCGGAATGCCCCGTAATCACCGAAATGCCCCTAAAAATCACCGAAATGCCCAACAAAACCACCGAAATGCCCTTACATATGTTTTTACATGATGTTTTTCATAAGAATTAATGCTTATTTTTTTCAGTAAAGCATAACTGACGGTAAAATTAATTATTTTCATGTTTTGTGCTCAAAGCGTATCGTACTTCAAAGGGCGATAACTCGTATTTGGTGATGACCTTCCAGGAAGTGAAGTCGACGATGTTTAAAATCTAAGAAATAATAATGTCTTATGATATTTCTCGGAGAAAATTAGATGACAAATGATAACTATGATTATAAAAAGAAAAAAATTATGACTTTTTTCTTTCTTCCTTTTCCTTCAACTTTTAGCATTGTGAACCAGGTTGTACCATTTATTCGCCTCTTGAGGAAAATAGGCCTAGCGGTAAAATATATATACCTGCTATTATTCCTTGAGTAAATTATCTTTTATTGTATATATTATTTACTTTTACAGACCATAAAGTTAATGTTTTACCAAACAAAATGAGAGAGGGGGTACCGGTACACCAAATTCCCGTGATAATTTACGACCGAGATTAAGAATTTCAAAAGACAAATGCAATCATAAAATGAAAAAAAAAAGTTTTAAACTTTGTAGTTCGTTAAGGCCATGTAAATATGACTATTTCTATTAATGATTTTTTATCCTGTTACTTGATTAGATACATAGTCAGTCAGGTCAAACATTGTACGGAACATTTCTCTTGTAAATGAGCAAATCTTTCCAAAGTAGCAATTGTTTCATAAAACGATGTAGGTGCATGTATTCAACAACTTTAAAAAAAAAAAAAATTATACATTGATTCAAATGTAGATCATTATCCCAGGATACCCATTTCGGTGTTTGTATAGCGCACGTGCGTGGTTTCGATGTACCTGATTTAATATGTAATATGACATAATACTACACACCTGTCAATAGATCAATTACTTAATTAATCCCAGTGAGATTAGCTGTCCGTGTATACACAGTAAACATAGTTACAGATATCCATTTGTTTTAGACGAATTTAACATAATAAATCAAATTAATTTTGTCTTCATTTTTAATCATTAATACTAGTAAAAAAAAAATTGAAACTTTAAAAAAAAAAATGTTATTTTATAAACACAAAAACGAAACAAAACTACAATTTTGATAAATTTTGTTATTTTCTTTAAACATTGCAGTTCTTTTCTTTGCTAATTACTAGAGGATCAAATATTCTTGAGGATTCATTCATACAAATTGATTAGAATTCCAAAAAGACAATCACAGTATTCAAGCATTGATTCTATATTACGCAGCTGTTCTGTACTGATGAGAAGTGAGAGATCCAATCAAACTTTTAATAATAAGATTTTAAAAAATTGTTGCATTAATAGGCCCATTTTCATTTTAGATAATAATGAAATTTTAATAAATTTATACATGGTAAATATTTTTTTTTTTTAACTAAACGTAAAAAGATCTTTCTATTTGCTTTAAAACTTAATATAAAGATAGGACTTTCCAGTAAAATTACACTAGTGTACTCCGTTTTTAAAAATCAAGAACATACGTTAATAATATTACAAACAAAATTTTAATTGATATGAAAAATTCGACTTATTGTTTAAAATATATTTTAAAAAGAAAACAAAGGAAAAATTAAAAATGTCTATTTTTGCACGTGCTTTTAATCAGTGAGAGTTATCTTTCTTAGATACTATAACATGCACAATCTTCTGTTCAAATAAAAATACTTACGCTAAAATTATGAAATTTTTATTCGGTATCTAGGCTCTAGAACAGTTAAAATCATCAATATTTATTAATTTTTTGTTTATATATAACAAAATAAGGGGCATTTCGGCGGCATTCCGGTGACTTCTTGGGGCATTTCGGTGATTACGGGGCATTCCGGTGATTCGTAGTACCGTTTCTAAGATGCTTTGCGTTTTATCACTTTTCAATTCTAAATATTGATAAACGACACCAAAACTGATGACGTAATTCACAACTTTGGACCACGATGTATTGCACAGTTTAGTGGAAATCAAAAATAAGTTTCACAATCTCTGACGGTTATAAATAGAGGAGAAGACGATAACACGTTAGTTTTGTAATGGCCGTGCGTGCTCAGTTTGAAGGAAATAATGAAGTAGGTGTGTTTTCTAAACTGACAAACGCCTACTGTCTAGTTGCGATCGGGGGATCAGAGAACTTCTACAGGTAAAATGCTGATAAGAATTTAGGCTTAAAAAAAATCATTTGTAGGGTAGCCTACACAAGTGTCTATTTTAGTCAGTGTTAAGCGAACGGTAAAGACAGTTATTTTCTTTGATATTGAGTGAAAATAAGTTAATCTGATAGATATTGTAACCATTGATAGCATTATCTATGTTTTAAAGTTTTGTTTTGTTTAGTGTCTTCGAAGGGGAATTGTCTGAAGCCATACCAGTGGTACATTGTAGCTTAGCAGGATGCAGAATCATTGGACGAATGTGTGTAGGTAAGAAAATCAGATTATATTATATAAGGGGCATATTCTTTATTATAATGGAAAAAAAAAAAATCAGGAAAATATGTATTGTTCCCCTCGAATTTCATTCAGAAGGTGAAACCTGCGGATAATTGGTGTCAGGATGAGACTCTACTTGTATTTATTTGTATATTAATTAATAGTGAACTGACTCATTGTGCTTATAACTCAGGGGCAAATAAATTGGTATAAACATATTAAATCACTGTAAACACGATGAAGTTAAATTTGTGTTTGCAGGAAACAAAAATGGATTATTAGTGCCAAGTTCAACAACAGATCAGGAATTACAGCACATTCGGAACTCTTTACCAGACAGTGTGAAAATTCAGAGAGTAGAGGAGCGATTGTCTGCCCTTGGAAATGTGGTCACTTGCAATGATTATGTGGCTTTAGTTCACCCTGATCTTGACAGAGTAGGTGCTTAATTAAGGGGGGAAAAGTGCATGATAATTACGTTCTATTCATTTTGCTTTTTTGTGAATGATTTAATACATATTTCAAGAAATTCTTACTCATATCGGTCCATAAATTCAGTATCCCATCTGCATTAAAACTGATATCAAACTTAAAACTTTTGTTAGTAGCAGTGCACTATTATAAGATGCTGCTTTTCTTTATATATGAAATGTGAGTTTTAAACACAGAATTAAATTTCTGACCTTGTTTTTCCTTTAAGCAATTAATTTTATTGAAAGCAACCTAGTTTGAATTAGACCATATAAGTATTTCAGAATACACAACATTTGGATTGGACAAGTTTTCATGGTTTATTGTATGTTGTAGGAGACAGAGGAGATAGTGACAGATGTTCTGGGGGTGGAGGTATTCCGTCAGACCGTGGCTGATAACGTGCTAGTAGGCACATACAGCACAATCAGTAACCAAGGAGGGCTGGTAAGTAAAGACAAAGGGGGCACATACAGCACAATCAGTAACCAAGGAGGGCTGGTAAGTAAAGACAAAGCAGGCACATACAGCACAATCAGTAACCAAGGAGGGCTGGTAAGTAATGACAATGTGTTAGTGCGCAGGTACAGCACAATCAGTAACCAAGGAGGGCTGGTAAGTAATGACAAAGTGGTAGTGGGCACATACAGCACAATCAGTAACCAAGGAGGGCTGGTAAGTAATGACAATGTTTTAGCGGGCACATACAGCACAATCAGTAACCAAGGAGGGCTGGTAAGTAATGACAATGTGTTAGTGGGCATGTACAGCACAATCAGAAACCAAGGAGGGATGGTAAGTAAAGACAAAGTGGGCACATACAGCACAATCAGTAACCAAGGAGGGCTGGTAAGTAATGACAATGTGTTAGTGGGCACGTACAGCACAATCAGTAACCAAGGAGGGCTGGTAAGTATAGACAAAGTGGGCACATACAGCACAATCAGTAACCAAGGAGGGCTGGTAAGTAAAGACAAAGTGGGCACATACAGCAAAATCAGTAACCAAGGAGGGCTGGTAAGTAAAAACAAAGCGGGCACATACAGCACAATCAGTAACCAAGGAGGGCAGGTAAGTTTTTTAACAAAGTGTTAATGGGCACATAAAAGCACAATCAGTAACCAGTTGGAGGGCTTTTAAGTAAAGACAAAGTGGGCACATACAGCAAAATCAGTAACCAAGGAGGGCTGGTAAGTAAAAACAAAGCGGGCACATACAGCACAATCAGTAACCAAGGAGGGCAGGTAAGTAATGACAAAGTGTTAATGGGCACATACAGCACAATCAGTAACCAAGGAGGGCTGGTAAGTAAAGACAAAGTGGGCACATACAGCAAAATCAGTAACCAAGGAGGGCTGGTAAGTAAAGACAAAGTGGGCACTTACAGCACAATCAGTAACCAAGGAAGGCTGGTAAGTAAAGACAAAGCGGGCACATACAGCACAATCAGTATCCAAGGAGGGCTGGTAAGTAATGACAAAGTGTTAGTGGGCACGTACAGCACAATCAGTAACCAAGGAGGGCTGGTAAGTAAAGACAAAGTAGGCACATACAGCACAATCAGTAACTAACGAGGGCTGGTAAGTAACAACGTTTTAGCGGGCACATACAGCGCAATCAGTAACCAAGGAGGGCTGGTAAGTAATGACAATGTGTTAGTGGGTACATACAGCACAATCAGTAATCAAGGAGGGCTAGTAAGTAATGACAATGTGTTAGTGGGCACGTACACAACAATCAGTAATCAAGGAGGGCTGGTTAGTTATACAATGACCAGGGCTGGTTTTCCAAATTCAAACAAGAGGCTCATGGGCCACATCGCTCACCTGAGGATTTTTAAAGAATCCTATGTAAAACTTTCGGTCTGCCGGTGCCTTCTCAAAAGCTCTCTAAAAAGTGGCAACTTGAGTATATTTATGAAAAGTTTATACTTGAAAATTTGATGTGCAAGGATATTAATTTCCAGATACTAAGCATTTAATCTCAATAAAGTTTGGAAGATTTTTTTTAATTAGACATTTTTCGTCTTTCATAGGTCCATCCAAAAACATCAATAGAAGACCTTGAAGAGTTATCCTCTCTTTTACAAGTACCTCTTGTTGTAAGTTGCTACCAAATCATAACTTTTAATTATTCAGAAGAATGGAACTTTTCAAACTGTATTCTACATTTAAAACCCTTGATTTTTTAAAGATCAATGTATGTATTCCTTCATTAAAAAAAAAAATTCGTACACTTTTAAATGTTGATTGTAGGCTGGTTCTGTGAACAGAGGGAGTGACGTAATTGGGGCTGGTATGGTTGTCAATGATTGGATAGCCTTCTGTGGACTGGACACGACCAGTACAGAGTTATCAGTGATAGAGAGCGTGTTTAAGCTAGGGGACAGAACTCCCAGCGCCATCTCCACAGAAATGAGGGAAAGCCTCATAGAAAGGTAGGTTATCAGGGATTCTTCCAAAGTCAATAATCTCCCAGGAAATGAGGATGTATTGCAGAAGCTGTGTTCTGTAGGGATGAATAGGAAATTATGGACCCAACATTTCAGTTCCTGAACTATTGCAACTGCTATATTAGAAAATTAACAGGAAAGATATTCCATTGAAATTAATTGATTATATTGACGCAAACATGTACACTTAAGAAGAAATGTGTTTTAAATTGAAAGCATGAAATGGACATGATTTAGATCATAAGTTTCTTTTTTCCCCAGGGCCATTAGGTTTACTTTATTTTTCACCTTTTATACAGATGTGATAAAGTTTACTGTATTTTTCAGCATTGCGTAGTTGAGACTGACGACTATTCAGGACTCTAGAGGGATGCTGCAGCAGATTCCTGTCCAAAACATTTGCCTATATTGTTTTTGTACGACATTAACTTCAAAATATCAAACAAAACGTTCCCGCGCTCATGTGTCATTTTGTTAACCATCACTAAGCAGATGGATCACTGTGTATAGATTGTTCATACAGATCTGAAATTTTATCCTCATCACAACCATTAACTTTTTCACAGTGAGGTTAAATATAGTTTATGCTCATTTTGTCAAATAAAACAACATTGTCAAATCAAGCAACTCTGTACCATATTCTTTGTACAGGTCAATGAAAATTGTTCAAATAAATTTATATATTTAATTCTATTCTAATTTTTTCAGGTGTGCTATTTAATGTTCCTAGAACTTCTTATCCCCTCACAGAAGGGATATTGCATTTCCAGGGCTGGTTAAAGACCCCATTCCAAATTCAAAAAAGTACCCTATTTTCTTAATTGAATGTGTTAATTTTCCCAATGTCATTTCTACCAAATAATTTTAAGTTAAACATATACATGAAGTTGCTAAACTTGCTATTCACATTCTGCTGTATTTTAAAACAGAAACTTAGGTCATAAATACCAGAAGGACAAATTTGATTTTAATGAAAAATAACTTCTCAAAATAAAAAAAACCCCAAACAACATTGCTTATTTTCCAAATCCCACAAAGAGGTGTCAGAGGGCTTATTGCTTACGTGGGCATGTGACTGTAAACCAACTTTTATTCGTGTGCGAAAAATATTTGCAAGGTTTGCGAGAGCCTCCTCATCTCGGATGTTTCTCGCTGCAAACCGGTCCTTAAAGTATGTGTTTATTAGCAACAGATCCAAAAAAGGCTTGATAGCGAAAATTATTTGCAGGCCTGTTTACTCTTACGATTTCGACGTATTTTGTACGGATTTTAAGTCTAAAATACGTCTCATATTTTGCTTTTATGGAAATCGGAAATATGTTCGTTTGGAATTAAGCAAGCAGTTTTTGTCATGATTTGTTTTAGTTTCACGCTTTTTAATCGCAAAAAAGAGAAAGATTTCAAACACATAAGTGATGTCAGATTGCCAAAATGCTGTGGTATTCTAAAATGACACAGACCCTGTTGTTAAACCAAGAATTTGTAATCTGAAAAGCAGTTGTTCTCTATTAATATATGTAAAATCAATGGAAAGTGAAATCTTACTGGCAAATGCCAAATCTCACGAACATATCAAATTAAAAATACTGAGAGACAACGATATGGGTAAACAGGTCTGTATTCGTCACAAACTAGTTTACCCCTGGTAAATCCCGAAATAAAGTCAATGCGAATAAAAGTTGGTTTAGAGTAACCAGAGTTGAGGGCAAGATTTAAAGAGCTGCGTAAATTATAATAGAAGTAGTACTTTATTTTTTAGCTCTAGTTTAAGACCATAAAAAATTAGGATGTACCATAATGGTGAAAATTTTTCAATGGATTATAATGAAGTTGATATAACTGAGCATAAATGAAGCACGAACATACTGCATATTCTTTTAAAGCAATGAAGCAGAAGCCAAAAAACAGTGAGATATTTTACTTCGTAACAAGTTACACACTCAAATTGCTAGTCAATGAACAAAATAGGACAAATTTAATAGACCATTCGTCTTTGTTTCTCAGCAGACTGAAATGATTTTAAATAGAAAAGATACTAGTATATTTTGTATCTTATAAGCATTGTACACCCAGTAAAATTGATAAAGATTACTAAATATACAGACATGTATCAAAATTTACAAGATTTCAACTGTATACAATACTGATGTAATATTCACAACCTTCATAAAATACTATTATTATGCAGAATACACAAATTAATACAGCTTGTAAAAAGCTTGATCGATGGTGCCTACATTTATTGATAAGTTCTCTTTCTTTTGTAAATCAATCTTTCAATCATACTTTTGACAAAAGGCTCATAGACTTAATTTTGACCGCAGTATAATTCAACTTTTTATAGCATCCATTGAATAGCAATTTAAAAATTATATTAGACTAAGACTTTTGAAGATGTTGTGCACTTCACTTTATGATCAATCCAGCCCTTTCTTACTCCAGAAACACCTAACTAGCTAGAAGCAATGAATATCAGTTTTGGAAATTAAGGCAGCCTCTCTCATCATAAACATTCACTTAGTTTTTTTTCTTCTGATATTCACAAGTGAAAAAATAATTTTCAATTTAGGAATGGACAAAATATTTGATAAGTTGGTTTCCATGAAGGTGACAGACATCTTAATGCTTCCTTTCCATATAGTTCTACAACTGCAGTCTACATAAAGTGAACGCAAAGATGCCAACAAGTCACTGACAAGCATTAAGTTACATGGGCTAAAGTCACTTAAAACTTCTAATCTATTTTCTTGACAATGTGAAAGGAAAAGATAACTAATAATTTATCGTTAACCTTAATTTGCTGTGACTAGTTTAATTTGACAAGTACAACCTTTTTCATGATGAACAACCTTTTTCATGATGGTGTTTTACCAAACATGATATGACAATTTTCAAAATGAACATAAATACTTTGTTTTAACAAAACAACAATGTATAAACATGTACAGTTTTAAAAAATTTACATCAATATATTCAAAATTGTTCAGTGAAACTTGAATCAATACTTGATTCTCTCATGCACAATTAGAAATACATGTACATGTAACAGGAGTCACACAAACAGGTGAGCAGTACAGGTAATAATAATTAATCCACTTGGTGAAATTGAGAGCAGAGTTGAACGTCAGTGCTTGCCACACACCCATTTGAGTTGAGGGTCACCTAACTTTGTTATATCTGTGACTGAGCGGTGACTACACTGACAGCAGTAGGCACGGGAACCTGTAATAACAGAAAACAAAGATTTATATATATATGTATTGGTGGGAGGAACCCTAAAATCATTGACTGCTCCATAATTATTTAAAAGCAGTGTACTTTATGGAATTGCTAGCCAATCATTACAAAAGGCCTATAGTCACCCAAGTATCACATTCAGATTATTTAGGCAGTTTTAACTACTTGGTACACCCTGCTACAATGACAAAATAATGTGTACATAATGTATATGCTGATAACTTATACCTTTTTTAGGTACCATATTTGTCTTTAGTCTATCATAGTCTGGAGCATTATTCCGGAGGAACAAATAGTCAGTCTCGCTACTCCATTCAAAATTATCAAATGAACACACTTTGAAGTCACATGAAGTACAACGTAGCTTATCACATGCCCTACAAAATAAAAATGAAATGCAGTAAAGGCAATGCAAAACCAAATCTTTAAAGTAATTTTCTTTATATCAGATGATTTCTTCATAATTGCTATTTTTGGGGGATACATACTTTCTTGCAATTAGAGGAAGTTTATTACCAAAGTGAAATTTCAAATATTTTTCATCTCTTAATTGAAGAAATTTCCAATGGGGAAAAACAGTCAGTTCTTAAATCGATGTAAGTTATTGACAAACAAGTTGCTCAAAGAAGAATTTCAGCAGTCTTGTTTATAGTTATCATTACCTAAGTTCTATGGTCAATACAATGTGACCTTGTCAGCAAATTCAATTTAACAAATCAAATGCTAACTGACTTTTTTAATACAAATTGTTAGGCCATTATCATATACACTGAATTGTCAATGGATTTTTCCATTATTTCCTGATCATGATAAGGAGCACAAGGCAGGTGTGACTGGTTGGCAGGGGATAGTCACTCCTCCATGACACCTGATCCCATCTCTGATGTTTTGGAGGTCCATATTTGCTCTGCTCCTATTTTGTATCGTTTTATGGACTTTTGAGCTTGAATACTGTCCATAATCTCCATTTATTTCACAATAACTCATTTTTTGGGGAGGATGAAAGATACTTTTAATTTTTTTTAAAAGGGGGGGGGGGGATGGGTTCATCCAGCAACACGGAAAAGAAATAAGGGAAAAATACAAGTAACTATATAGTTAAACAGAAAAAATGTTCTTTAAAAATTTGTTGAAACTATGTATTATTTGCAGCATAAATTTTATAGCATTATTTCATTTTTATCATCATCACAAAACAAATATAGGCTGAACACTTTGTGTCATTCAATGTATATAATATTACCTTTGGCTTACGGAACTTGCCATGCCCTGAGAACACATTGAACCACCAAGATACACTGGGAAGCACCTGTAAAATCACCTCACAATCTTAATTAGCAGTACATGGAATAATTCCGGGTAGTTTACAAGTGAAGAGTAAAGAAACTAAATTAAGCTTACAATAAAATCAATAAAACTAATGGGCTCTATCAGCCTTGATGAAGCTGAGAAATGAAACTTGAGAAACAATCTTCATGCAGTGATAAAAGAAGGGCCCTGATTATAATGGCTATGTCATTATTACTTTATTTACTTAGGAATGATAGGAATTTTTGTTGAGAATCAGATGTAACATTCTCATAAACTATGAATTCAAAATGATCTTAATATCATGACCACATCTTATCATAGTCATAAGTGAGTATGAGTGACTACAATCATTCAATTCAATTTGGAAATGTGAAACATAAAACAGTCTCTGTCTGATTTGATTAAAAAATGGCCCTGATGAGAAACTTATGCTGAACAGCCTTAGAAATGAGTAAGAATTTTTGTTGAGAATCAGATGTGACCTTCAAGCAGCTGCCCACTTAATGACTTTGTACCCTATGGAGCTTTAAAACAACATAGTGTATTTGTATTTTATCTCGATTTGTTTGACCTGTACATGTAGTTTACACACTGTACATTTCCATTCTTACTTTCTTCCTGTGGTGGGACGGAAATCTGATATATTGTTGGGAACAGATCTAGAAGCCTGCAAATAAACAAATTATCATTGTTAATGAGAATGGAGGTGGGATGGAAATCTGATATATTGCTGGAAAGATCTAAAAGCCAGCAAATAAATGAATTATCAGTGTAAACAAAAAGTAACGTTTTATTCATTTGCGCCAAATAAATAATAATCTTTAGAATAAGTGCTTATTCACAATTTAATGAAATTGGCCTATACTGCACACCAACACAAATCCTTAAGGAAAATTCTACAACCTTCAATTTAAACATAATGATTGCATTTTTACTGATAAATATGATAAATATACAGTGTTATTGATGCCATTAATGATATTGCTAACTTGTACACGTACATGTTTGATTAACATTAAAATACATGTACTACAATATATGAATTCCCTTTCTAAATATCTTACCTTTGGAATAGGTTCTACTTGTATGTCATCCAGTAAATCATCTATGTCATATTCATTATCCCTAAAAATGGAAAAGATAATATGAAATGTCCTATAAAAATGAACCATAGTACGAAGAATTTAAAGCAGATTATTGCTGGAAATCTTCAGCATCAGAGGTTACAAATACTGAAATAGCACATTGCCATAAAAAATCAACAACTTTATATTTTATTGGATTTAAACCTTTCAGAGGTAAAAAAAAGAAGTTTTATGGTAATTACCTGGGAATTGATTAAAATGATGTCAAAAGCAAAAAGGTTTACCAATTCTTTTCAGACCATATTAATTGAAAAAATTGGTGGAAGCCTGAACACTAAACCCTGAATGAGATTTGTAGTGACACCAGACCAAAATTTTTAGTCTTACTCTTTACGAATCTTGCAGAGATTACCGCACCAAATGTTACGAGAAAAGAGAAATGTAACGAGAAAAGAGAATAATTTAGCTAACCATAGAACTAAGGATTCAAACCCATGCTCCCTGACCCTCCAGTTAGGTGCTCTACTAAATAAGTTATCTGGTCACCAGCAATCGAACCTGTCTGACCGGGAGCTAGTCAAAGCGCCCCCTAATAAAAATGTCCTGGTTAAAGCGTCCCCTAATTTTAGTCAAAGCATCCCCTGATTTTGGTCAAAGAGCCCCCTAACATATTTTTATACAAAAAATACCACCCCCAAATATTGGTCAAAACGTCCCCTGATTTTAGTCAAAGCGCCCCCTGATTTTGGTCAAAGCGCCCCCTAACATATTTTTATAGAAAAAAATATCTTTATATAAACAAATCTTTACTGTCCCCAAGAAATGGTCAAAGCGTCCCCTTGTTTTGGTCAAAGCCCCCTTTAACATATTTTTATAGAAAAGTATATCTTTATATAACCAAATCTTTACTGTCACTCCCCAAGAAATGGTCTAAGCATACCCTGGTTTTGGTGAAAGCGCCCCTTAATATATTTTTTTTACTTCTTTTCAGGTAACTGCAAAACAATGATAATATCATAAATACGAAATAGTTTTATTCCGTAACATTTTTGTAAAAATATATTAATTGAAAAAAATTATATTCCAAAAATGGGGGATGGTTTGACCAAAATTGTTAAAATTTTGACCATTGCTTGGGGGCGGTTAACTTTAGATACGATTTTTTTTTAAAGAAAAAAACGTAAACAGGGTGCTTGAGAACATAAAAAAAAGGGGCGCATTTTCTGAAAGACAGACGCTTCAACAAATATTTGGGGGCGGTTTTGATTTAACATCATTTTACTGTAAATATTCTATAAAGGGCGCTTTGACCAAAATGATGTGATTTGGGCATTTTGAAATAAAATATGGGGACGCTTTGACCAAAATCGGGGGAAACTTTGACCGGGACGGTTTTATTAGGGAGCGCTTTGACTGGATTTCGTCTGACCACCACATGATTCTGTTCAAGAATATTTATTTACCAAGACCCTGTGAATACACTAATCTAAGAACAGCCAAGGAAAAACGAGGTATTTAGTGGTTGTTTTCTGCGACAGTTTTTAAATCTTTCCAAATTAGTTCATTCCATTTATGTGTTAAACCCTGCAATATGAAAGAACTATGTAGTCTTCAATAAGCACATATGATGATTAAATCACCTTTTCTCTTTTTGATTGTTCACAGTCCTCCCCTTTTTAATGTCCTTCGTCAAATATTTCGACTCAACCTCTTCCAGCAAATCGTCTATATCTTCGGCCATATTTCAATCATTCAGAATAGTGATTGATAAGTTATTGCAAATTTAAAACCATCGACATGACAATCTTTTTGTTTATGGTTGTCGACAATGATTCACTTCCGGTTAGCCTAATCTAATGAGAAAAGGGCAACTCTAAAATTTCCGGATCTAACGTCAAGTGACATTTTTATATCGTGAATTCAATATTATCTGTCTGATTACAAGTATTCCAGGGTAAGAATTTTCAGAAAAAAAATATTTAAGATACAAGTGGGCCTTCTAACTCATGTAAAATGAACATTCATAAACCAATGGCCCATTGGCCACAACATTCACCTGATTCTCAAATTGATCTTGCATATCCCCCTCTTAATTTCCATGAAAACTTAAGAGTCCATTTCAGCCCCACAGAATTTGATTTAATAGAACTTGAATCCTCAAATAGGAATACTTCAATATGATGAACAAGGCCTTGTTCTGCAGAATATCAAAAGATTTTTCTAGTTTCCATGCATTAGGCCTATGTGAAAAATTTACTTTAAAAGTTAATGTAATCACCTACTTTTATCACTTATATAAATTAGAGGTGATTGGACATGGATTTAAAGTTATTTTCTCAAATTTTCGGTATAATATCATTTATAAACTTAAACAGCATTTCACAGGGAAATACAATTAAAAAAACCATTTTTTTGTAAATTAATTGAAACTACGAATTTCGGATCACGTTTGTCACACTTCTTTGCACTTACGTCACTTTCACAAAGTAAACTTTATCCTTAGAATACTTAAGAAAAGTAGAAATTTTGTCATTTAATTATTTACCTTTAAAATGCTAGAGCAACATGTGTCATATATTATACCAAAAATGTGAGAAAATTTTAACTTCAAATCTGTTTCCAAGCACCTTTATGCCCTACTCCGGCATGCTAGAGGTTCACAGCGAGATAATTTCGACTTGGCGATGTGTAGCTCAAAGGTATATAAGGAGCGCAGGGACGCAAACCAAGGCTCTTACTTGTAGGAGTACTGCCCCATCCTAAATCAAAGATGCGTAACTCAAAAAAAAAAAAAAAAAAAAAAAAAAAAAAAATCCACACAACTTCCAAATGATTTTGGTCCTGTTAATCTTGAAAACATTTTTTACATACATAACCTTGCATTTCCAAGTACATGCAATCCTGGTGCCTGTTTTACAAAAAACTTACAACTTTGTTCAAAATTTTAAACTTTCTCATTTATATTAAATAGAAAATGCTTTTAATCTTTTTCAAAGGTTTGTAGGTCGAAAGATACCTATTCACTGGCAATTTGAAACAGATTCATTAATTTTGCATAATTAAATTCAATACAATCAACTTAAGTTTTTGGACTTTAAGTCGTAAGACCTTTTGTAAGCCCTCTAATCTTTATTGTTGACACCTCACCCTTCCACTGTGAAGGGTTTGGTTTAAATATTCACATTCACATGTTTGTATACTGGCAGGGGTCAAAGAGGCGATTCAGAATCACTTTGATATATGGATCAATGGTATTCGAGATATCAAAGTTTAACTGTGTCTGAAATATTTCCATAATTTAAAACTTCTAAAGAAGGTCTAGCCGATACCAAGACATACTTTTTGGTTTATATTAACTAAGGCTTAAGATGCATCAACTGACAATTCAAGGTTTGATGGTCATGCATTTGTATTTACAGCACAGTATCCATAAGTCTCTAAAACAGTTGCAAAATTAATACTTGCAAAAATAAAAATTCTCGAAAAAAACCCACTGGCAACCGATTTAAAAACTCAGCTGACTTAAAATTGTGTGAATTAAAATGATCTGTCTACAGGTTATTGGCCATAACAATTGTCCAAGAACCTAGTCTCTTCCCTTAATTTATTCAATTCTGCTTCATTTATCAATTCCAAATAAAATTCAATCTCACATGTATTTATAAATTCCACACTACAATGTCTGCAAGTTATTTCTTGCTGACTGTTGGACATAAGACTTTCCCAGTAGAATATGCTTAAGCTTAACTTAATGAATTCACACTTACAAAGAATTGTTTAATCCAATGATGTTTAATTAAGCTAAGATATATGGAATTATGACAGTCACTGAAAAATCTTAGAGTGACCAAAGGCCAACAATAAAAGATGATTTGTTTGAAGTACTCTGACCAACCCGTCGAAATTGCCCCTACCCAATCATTTTTTTCAGCACTGCACTTTGACTTTTTATTTTTTTTTTCATTAATTTCCATAGAAATAGAAAATTTTATTTTAAAGCTATAAAGGTATATAATTTACCTCTATAGGATGCTTTCAATTGAAATTTTTATAGCAGTAGAAATAAAGTTTGTTGAGCTATCGAATGTGTAATGAAAACATCAATAAATTTCTGAGTCTTCAATTTCTATGACAGTTTTCAATTTGTTCAATACTGCTATGTAAAAAAAAACCCACCTTGAAAAATGTTGGTCGGAGTACATCAAACAATTAAAATATTTTAAATGATGGCCAAAGCTATACAACAAGGGTTCATATTCATGGAAATTACACAACAGAACACAATAACTATAAATTTAATTTAATAATTTAATAGTCATGTTAACATCAACAAAATAAATTTATCATCATAGTCTTCAACAGTAACAAAAAAAATCAACATAATTATCATGATATCATAGTCGCAGGACGGACACCTGACTATGTGTAGGATACTGCGAGTCCAGCTGGTTAAACTCGTATGCACATTTATTCCGCTCTGATGTGTATCCCAAATCATGGTAGAGTCTTGCCAAATAGTAAACTGCATCCTTCACTCTCATATGAGCCTCAAGTTTCTTAAACAATTCTATAACATTGATCATCAAATTGACTGCCGATAATAAAGAGGATTTTCTGTCTGTTTCATTGAGTTTGCTGCCAGCTGCCACTGAGCACCGAGCGTAGCAGTACATAGTTCTGGCTCGGTCCAAACAGTTTCCATGGGAAAGTATTGTCACCATATGCTGATCCAGGAGTTCAAGGGCTTTCTCAGGTAACTGCATGAGTAACTGAACAAAAGCTAAATATACAGCTGCCAAAGAATGCATATAGTCCAGATAATGCTCCTTAGCTTTGGTGATGCATTCCAAAATCTGAGGAGTGGCTGATATATGGTTACCAGTCTGGATGTAAAGATCTGCTAGAGCAAGCATCACCCTGCATGGAAATTCAGGACTGAATTTGTGTGAGTTTGTCTGAACTCGCTCTCTTAGTTTTGTCAATGTAGCTAGAGAAGCACTAACATCTCCTTTCTCTCTCTTGAATATTCCTGACCTCAGCGAGTACTCGTCTTCATCCAATGCTTGTAAACCAGTGAGAGCCTGGGAGGCAAGCTCATCTCGATGACTCACCAAGGAGCGATCAAACAAAATCTCTTGTTCATATGTCATCCACAAATGAGCGTGCTGAGTCTGACGTGGAAATCTTTGTTTTGCATTGTTGATGACTTCCAAAGCCAACAAGTAGTTCCCATCATCAGCAAATATCCTGGCTAGGTTACACAGAGCCAGACAAACTGACTCACCATTGTGATAGATCCCTCCCTCTGAAGTGTCTAAATTTAGAACCAACTGACTACACATAGAAGAGCTCTCTCTCTTTCCGTACATGTGCCACAGAGCAGCTTTCTGAGCATAGCTAACACACATGAAATGAGGCTGCGAGTGTTGACAGTTCAGAATGTCACTTTTTAGCATGTATTCTATCACACTTGAAGGTCTGGCTGTGGAGAAGGCATTATGTTTAGCTAAAGCCTGCACACTCAGTGACGTTATATTGGGTAGAGCTAGTTCCTCACTCTTCTCTACAGATCGAGCAATCAGGCTTGCTGTCCTAGCATTCCCAGAGTCCTCTATCCGATGGAGCCAGCTGAGAGCATGTTGTAGACACACGTGATCATTTGTCTCTTGAGCCATGCGTATTGCTTCCTGCAAAGCTGCCAGAGCTTCCTCCTTGTGGCCAAATCGAAAGTGAAGTCCTGCCAAGTTCAGTGATGCATATCTGCGGCTGACATCATCTTCCACTGTTTTATTTGTGATAATGTCATCTGTAAAGTTTGTGTTTCTGTCAAAGCAATGGAAGAGATTGTGAAGAGCATTACAATACTCCTTAACACGTAGATTGTTCATATAGCTGAGGAAGTGAGCCTCGGCCAGGGCTGGATTAGACCGTAACATGTTGGAGATTTGAGTTTGCAGTTCCTTGGGACTCAGAGCCTCTTTTTCATTGTGCTGTAAGAGAAATCCTTGCCTGGATATGAAATACTCAGCTTGTTTGTGGGAGAAGTATCCACCACTTTCAGATTTTGCCGGACCAAGTCCCAAATGACTGGACTCTCTTCCTAAAGCGCTGCATGTCAGGCGTTCTGTTTCTTTTGTGATGGAGTCCATTAAGGAACCCCCAAAGTTTTCACTTTCATCTATCTGTGGAGGAGCGTTCACTTCCTCATAATAGCGCTTGAACTGGTTGTAGAGGGTGGTCACCTGACTGAAGGATAGAGAATCAAACACGAGGATCATTCTACGGAAGAACAAGCCCAGTACACTACTACTGCTGATAACCGGCATCTCCGGGGTGATCGGTTCCGTCAACATCCTGTGCAGCTCCTGGAAGAAATCCATCAATGGAAGAACGTCTTCCTCATAAAACTCTTTCAATCTGTCCATAAATTCATCAGATATCTTGGGTTTTAGAATGTGCTGAGTTTGGTCCAGTAGATCCTTCAGTGATAAATCAGGACTCTGAAGGAGCTTGAGTATCAGTGTCATAAAGTCACGCTTCTCATTTTCGGATATTCTTTCTTCTGGTACCAGGGTACTCTGTCCAAATATGAAGGGCTGATTTTGTTTCTTTTTGAGTTCACAATATTCGTAGATGAGAATCAGCAGCGAGATTTTATGCGGGGTCACTTGCTCCTTGTATGTCAAGGTCGGTTTACCCACAGGTCCGAATCTTAATAGCTCTGTCTGGGAGTCAGTGTTTGCCATAGTTTAATGAACTGCAAAATAAAAACGGAAGATAGATCAATTACAATCAATTCCTAAAAGGGGGGCCCATTTTCAACTCAGAGCCTTAGGGTAAAAACAGTTACCATTGAAATGGTTGCAAGCTAATATTTGTTGTTTTACAGCATCAGGCCTATCATTGAAGCCATCACAAATTATCAGTGACATGCTCTCGAGATATTCATCATTTGCTGTTTTCAAATACTGTAAAACGAGAATATTTGGCGCACTACTAATTTCAGCACCTTTGGCGCAAGAGCTCCTGAGCGCTAAAATTTATTGTGCGCTAAAGGATTTCTAAAATATCATTTTTTGTGTGTGTTCAAAGCTTTTACACAAGTACATGTAAACCGGAACACGCGATTACGTAATGTCGAAGGATCATTGGATGTTATATACACAATAGCACTGCACTTGTTCGGAAGACAGAAAGTTCTGCCAAATTATAATTTAATTAAACTACAGTATTGTTAAGCCGGTAGTTGTTACCCGCTTATTATCATAAGCACCTTCAAAGTTTGGCTTCTCGGCGTGTCAATCATCTATCGCCTCGAGGTATACAATGCAATCAAGCATGGCGATTGAGCTTTCAGACAATACCTGATTAGGATTAACGTTTTATCTAAGTAATTTTCTGTCGATGCATGCAAATGTTTTAATATGATTTAAGGTCAAGATCTAGTAAATGAAAGATGCCTACAGATTTATCAAATTTGATAGATAAATTCCTTTGACAATGCTTTATAACTTTAGCTTGATCTAAAAAAGTGTTTCGGGTCATAATTTGTAGTTAAACAAGTAGAAAAACCATATTTTACACAGTCATTTTTAATGAGAAATTAAGAAAACCAGTCATGAATATGGGAGTTTTTTTCATATTCGACAAAAGAAATGTATCCAGATTGCCTACAGTCTTTCAGAAAATGGTAATTTATATGTTCATGACCTCTTCTTTAAAATTATATAAATTCTAATATAGGTATCCGGATTACTCTTCATATGATTTCAAATTGAATGCCATGAAAATACCCTGTTTTCTACATAATTCTGCAAAAGCCGTAATGTACGGGAAAAAGAAGGTTGAAATTGATTATGACGTCATAATAGATCTAGCGCCACAAAATCAGTCTAAAGTCATTTACTAGATCTTGACCTTAAATGAGTAAATTCTCCATTTCTTTTACTTAAAAATGGAAATAAAATAAATTTTAACATTGTATCACATCCATGTGATAGCAACACGTGCCGCGGCAAAGTTAACGAATGTTTACTGATATACGGGAGTACTAATGTGTTTCCATGCTTGACTAACCAAAGTCAAATACAGGTGTGAATAAAAAAAAAAAAATCACATTTATATATTTTACTGACAAGTAGAAGCGCTAAAATTTATTTGCGCCAATGCATTCCCACTTGCGTTTGTGCTAAAATATGTATGCGCCAAATTTTCTTGTTTTACAGTACTATAATGACTAAAAATACATCTTTTTATCAAGCAATGCTTTTGACATAGGTTAGTCTTCAATAACCTTACTTTTTTTAATTTTCTGATTTGATGAAATTGTGAAAATGTTACTGGCAAGTCATACCTAATGAAAGCAGATTTAACTGTACAAGTGTACCTTAAACTTTGACAGGTAAAATATAACAGTGGTTAAGCTCTGTTCCATTATTCTAGATCATATATTTGAGTATGTTTTTTTAAAAACATTATTGGTATACCTACCTCAGCTTAAAGACAAGAACCAACACTGTACAGCTGCAGCACTGCTGGTTTATCCTGAAATGGGAAGTGATGCAATGGAATTAAATTGGTTTAAAAGTGATCATCTTTTAAATCTCTGTATTAATGGGAACAGCATCAGGCCTATCATTGAAGCCATCACAGAATTTATCAGTGACATGCTCTACATGAATTCATCATATGCTGAGATGAATTGATAATCTATGTATTAACAAGTCTAAAATAATATCATTCAATACTGGAATGAGTTACCAGACAGGGTGCTCTCGGTGCTGAAGGCTTTCATAGGTCCATCCAACAGGTCTTGATAAATCTGCAATATCAATACAAAGTCTACGTAGACAAAACATAATATTTCTACAAGATTTTTTTCATTATTTTCAGTATGCTAATCATTGTCAAGAAAGAGGGGAAGATCCAGACTTTAGAGGTAACATGTATGGTCTTTGCTAATTCACGAGATCTACGTACTTTGTACTTAAATCTTTTCTAATGTGTATAGGGAAAATTAAGTTAAAATATATCTACTAACATGATTAAGAGAGTCTCAGTGAGAAAGCAATCAGTCAAAAAATTCAGAAACTGGCGCTTTGTATTCATCATCTGACCCTCATAAAATCTGTAAAATCACGTCTCTGTTTTATATCTGTACGACAACTTTTATACCGTAATCATTAAACTAAACTTTACTAAGAAAAACAAATATTTAAAGATATAGTAATACTTCTTACTTACAAAGCTTGTTTTTTATGCCTAATATTACAAATATGGTTATTTTTTTGTTTGTTAAGAAGTCAGAGAAGTAATTTCTCCCAAGTAGCTTTTGTTGCACATCAGGTTGAATTTAATACATGTGTACAAGTACTCGACAAGCATAAAATACAGGCAGTAAATCATGTAAACTACCTTGACTTTCTCAAACACTCTCCTAGTACTTTAAGAAATTTATATCAAGTTATCAACACAGTGCATGTACCACTGACTATGAAATTACTGTCAAAATTCTTTGATCTTTTTTGTCAGATCATTATTTTAAAACTCAATATTTCAGTAAGATTTTTCCCACCATTATGATTTGTTTTTAATGTGATTGACTTTATTAACATCAAGAGAGTGTCAGTAAAAAAAAGCAATCAGTCACAGTTGAGTCAGAAACTGGCGCTTTGTATTCATCACATGACTCTCTTAAAGAAATCAAAATCTTTGTAACCTTTAAATTTTAATGAGTTCCTCTTATATATGTATACTAAAAAAGATTAAAACCAGAGATTCTTGCTCAATACCTATAAAATGTTTTAATATTTTTCAAGTATAAAGAAAATGAAGCAAAATAATCCATCCATGGCATTTCATTATAATTATTTTTTTTTTTTTTTTTTTTTTTTTTTTTTTTTTTTTTTTTTTTTTTTTACATGCTTTCCCCTATTAGCCCCTTCATGGTAACTGCGGTACTACTCTTTTGCAGGGCAAATTAATAGTGTTTGGTTTATGGCATTTGAAGTTTTTGTTGATAGATAATTATATGACCTTTAATTAAACAATAATTTTTACATCATTTTTCACCGTGAAAGGGTCTATTACTTTCTCAAGAATTATTTCTAATATTTCAAAATGAACCTTGAGATACAAATGAATGATATAAATATAGTGGTAAACAAGGTACTCACAAATTTATAAACTAATGAAAACAAACACTCAAAGAAATTTTCATCTCACACTCACTGTCACTCAGTTCACTTATGCCCCTCCCCCTCCCAAATAATTGGAAATTTTTCAATTAAAGGGGGCATAACTCTGTCCAGAATTGCTCGATGTCTATGATCATACCTAGAACAGAATTTTGACAACTGTCAATACTGTCCATATCAAAGATCATTGTTATCTGTTCATACGTTGATTTGTTCAATTGTTATTAATTTGTTAAACTTTTATTGTACTTACATACTCCATGTGGGGGCTTTAGTGAAACAAAACATTTCAAAGTTTCAAAAAGAACTTGACTTGATATTCTTGTAAAAAAAAACCTGTGTACCAAATTTCATTTCAGTATGTGCAACCTCTGCAAAGAAAGTTGATTAACCAACAGACAGCAGCAAACCAAAATACCCTCCTTTCTTCAAAGAGGGGCATAAAAAATAAGGTAATCGTCTATTGTGGGATTGTGAGATTTGTGTCCAGAAGGAAGAAGGAAAGTATTCCAAGGTTATAAGTGAGAATTGAGATATTCTAGCAAATTATGTCTTTTTAGGAATACATTATTTTATTCAATTGACATGACAACTAAGGTATTATGTTTGTGACAGTCTGAAAACAATGCTGCCCAGTAATATATGTGCAGATCAAAGCTGTTTGGGCTTTGTTATTTTCCTGGAATAATTCTTTTTAAAAAAGTTCCTGTGTAAGATTCATTACTGTACTATACAGTCATGTTTTCAATCTGTCCTGGAAAAATTTTCTGTATATTTATTACAAATTTGTTTGTTTTAAAAGTCAGTGTTTTCCCTTTATTTCAAAGTAAAGGGTTAGAGATCAGTTGTGATGGGCTAGGGGCTGAGATTTATGAACAGAATCTTTGTGGAACTTGTAATAAATTTTCATTTCAACGCGGCATTTTTGTCAATTGAAGCAGTCAATTTGGCCGGTAGCCGGTTCTTAAGGAAAACACTGAAACACTGAATATTCATTAATTACAAATGCAGCAGGATTACAGCATCAGTCCTATCATTGAAGCCATCACATTTGAAGATCAGTGAAGAGCTCAAAGAATTCATCATTTGCTGTAGAAGTACATATTTATAATATCAATTTAACATAACTTGCAGTATGCAAGATACTCCTTCCTTCCCACATTGTTGCAAGCAGCTGGTTTTTTGCACCCACTTTATTTGAACAGAAATCTTCCCCCAAATTCAATTGTGTGGCTTAATTATTTCAAATGTCCCTATACTCATATTTTCAGATCATCCTAATGGACATCATTGCCTTTCCCCTTTGACATCTTCAATAACACTAAAAACAATCTTAAGATTACAACTATCAGAGGAATGGAAGTGGAAATATAGGATTAAAACTCTTGGTGACAGGTGATTTACACCTATCAAGTTTAAGAAGCATTCTTAGAGAATTGTATTTATTTCAGTAGTACTGAAGCAGAAGAAAATGTTAACTTGATGTATATCCCAGCAAAAGTAAACTCACATACCCAAATTAGCTCAATATTCTTAGGTATTTAGGAACAAGAGGCCAATGGGCGACAATGCTCACCTGAGCAATATGGTCCAGCTGTTCCTCACCAATTTGCCCCTCCCCCTTAATTGTCATACTTACTGTGGCCCCAGACATCCCACCCTACCTTAAGAATGAATTAAGACTTGAAAAAGTTTGAATCTACACTACCTCAGGAAGCTTCCACATAAGTTGAACCTTTCTGGCTCGGTGGTAGTTGAAAAGAAGATTTTTATAGATTTTACAATTTCATTTCAATGTAAAAAAAAAAGATTCTTTATTGTTGTCCCATCCAACCCCCATAGGTCATGATGCAATTGAAAAATTTAAAATCTACACTATCTAATCAGGGCTGTCACAATACCTTTTGGTACAGGGACCGGGTCCCTCTATATTGGGAAAAATCCTTGACATTTTTGTCAAATTAGGAAAATTTTAAACATACTTTCATTTATCCAATGTAAAACTATTGTTGAAGATGAAAAACACTTTTTACTTGATTGTCCTGTGTATGAAAATGTCAGAAAAAAGTATTCAAGGTTACTAGATGTTAATAACTTATCTTGTTTGCTTAATCCACATAACTTTGTATCTACAAAACAAATCTGTCTATATATCAGAGACTGTTTTGATATTAGAAACAAGCTAACAATAGTATAATATTTTGCAATACATATATATGGCTAACAACACATTCCTGTATATAATTCCTGTATATAAATATGTCATTGTGCTTTAGTGCCAATATAGAATTGAATTGAATTGAATATTAACCCCCCACATATTAAAGCTGACATGAATTCTTAAAAACGCAACTTTTTCATTTATGTACGACTTGTTTCATACCAACTATGGCCGTATTCCGCCATATTTCTCTCAGATACCTTGTCTTATTGTAACGATATATACCCGAATGCCCTCGTTACACTTGAATGATTTTTTGGCTTGGCTATCGACTTGTGCACATCTCCGATGGTAAAACATTTGAAAACACATGGGATCAAGACATTTCAAAACCACACAACATAATAATCATATTTCTGAATAATTATAGATTTGAATCAAATGTAATAAAAAAAAGAAAGAAAATGCAAGTTTGAAAGAAAGATTTAGTTGCACGAGTACGCATTTTTACACTGCGCCAATTTATGCAGAATAAACATGAAATAAAAAGCACTAAAACCCGTAAACACACTTTGAAATTATTATCATTTGAATGGAACAAAACCATCAGCGTCTTTGATTTGCAGGTCTTATACAGACTTTGATGCATGTCGAGAAAACGCGTCGAACGCTGTAAACGCACCCATACCTGGTAATAAGATCACTGCATCGGTTCGAAGATGTGCACAAGTCAAGTGATATACACCCTGAATTCCATTTATTGAAATATGCATCACAAAAAAGAAATAAACTCCATAAAAACTCAATAAACACACTGTATCTACTCCGTACAGTCTAGCGCGTCGATACACTTAGTCCGTGCTGATCAGATTTTGGTCAGGGAAAATATCACAAGTGGAAAAGAGTGGTATTTGCGCGGCTGAAATGGGGGGGGGGGATCTAAAGTATAATTATAACGGCTTCATAAGGTATAACTGAAAATTGTCTATCTAGTTCTAATAAACATTCTTTATATAGTCTGCAGTTGTTTTGCATCGCAAAATTCATTTGTCAATTACAACTGATTATTTTAGTACTAATCTCAAATCTAAACCAAGTAATTTGATATACGGTAAATATTTAGTTCAAGACTTAAAAACATTTAACCAGAATACAAAAGTTTATGTGTGCATCTGTACGTTCTT